TGCTTCCTGTCCCTACTTCCTCACTTTTTTCTACTTGCCTATTGCCAAGTTGCCCTCAGGTGGGCCAAAAGGTTGATAACATCAAATTAATCAAATAAGTGATGGGTAAAAATACCTCCACGTTTGTTCTCTTGATGATGATGCATAAGTAAACAACAAACCACCAGGAGACTAGAAAAGGTTGGTACATCTTCCCAAATTAATTTAATGATACACATACTTTTTTAAAGCCATGAAGTCAACTTTAAAATAATTTCTCACCCACGTGAAAATGAGCCAAGATGGCGCCTGATGGAGAGAAAAGTAGATCGGAAAGTTACTGAACTGCTCCCTCACTAAGTATAAACTTCCACGGATGGCCGATTGGCAGCTCAAAGACAAATTTGAAAGACGGACATCCTCATGGCGGTCCTGTACCCTTCTCTTCTGTCATCTCTACAGCTCACCCTTTCAGCCACGCCCCTTCAACCCAGCTCCCCTTCTCTCCTCTCTCTCCATATGTCTATGAATCTGTCACTATGGCAACCTCACCCCAGGGGCAGAGAGTAGGGGGTTGCCTTCGTACAGACAAATAAGCATCGCAGGGCTCATTTATGCTGGTTTGTTTAGGGATTATAATACACTGATGAGAGGTCAAAATCTGTGTTCTCGCACATATGTTTGGAAATAAGGCTGCTCGTGTATGTTTGGGCCTGTTCACATAAGATTGTGTTTAGCATCTTGTGAACCATATGTGCTGCAGCTGCACTGTAAACATTTTAGGAGTATATGAAATCCGGAAAAGTGCATTTAATCAAGAGTAAATTGAACCCTTTTACAAAGAAAATAGCACATTTCCAAACCCCATGCAAATTATGGAGAGCAAGGCAATTTACAACTGTAAGGGCATTGCAATGAAGTCAGTGTTATCATTAGCGTAGCAGGTCCAAGTTATAGCTGATGTCATAGATGCAAAATCAGCAATATGGAAAAGGGCTTATTGCATTGTTTCCCTCTTTTTCCTTCACTTTATGCATATCTGCAACTTTCCAAAGGTCAGCCTAAACTAGTAAGTAGAGAGAGCTACATGGGAGAGGTCACATGCACATCACAAAGCCAGATATGTCTCAGAGCCATTTTGCTGGAATTTCCTGAAGGTGCCTGATGTCATAGAGAGCTATGGTGCATACTGATGGTTTCCTGCACCATTCCACCACACAAAAATGAAGGTCCCAAGGAATGTTTCTCATATTTAGTGCGCCACACAACCTTGACACAGTTTCACCTCTGTGTGCACCCCCTTTTCACTCTTTTTCTCTCTCCTCCCATCCTCACCAGACCTTCTACTGGCTCAAAAGACCTGTCCCAACCCTCTACCCATCCCCTCCCCCCTACACCCCTACCCCCGAGAGCAAATTTCCCACTGCAGCCAGAAGTGCTGAGTGCTGCTGTTTGCTGTGTACACAGAAATTCGCTGAGGCTGTAAGCTGTCCCCAAACATCTGCTCCCTGGAGTGGAGCAGGAGCAGGAGAGGGAAGGACTGGACTGGTGTTTGTGTGTGTGTGTGTGCGTGTGTGTGTGTGTGTGTCTGTGTCTGTGTGCGTGTGTGTGCATTGCTTGCTGTTGAGTGTTGCTCCATCAGAATGTGTTATGTATGAATTTGTATGTGTGTAAATGCATGCGCGTGTGAGTGAACAATTATTCAAATCAATGCTTTGTGTGCTTCTAAGCGCAATATTAGTAGCACCTAGGAAACAAAACACATATTTGTGTAATTGTACACAGAACATCCAAATAAGCATTGGCACACACTCACACAGACAGGTGCACTTCATTTCAACTTTCTTGATGCACAAATTTTTTGTTAGTCAAATATGTGAAATAGACCGAGCAAAAAGACTTAGTGTATGAAAGTCTTTGCAAATGAAGAAAAACAGTAAAATCAGACAAGCAGAAAAACTAAAAAGAATGAGAACATTCAAATGATCTACGATTGCATCAACAACAGAGCTATCTGTATATGTTTTTAAAAATGTAGAAAGAGCTTAACATGACCAGTTGATTTTACCCCTGTGAGTTCTGCTAAGGATATTACATACATATTATGCATTAGGTTAATTCGAACCAATGTAGTATTAATTTCAATGAGCTTAGAAATGTATATATGCTCCTTTAAAATGTAATGGAAGATCTTTTGTAAAGCACATATGTTCCCTCATTACTCATACCACACAGTTCTCCTCTGGAGAATTATAACGGCTGCCCACATCAGCCAACTTGTAACAGGATACAGAAGGAAATAGGGGCTGTCAATACTTGCATCCATCATAAACTAATACATTACTGGATTTAATTTGATATCTCACTTGTGTGCTTTGTGTTCAGAAGAGTTCAATCAAAACAAAATATGGCTAGAACTGTATCATTTTTAATAAAAAATTATCACTTTATTATTAATTTGCCTCTTGTTGATTAAAATGAATAAGTTGAATAACTAGAATTCCAGAGCCCATTTTGTCATAAGAAATGATTACTTTAAAGAAATGGAAGAGAGATTAAGGTGAAGGAAAGTGCAGCTTGTTTTGTGGTTACTTATGGCAGCAGTGCTTTATTTTTGTTCATTTCCATTCCTGTGCTGTATGTTTGCATGCTTAAGCCCAGCACAGCTGTCAGTCTTATGAACCAGCCATACATCTTAAGGAAGGAATTACAGAAGAATAGAAATTTATCAGACTGGGGTCACACTCAAATGCTTTCAGACTAAATGTCAGGTCTAAACAAACAGTGCCGTTGTCCTTTCATCAATTGAGACGCAAATGCAGAAGCTGCCACAGAGTGAAATTAGAGTGATAGTTCACCCAAAATAAATCAACATTTCCTTTCACCTTCGTCTCAGCCTTATGATGCAAAATAACTTCTTCCTTTCAAGTGTTTGCTTCTTGCTAGTTGTGGATTTCTAAGTGAATCCGTTAAAACCATGATGAAGTAGGTTTGGAGTCTCAGTGCACACCTGCTGCAAACATCCCTTGTGAATTTTATAACCTGAATCCATGTGGCAAATGAACATATTTGCAGTATATGATAAAAGAGTTTTAAATAAGAAACTAACTCTTCCCAGTAGGAATGAATAATTCTTATAATCACAGGCTTTGTCATAATGTTATTTCCAGCATCACCATCCTCCTTGTAACCTTGAGAAGTGCTCACTTTGCATTGATGAGATGAACACATTTGTAGGTTTTGTTAAACATTCCAATTTGTACTATTTTGTTTAAAGAAAGGCAGCCTTGATGGTGAGTGTTTTGCTTAAATGCAAAGTCGAAATAAATTGAGTGCAACACTTTTCTTTAATCCTTCTTGTATGTAAAATTATTTTCATTAATTGCCAAAGAAAACTTCCAAATGTAAGTTTCTCTCCAAGTTTGAGATTTCATTGTTACTCTCCGCTTTAATTTTAAAATGAAAAAGTTGAATGTATCACAAACGTTTTGGGGAGATTAATGTTTGTTCTTGAAAATGATTCAGACACATATGTATGAAATAAATAAGCTAAAGGCATCAAATGAATAGTGTCTGCAAATTTTGTTAGTTCTGCCTCTGACATTGAATAACATTTAGAGCTCAAGTAACTTTAATTTTTTTAACTTATTTATTTATTTTCACTTTGCAATTAAAAATAGCCCTTTGGTTTATATTAAAAAATATATATTGAGGGGGAGAAGAGTATTTCATCCTGTTTATAAAGCGAGCCAGTAGCATATTTTTGGCTTATTAGAATAAGAGATAGGGCAAAAATTAGGTTAGCTCTCGGTTCAGAAAAAAAAGCATTATCTGGTCTGGTATGGAATTATAATATGTACAATTATCATTTGGCCTGGTCTCTCTGCTATTCAGCTCGATGAAATATTGGTGCATGGACATGGAGACTCACACACGAAAACAAAAGCACTGAGAACTGTGTGTTATAAGAAAAAAAAGACTAAATGAATGAAAGAAAAAGCTCAGACTTAGAGGTCACCCAAATTAATGGTGCGTCTTTCTCTCTAAGAGCCACTGACCGGGTCATCGTTGTCTGGAGGCAAGACAAGGGTCAAGAGGTGAGAGTTGAACTCTGGTGTAACTGCATATATTAGCTTGGCCTTGCAGCCCTCATGTCCACTCTTTGGCCCCACAGAGGTGCAATTGTCAAAGTGTTCTCTGTATTATTTCATTTGAATGCACAATTCTAAGGTTGACACCTGTTAAAAGTTTTAAACGTGCCTCATAATATTTTTAATTACAGCATTTTATTTCAAACCAAGTTTGATTAATACACTAGGATGAATTTTGTATATATCAACACTCATAACCCATGCAAAGACGTTAATTGAAAGCTAAACAAAAATATTCCCCTGTAGAGAATTAATGTGGCTGATGGCTCATATCTTGATATCATAACAGACATTAACATGATAAAAATGCCCGGTGATACCGAGAACACAGCGGTGTTTAAGAGTCCTGTTTACAATCATTTATTTTATATGAGAAGAGACGCGAATCTGGGAGGAATATTTAGGTGCTCAAACTGCTGGGGCCACCCAGTTTATGGGTGAATCTACAAAACTGCAAAGACATTTTATTGTCTTTGTTCCCGCATGAGTGTTCAAGCCACATTATCATTTTCTGATGCATCTATAGTGGTAATAAAAGACGCAACAACTCCCAATCGTGATGTCTTTGTGTTCCATTAACACGCAGCCTGCAGATGCATGTAAATGCCCCCAGATTTGTGCTTCAAGCCGATGGATAACCGTAGATCAATATTCCAATACGCACAGCCAATAAATCTGACATTCAATTATAGCATTTTAAGCTCTAGGTGATGGGTGAAAATCTCAAAACGGGACAAAGAGGCTACTGTGTCTAATGAAACACGAAAGTAGCATGAACCAATTCCTAAAATAAGCTTTGCCAAGATATACACTCAAAATTAGTTTAAACAACTTAAATAATATTAAATAAATAATAAAATAGTTTGACACAGTACCAGTGTGTTTTTTTCGGAATAACTTTCTGAACTCATTGATAACGATTATAAATGACGCCAAATATAGTCTCTGTTCCGAAATAAAAAACACAAAATGACCTGAAATCAATTAATTTAATTTGTGTGCTGTAAATGAAACTATTAGACATATGTTCTGTTGAATTAAATATATCCCAACAACGTCGGTTCCTGAATAAATTTTCCAAAATAAACAAAAAGCCCTACACAGCGTTTATGGTCAATTGAGTAAGTTTGTATCTTCGTTTACATTGTGTAAATAGGAGCGCAATGGGATGACTTGAATTTTAATATTCAAATCAGAGCGCCAGTCTGAAGCCGGGGAGAATGACAAATCGCATTCACCCGTTCTTGCATGGAGATACCTGCCATTGCGCGTCTCGCGAATAGCATCCATCGTTGTAAACAAATAAAGGTAAAGCCTGATTGAGAGCGATGCAAACGCGAATGAAAACATCTGCTGGCTGACGTCCGCACCGCCTAACGCACGACGCGCACGGCGCAGTTCACAAGTTCAGGGGCAGGTGCTCTGGAGAGGTCGGTCCGGCAGACGGCTGTGTGTCCAAAGGCTCGGCGTGTGCACGCGGGGCCCCGGGCCGCTGCTCGCACAGAAACCCATCCCTTTGCAATTTCTTCTGCTTCATGCGTCTGTTTTGAAACCAAACTTTCACCTGCGTCTCGCTGAGCTGCAGGGCGTTGGCCACCTCGACCCGCCTGGCCCGCGTCAGGTACTTGTTGAAGTGGAACTCCTTCTCCAGCTCGGTCAGCTGCTTGGTGCTGTAGTTGGTCCTCGGGGCCCCGGTCGCCGCGTGGTGGCCGTCCGTGCAGATGCTGTGGCATCCGGGCTCCAGAATGCCGAGGCCCGAGCCAACACTGAACCCACAGGTCATGTGCATTCTGGCTGGGAACAGAGCAGAAGGGGGGGGAAAAAAAGTCATCAGCAAGATCAATGAGGCGAGCCACAAAAGAAGCACAGAACTTCTCTGAATTAAATTATCCACGCCCATATCCTCAAAATGAGATCAGCATTTGCCCCAAAAGTTGCAACGTGAAAATAAAATCTTGTGTTAGAAGTCGATAGAATTTCTATCTATTCACATATTCCAGAAAAGTGAAAAAAATAACCCCAAAGCTGAATTATATTGAAAAGATACATTTAATGATCAGAAAAGAAATATTAAAAGCGTATCATATGAAATCGAATTGATTTGTAGGAACTGGCCTGAAGCCAGTTTGTTTTCGCTCTCTGCCATACATCTGTCTGTACAACAAAGATGTATTTCACAGAGGTATCTACTTCAGCAACAGCCCAAAGGCACAATGCAAAATCTTGCAGAGCTGTAAAACAGCCTGGTTTAGAATTTTGTGTAATCTACAGATGCGGACGCCTTAACAGACACAAATATGCTTTACAGGGCATCTCAAGTAAAGTTTTAAAATAATCACCAAAAGCTTTATATGGACACCTCTGGGAGATGTTAACATTCCATTTTTATTGCAGGGCTGTTATACTATTGCATTAAATGGTTATTGTGTTACTTGCTCCACTCCAGGCTGATCATTTTGTAGGAAAAAAAGTACAATACTGAAAGTAGTCTTAGAAGTGCTTGGCCATTCAGAACTTTGTAGCATTTACAGTCCATTAACTGTATTCATCAGAATCATTAATTATTTTCCTTTGGGCCATTCTGTGTCAATGACAGTTTAACAGTTTACAAATTCTTACAAACACTGCTTAGTGACAAATGTCCCCCATTTTTATCCTCTGAGGTTTCTGGGTTACGCATTAAAGTATCATCTGTGCTACTTATGTACAATGAATGACAGGGACTGCAGCTATATCTTGATTTTTCATTGTTGACATTGTGGGTTGTCGTCAGTGTGTCTTCGCCTCTGAGAAAATGTACTGCTGCTGTTGCTGCTGCATAATGGAGCCAGGTGTAGAGCAAAGCCTCCCACCACAATTCATTGAGTTGGAGGTTAACAGGCCTCCAGCCACTTGGAAAAGCATAGCAGATGGAAAGGTCAGTTATAGGATAAATGTCAACATCTGTGTATCAAGAAAATGAATGTGAAGGTAACTAAGAGAATTAGGAGGCAGTGAATATGAGGGGCCAATACGCAGAAGCTGTTCGTAATTAAGAACCTCAGCTTTCAGTAGTGCAAATCACATGCACATTCTGATTAATGGCTGCAAAGATAATAGAATTGATGCCAGCCAGAAGGCATAAAAGAATCAAACTAAATATTTGAGCAATGACTTGTACGCTTAAAAATAGCCAGCCAGCATATGGAATGGAAGGGCCTTCCAGACCAAGAAGAGGGAAGAAGAAAAGGTATAGATCAATACACATTGCCTCAGTCATCTGGGCATCCAGCCCACAGTAATTCAGGTGCTGTCAAAGCATAATTGAAGAATGACGCAGAGGGAGTATATACACTGAGCCAGGAGATCAGGTTACAGCAGGTCTTTGGAGGCCTTTCAACACAGAAGAATACGTGACACTTTTTCTTTTTTTTTTTGCCAAAACCAATACCACTTTTGCACTTTCACTAATGATTATTTTACAAGTTACACAGTTTTGCTAATGACTTACTCCTTCAGATGATCTCCCTCAGAGAGATGCGGAAAGGGGTTACAGAGATACTTACAAAGCTTTGTGGAAATGTCTTAGTGTGTGGGTGGGTGTGAGTAAATGACTTTCTCAAGTGCATGGCTCTGGATCAGATGAGAAGCTTATGTTTGTTTTGGATAGAGGGACTTCTATACCTGTCAAAGGAGCGGCTGCTGACGTGCATTCTACATTTTGACAACACCAGTGTTTATTCAAAACAATTAAAAGAATTGACCCTGCATAAGTAAAAAGTTTCTTGCAACTTTGTGTTATAAAAGACATTATCAGTATCTTTTATATAATTTTTTTGCATACTGTCACAAAAAATAAATGCACATCACATATCCTGTATTTGGATTTTTTAATCAATGGCTCTAAATTTGTCGTGCAAAATTTAAAATAGTTTCATGAAATGAAGGGGGGGGGGTTGTTAGAAAACACCTGTTTATGCCAACAACATGCAAAGGATGAGTTTATTTAGTGGTGAAGACCCTACTAGTTTCTTTGTTTTTCCTGATTTGAAGTTTGCAGCAGTTTCTCGTTGGGTTGTTACATCCCTTGCAGTGGTTCTTTTATGGCCTTTTACCACAAACAAATTGTGATAACATTGCATCGTAGGTCACTGAGTGGTTGGTCAGCAGCACCCTTCCAGCAGGCAGAGACCACCACTGCTGTAAATCTTCCTCTGTGGAAAATTTATGAAACCCAACCCAACCAAAGTGGCCAGTCAGTCAAGTGACACTATTGATCAAACCAGGGATCAGTATAAGATACAATAACTCAAACAAAATTGAGGATTGATAGGCATTTTTCACATTAGTGGCCTATTGGTATTTTTAAGCCATATGTGTTCTTCCACGGGCTCTCTGCCCAGAACTCATCAGTCAGTGAAATGATGATCTGTGACAGCAATTATGTTAAAAAGGTGGACACATGTAAAGGTGCTGCAAACTGAAATCAATACACAAGGGCTTTCATTACAAACAGACAACTAATCAATACTCAAGGAGCTCTCCAGCTAGAAGAGTAAGTTTTACTCAACTTCCTGTGAGTCTCGACAGGCAGTGGTCTGCTGCATTATTCAAAGTCTACTGGTTAGTAAGGGCAAGGCTAAATAATTAATCACCATCTGGGTTGAATATACACTGAGGCTAAGCAGGCCTTTCTCTGTACCTCACCCTCCCAGTCGGTACAGTCTAAATCCAGCTTGTAACAGTAGGTGGAGCAAAAATGTTAAATAACACTGCATGAAACCGTTAAGGAAACATGAACCGACTCTTCGTATGCATATTCAAATCTCCCATCGGGCAAACAGTTACTATAGCCATCCGAGGGTTTCAATTCACTTTAAATGAAGTTAATTCAGCGTTTTGCTTGTTGATGACGGAGAAAATAGTTTTTGGTGACGTACAAAAGACGTCAGCTATTTTTCTATTTTTTTTTTCAAGACCCAGAAGAAAACTTCTAGCAAACTTTCGCAGCTACGAAAGAAAACTTATAGCTCACACAACACCTACACTAACGTGGGGTGTGCTATTCCTACGTGTTTAAAGATCCACGTGTCCCTCTATTGACTTTTTATTTTTTCATTTTAATTACCCGACCGGTGCTGACTCCTTTTCATCCTCATCCACTCAAAAGTTTCCATCCTGTCATCCGCAGCTGTCCCGTTCCGTCCCGGGTGGACCCAGCTCCCTTTGGCGACGTGCATCTCTCGGCCGTCGTTTAACGACGTTTGCACGTGCTCTGGCGATGACCCAAAGCCGGACTGTCCAGCCTCGCCGTTGGCTCGCCCTCCTCCCGGAGAGCTGTGCGCCCTGAGCCGCCGGGGGACACGCCACGAGTGTAGGGAGGCCGGTGCGCAGCAGCCCCCGGTGCTCCCACGTAGCGGCTCAGGAGGAGGAGGAGGAGGGCTGTCCGGAGAGGTGAGCCCCGTGAGGCACGCAGAATAAAATCCAGAAGGAGCTTCCACCTCCTGTTTACCCTCCTCCTGGCAACGGCGGAGTTCAGGATGAGACCCGCCGCCCACTTCCAGGTTTATGACCTCTTTAGCTCGAAAGAAGTCAGTGAACAGAAGGCTGCTCTGCTCCTCGGCCGTTAACTCTTGATAGGAAGTCATTATCACCTTTTCCCCCCCGCATAGTCATTGGACGGGGGTTGCACTTTACGCCCGGCCTCTCGTGCATCCAGCCACGCACGGACGGGCGGCCGGACAAGCGTGGGGACATTCCACAGAGAAGAAAACATCCGTTTCTGATTGATGAGGATGACGTGCCCTCCCGGGCTCGGCCAATAGCCGGACATCTCTGACACCGGGAAGGGCCACGCTGACGAAGCCGAGCAAACAACTTCAGGTCAACAAGCCCAAGTTGTCCGCGCACAACGAGCAGGCCACAGCTCCACGCTGCTGCTCACCTGGCCAGAAAGAAGCACACAGGGGCACGAGCTGGAGCACGGGGGGGGCCTTCGTTTTCCCCACACCTGTCCAGACAAACGGACAATGGCAGAATCTGAACGTAGATGAAATACCTCTTCACAACTTCTGTGTTGGAAACTTCATTTTTCCACAGAACAATACAAACTTTTCCACCCCTCAAAGCAGAATTAGCATAATATAGGCCCAGCTAATGGATTATGCAAATCTGCAAATGCTTATTGAAAACCCGAGGCCCTGTTAAGCAAAGGGCTGAGGTCATGTGAAAAGCACACTTAATGGGTTCAGAGGTCCGGGCAGCTGGCATTTAGAACTTCAGCAGATTTCTAATTATCTTGAAAAGATTTTTAAAACACGATGTGATGCATTAAAACTCCTACCAGAGCCTAAAAAATAATATTAGTCTTTTCCTTCGGCTTAGCATAGTCCAGTAAGAGACTGTTAAACACTGGCAGACAGTCCGAGTGGTCTGTGTGAGCAGGAAGAACTGCGCAGCTTCTGAATTTTTTCACATGTAGAGCAGAAACAAAACTATGAATGGGCCCCACAGTGCAGCAGAAGTCTGATCTAATTTCAGGTAGCTAATTTAAAAAAAAAGGAATTAATGAAGCCAATAATCCTCATGTGAACTTCAGAGGATAATACATTTACAAGACGGTATTTTCTTTTGGGAATTGTCTTATGGACACAACTAAAATGAAAACAGGAAACTTAAATTCTCCAGTAAATCGGTTGTATTTTAAACTATTTTGTTTTTCGATGTTTTTAAAGGTGGTTGACCCCGTAATATTAAATTATCCCTGATGAATGAAAATTATATTTTCATTACATTCCTCATTTAATGTAATTTCTGTTAAAATGTTCTTCGTCACCGTATCCTCAAAAATATTTCTTCGAATCAAATACCATGCCAAACAACACCTAACATATATGAAAAATATATATATTATTATTATCGACAATAATACATTTACCAATGTCAATCTCTACTTTCCGCAACATTTAATTATCGCTAAAACCTAATCCTTAAACTACTCTGTTCTTGCCGGTTTATTTCAATATTTCCGATGTCATTTAAGTTTGTAGTAATCACAAAATAATTCAGCGTAATGAACAACTTCTAACTGCATTCTTACAACACGGAAATATGGTCCCAGCTGTGGGAGTTAATGGGATTCTACAGGCAGCGATGTGCTGAATGACTGAGTGCAATATATCCCTTCTCTCCATGCATTTGCATGGTGCACTGATCCATCTTCGTGTCAGCTCGGAGGTTACTCAGGGTTCACGCGCTAGCTTGTTTCTCTCCTCCACACTCAATAAATAAATCTCTGCAGCTTTCTGTTTACCGCCTGAATATAAATTTGTTTGCAGTCGATCGAAGACCTGTGCGGAGGTATTAGAAATTGTATTTCTGTAATGGCTTTCAGCAGGGGGAGGAGGAGGGGGGGGTCGGGAAGGGACTGCAGAGAGGGGAAAAGAGGAAGAATAGGAGGTGGGGAAAAAAACAGGTGTGAGCAATGTCTGCTTTTCCTTTTGCAACAATGTTTTTTAAAAAATGCTGCAGCCTCATCCTGTTTCGGCCTTTGCACCACTGATATTGCATTTAAAGTATTTAGTTTAGATTTACATAAAAATGACACAACGGTTTTAACAGTGTCCTATGTTTGATCGACACGTTTAACATGTTGTTCCACTTCACTGTAACAGAAGTTACACAATCAGTACAACAGTGACTCTAACATCTCTCTGTCCTTCATGTGGCTCATATCTCCCTGCCCACTCATTTCTGCTTTGGGTTTATTTGTCTTGCCACTCAGGTGAAATATGCAGTGAATTGGATTTTCCTTAAGCCAAACTGGAAAAATTCTCCCTTCAAACACCCGAAACACCCACTTCAGATTCAATAGAGGCGTTTCTCATCATGATCACTGTGTCAATGGCTGTGACTGCAGGTGAGGTAAACATGGCAGCTCTTGGGTGGCTGTGTCAGGATGAGGAAAAGGGGGGGAGGGGGGGGGGGGGGGGGTATTGACTGATGTTAATTTGTTTTGCTTTCATGCTCTGATGTGTGTCAATAGGCAGTCAAGGTCCTGGGATCAGCATGGCCGTGCTTGGATTACCTCCCTGGTTTAGACTGAACCCTTCTCCGGCCTGTGTTGACATTAGACCTTGTCTGGCCCTGCAACACTGTCAAGGCTCATTCTGGGTCGGCCTGTGACCCTCACAAGACCAGAAATCAACCAGCTCTGACAGACAACCGCCACCACGATCCGGGCCGCTCGCGGCTTTTAATGCAGTTCCAAAGATGAGAGGATGACAGCTATTGATGGCTGGTTTATGTTGCAAAGGCTCATCAGGCATCATGATAGAGCAGTTATGTGGCGCAGGGACAAAGGGGAACAATGCGGTCAAAACAGTGAAATCATGAGGAAGGGTCAGAGCATGGCTGAAGACGGGGCAGACAAAGTGAAGCCCATTGACAGGCTGAGATAGCTATCTATGTGATTGATAGGGCATGTCAGCTTTTTTCAAATATTGACATTTTTGAAAAATTGCCATGTCAGATGTAAGGTTTAGCTTAGTGTGTATCCAGCCCACACACTATCCAGGGAAGACCTCATGAAAACAAACACATACAAAAAAAGATAATCCACTCACAGCATGGAAGTCTAATTATAATATTTGCTTTGTTGTCTAATGATATGAAATCTATCACAGTTCCATCCTGATAAATCCAATATAACTGCTGTGCAAATGGCCGGGGACATTGCAGACAACTGCACCGTGCACAGACCCAACAGTGTGACAATGAAGCAATACCTGGCTAATACCGGGACTTTTCAACAATAGCCTGTAGTATGTGTTGCAGCTCTTCGCAGCTCCAGTGAGCCAAGAGGCTTGGAGTCGGCAGAATCCCAAACATCATGACAACAAGCCATCAGTCATCTTCCCCCCAAGCTGCCGCGCACACTTGTGTGTTTCCGGAGCTCTTACTGTGGGAAATGAGCAGGGTTAAACATGAAACAGGAGGAAATGCTCATCACTGCAGCTCACTCTGTAATATTCTCCCTCATGCAGCATTGTTTTAGCTGCAGGGAAAAGGAATGAATTGTTTTTAATATTTTTTTTCTGGCTTAAACATCCCCTGCTTGTTCACAATGCAGATCAGCAGTCTACTGTGCATACTAATCATGGTTATTAACAAATGGTTGATATAGAAATTATACTGTATTCATATGCAGTGTCACTAATCTTATGTTTAATTTATAAAATATTGCACCTGGAATTTAAAAAAAGTTATTTATATGCGAAAATAAAAGATTCATATTTTTAGAAACTATTAAGAGGTTTCAGGGGGGTCAAAATCGTATTATCTTTCAGTGTTTGAAAATTACAACTAACCTTTGAGATAGCTGCTCTGTATCGAAGAACAGAACTCAGAGTATTTTGTGTGTGAACTCCAGTGTTCCAGCAAAGGAATATTTGTGCATCCCTCAGTCCAAAAGTGAGTCTGCACTATCTAAACTTTGTAGTGTATCTGTGTGTGTGTGTGTGTGTGTGTGTGGTCAAAAAAGGCTTTTTAAAGGGATTTCGGATTAAAAATTTGCCTACAAAGCGTGGGTGTACTGCTTGAAAATTCATTAACATGGAAGTCTCAGGCATTTTCAGTTTTAATGTCAGAGGTTAAGTAACAATAATGAACGCAGGATATGAGAAAGAAAGAAGTCATTGTTTTGTGTAAAGTCACATGTTTTTTGACCACTACTTAGTCCCCAAAGTATTTTGGGGAAAAAAAAAGGTTATTTGGAAAGCTCATCAGAGCTTTTTTTTCTTTCATGGTTTACATTTCTGTGTTTAAAACCAATATGTGGAAATGGATTTCAGTGGTAACTCTAGGGGTGCTACAAGCCAACCCTGTGCCGTGATGAAGGTGATGAAATATTTATAGGACTATAAAGCAGAATTATTGCACCTAAAAAGATAAATATTTGAAATTTCACAGAGTTAGTAATCTGTATATATGAAGAAATGTGTAATCTGCTGCCAGTTTATTAAGCACATAAGTGAAAAATAATGCAGTCTAATGTAACGGTACAATAAATCCTATGTTTATAAGGATTATATATTCGCTTATGTGGACACTGCTGCCAAAGTAAAGCTGTTAATTATATTATACTGAAATGTTTTTCTAATATTGAGTGTATCCTCATCTGTATAAGTGGTCGATAAATGAACACTTTAAAGTTGAAAATAAATAAATAAATAAAATCTTGAGCATCATGATGAAGGATTTAGTGCAGGACTGTTTTATTGAATTGTGTTAATGTAATCTCAACCTACTTTATGGAAGATGTTGTTCACTTGTATATGAGTGCATATATATTTCTATATAGTTATTACTTATGTTTTCAGAGAAGTTGTGGCAAACAAAAAGAAAAAAACAAAACAAATTCCAAATGCTAGATACTTACAGAATCACATCAATATTTCAATATTTGAGCAGGCTATGCTGTTTGAATAAGCAATGCCAGCAGCAATCTCACCCACGGATCCGGCAATCTGACATCCAGCAAAAATATGCTGCAAGCTCCTGAAACACAACTCCATCTTAAAATGTTGTTTGCATGCAGTTTCACAGAAACGTAAAACGGACAGGCAACTGAGACAATTGAGCATAAGTCCTTGTGCTGGCCCAGATGACGCAACATATCTTGAAAACATCAGGTTATAAAAACAATTCTAAAATGGGTGTGTGTCTGCACTGTTATCCATTACCCCAGTTCAGTCATTTTCTACAAGAATCGGGGCCGAAAGAGAGTGTTCATTGATTAGGTCCAACGTGATGAAGCCATTGGAAGCCGAATAATTCTGGAGCATTCAATATCAGTCAGCCTGTGACATTTAGCTGACGGTTGTGCCTACAAGTTCATTTATTTGACCAGACCTCTTCAGAGAAAGAAGTCAGTTGTAGCTGCTGACTAACTCTCTGTGCCCCACGCCACTCACCACCACCGCGACAGTTTCATCACTAACTTACCTTTTTACTGTCACCGATCATTCTTAACTAGGAAGCACTTAAAATGTCATTGATCTTGATAATGCTGTGCTATAATATGACAGTAACAGTTGTACGAGATTCAAGAAGTCAAATTTCCAAGACTGATGAGTCATAGCAGTTGAGTTATAATCCATCTATCTGAGTGATGCTCATGCTCTTTTCTGCATGAAGGAGCGTACAAATAAATAAAACCCATAAAGGTGACACTGGAAATTGATACTTAACAATCTTCTTGAGCAACAAGCACCAGGAGAGTGGTGGGTAGCAGTTACTGCTGTGCAGGGAAAAAGGCTGAGAAGGTTAACAGGTCATAAAAGAAAACCACTTACGGTCAGGATTTCAGGTTTAGGATTTTACTCCACTGCAGGCGAAAGTTTTGCAGGTGAACCTATAGTCTGGTAAAGCTCCATGATTTGAATAATCCAGATGATGTAAAAGGAAAACTAAAATTTGATGACAGATTTTTTTTTTCAGATTTAGGAGTCAGCCCCATAAAACAGTAAAACGCTCTGCAGCGCATTTGTGCAGCTGTCTCACTGAGAAAAACTCTGCAGGTGTTTCACATTATTACATAAGTTACTGACAAAAGGCAAAAATAATGCTTTTGACTTTGTCTATATACCCATCTATAATTTTTTTTTCAGAAGCTATCAGCAGCATTACTGAGAGGGGCCGAAGTTTTTTGTTTCTGTGTTTTAATATTTAAAAGGACTATTGCACACCTGCAGACATTTTTTTATTCATAATGTAATAAGAACGGTCCTCTTCATGTGCTTCTAATAAAACTTGTTCACGAAAACATGAGTTTCATGACTGCTGGCCAGGGAAAGAAGGGAAAACTGTGGTTCAATTATTGAAACACACTGTTTTTACTGTTGGACGATGACTATCCCAAATTAGAAAAGCTTAAAAGTAGGTTTGTAGCTTATTGAATTAGTGATATAGATGGATGCTATTATGGTCCTTTGTAAACTGTTAAAACTAAAACTAAATTAACTGTGAGAAAAGCCTTCTGTTATATTTTGGGCCACCTTTAAGTCAGAAGACCAACCGGTGAATGGATTTGCACATTGGCCATGTTTATTGATACTGTCATCATTCATTTCATGTCAGACAGTGATATCCATAGAATGAATGGAATCACAACTTCCTAAGGCTCCAACTGACAGCAGGGGGATACTATGACAACAAATTGACAAGCTGTCGGTTTTATGGGTGTGTTGCGCCAGGGCAAAAGTTGTTGGAGAAATTGGAAGCCACACATCTTTATTAATCTCAGAGCAGTTTTGTTTTCACACTAACTTAAGAGACGTTGTGCACAGAGTATTTTTCAAGTCCAGTGGCAAATTAGTTTTGTAACAGCTGCGAACGGGACAGTCAAGCATCAGTCACAGTAGGAGGAAAACTTTTTTTTTTTTTTAAATTAGCAATGGACCGTAACCAAAGCTGGTTTCATGGCAAACAACTAACAACATCATTCATCACGTCAAAGAGCTGCTCATTGCAAAGCCTGAAATACAGATATGTTTAAAAATGCATGGAAAGATCTTCCCCTTTGCAGATCTTTCCTTCCAAAGACACATGTCAAGCTGTCAAAGGAGCCAAGTGAGTAAGAAGGAAATAATGACTTTAGCTGCTAACTAGAAGCAGCCTAATGTGAGAACAACTGGCTAACCTAATGTTGAAATGGATGTTGAGTGTTCCTTCTTCCAGTGGGGCCCTTAAGGGGAGGCTTTTCTTGACCTCTGGGGATCCCCCTTGACCCCCTGCACAGAATAACTGCACTCCAGTGTGTGGATCCAGCCTTTTAGCATCTGCGGGGAGAGTCTGCTGAAGAACTAGAGGTAAAGGTCCTTTTGAGCCTCAGTACCATTAGAACCATAAATCACCCAGCATATGCAAGAATCTCTGGAATCCAGCACTATCTGTTCCTTCTGCCTCACAATTCCTCCTCTCACGGTCTCTCTGAAAGTGAACAGATTTTCTGGTCAGCAGTGTTTTTCTTTGTTCATTTCCCCTCTCTCTATCAGTCTTTTACCAAGTCTCTGATACACTTTTCTGTATTTAATTCAGAATGTTCATGTCCGGGTGCTGTATGACTCGCCTGACATCTACAGAGACCTACACCAAATGGCGTCAAATATTTAGCAAATGACCTCTGATCTATGAAGTGATTATGAATTGGGAGCAAGAAGTAATCCTGCCCGGGATCAGCTTCACCACTGGGGCGGTTCTGACCGCTGTCAGTGCTGCTCCGTGACAGCTCATTCACATTATGGCCACTGATATAAAACTGTCAGCATGCATCAAATTTGTGTGCAGTTTTGTTTATAGAATTGATACTAAGGCTCACATTATCAAGTGTAAAGGAGAAGTCTGCTCTTTTATCATGCATTTTGACGTGTCAAAATGTTAAAACGCTGAAGCGCCAGTGACCCACTTCTGTCAAAACGCCCTTTTTACTCAGTTAGACTCCAAGGTTTTGAGGGGGAAATTAGATCACCATTATACAGCGTGTCTTCGAGAATCCGCTCTCCATAAAAGCACAGCGCATGCCAGTAAACAACTCCAAGTTATTCTTTAACATATCATATTGTCATCTGTGATTGAGTGGCATTGGTCTCCAGTGGCCCTGTAGCATGCTGGAAGGGCTTCCACACTACACAACTAACATGCCCCCTGAGAGGGAGGCCAGCCCCGACTTGCAGCACTACAATTTGGCTATTGAAAAGGCAAAGACTGGGAAGGAGGAGGCAAGAGATCTTGTCATAGTGCCCAGTGGGTTTAGAGTTTGTGGTTGGAGCACTGGAAAGGCTGCCTTGTCTCAGTGATTAATGATGGGGAACTCTGAGGCAGAGGAGAGGGAGAGGCAAGGATTGTGCAACTTGAATACACAATACTGTAGAGTTTTCAATGAATCTAAAGGTGTACTTTAATTTAGTTATAGAATCCTTCTCATTTTTTTCCATTTGGGATCTAAACCAGGAATGTTTAATCACAAAACACTGCTGGAAAAAAAATAGTTTTAATCAGCGATGAATTGGGTAAACACTGCACAAGAGCTTCAGTTTTCCCCAATGCATTTATTAAGCATGTACATTATAAGACGTCTCAATTAATCAACAGCAGTATGAAAGATTTGCTAGATGCCGTAATGGCTTTCACAAAAAGGTACCATAATTCAGCATGAACAATATTCCGTTCATTTCACATTTAAAACATTTTACACAAACAGCCAGCTTTTACAGTTCACAATGGAAGTATTCCTAATGCAAAACATGACAACCTCTTGCTTACTGTTTAAAAAATGTGAATAGAAAAAACTCACTCAGGGTCTTGTTTTGCATATATTACACTACAACTATATACATTTTACATTCATAAACAAAGTATTCATTCTTAAACAAGTATGGAAGAAACGTTCAAATGTCTCCTGTAAAACAAAACGCTAGCAGCAAATTCAAAGAGCAGTGGTCTTCACTTGCTGCGTCTGAGAAATGGAAACGATATTGCTGTAGCTCTGGTTTAATTAAGATGTCTTCATATAGTTTAATTAAAATGTGTAATGAACAATGAAAGGTTGTTTAAGGGGATTACATTCCTGGGATGATGATCAGACACCCTCCAGTCTTTCATAAGTAAGTAAAAGTGGATATGTGATTGAGATTTTGATGAGCGCAGGAGAGATGGTCATTATAGGGCCTCAGGGCCAGTTTGAAATGCCGGCACACTGATGACCATCAACGCTGGTGCAGGAAGGCTGTGGACCGTTTGCAGCAGATCTAAACATGCAGTCTAAATAGGGCAGCTCTGAGGGCTGGGAAAACTGGGATGTGCTGCTGTCTCTAAAAGAACTAAACAGGGACGATGTCGGACAGTCCGCGGAGGGCAGGTCTGAGGTCAAAGGGGAAAAATCTATGAATGCACCTGCTGATGGGAACTTCACATGGTCAGCACAAGAGTTTAGGCTGTAAGGAGGACTTCTTGTAAAACCTGTCGCTTTCCCATACATATATTGCCTCTTATGCCTCATTCTGCGATTTTGAAACCAGATCTTGACCTGTCGATCGGTGAGCTGCAGCCCAGCAGCCATCTCCAGCCTCCGGCCACGGTGCAGGTAGGGGCTGAAGTGGAACTCCTTCTCCAGCTCCAGCAGCTGGTTGCTGGTGAAGGCCGTTCTCTCCCTTCTCACCCCTCTGCCCGAGGCTGTAGTTGCAACACCACTTCTCACTGATAATGAAAAAACAGATGAAGAAAACAAAATGTTCAGAGGAAATGTCTCTAACAGCTCTGTCCAGATATGCACTAACAAAAGGAAACACCCTCGGGTGCCAGCCAGGCCCAATTTGTAGTCTGCTAATCAAGCTAAGACAATGTGGAGCCCTCATTTCTTATTCAGTGAAGCTGGATACACTATAGAAGACTGGTTGTCTACTGTTTCATGTGTTGAGGGAAAGTTCCCTCCCCAAGATGCAGTCTGGGGGAAACATCTGACGCCACTACGGCTGTCTGACAGGCCACATTAATCAGAGCGACACACGGAAGCAGAACTGTCAAATCCCCATCTCAGTCACTTAAAAGGTACCTTGGGAACAACACTGAAAATAACCACCATTAGGGATTCAGCTTGACATGTATATGAGCAATACCGGGACCCTGTTGATAACAACGTGACACAGAGAGGTTAATGGAAGTTTAATAAGACCCGTACTGAGAGCCTTAGAGAGAAAGCTGCACTCTGTAACAGACTGTTTTCTCGTAACATATTGGCTTGTTAGTATATGTTGGATACATATGTCTTTATATGGAAATAACAGCATCAATAGTATGATACTCCAGCAATTATAAATGAAATTGCTGTTGGCAGCTTTCTTTCTTTGTGGATGTCTTTTATTGTTGTTGTTTTTATTGTAAAGACATTTGTAACTGTGCACATACCATCTTTTTGGCAGTGCATGATGTATGTGTTCAGAAATAAGAGAATAGAAAGTTATCTTCTTTCCCATTCAAAAAGCACGTACACATTTGTAAATTCACAGTCCATGTGCTGCAGCCCTTCTGATCTGAACATTTGCCTACAGGAGAGGCAGAACAAACACAGTGCGACGCCACATTTGTTTAACTGTGCTGCAGCATTTCACCATGGACTAAAACGAAAGTAAGACTTTGCAAGCTGTTTGGCGTTCAGGTCCACACAAAAAGTAGCAACAAACAAAAAAAAGTTGTGACACAATTAATCACTCCATACTTTGTTTTAGCTGTTCAAAATGATAAAGAAAAAGCCTTGTTACCAGGTTGTTCCGAGGCGGTTGTCCGTGGCATCATCCAGGGGAAAATCCCCCCTGAGTGGCAGATGGTGAGTAGACTGCAGCTCCTGCTCCTGTCCAGCTTGCCCTTGGCATGACAGTGAACTGTAGGCTCCAGTGGGCACTCGGGCTGTTGCAGCCTGGAATTGACAATATAAGAAGAGGTCATGTTTGGCTTCGCTTGGCCTCCTCCTTCTCTTCCTCCTCCTTCACTGTATCCCACATTTGGTTTTGGCACATGTCCAGATGTCATGGCAAAACTGTTGCCATGCATATGCAGAGGGAGGGCATCAGACTGTTGGGGGTCCATGGAACCGGCTCATCAAACTGTCTAAAATAAAAACCAGGAGTCCCTCAACAGCAGTAAACAGGAGGACTTCTACCTGACTAATAACAGATCACAATTAAACTGAATGAATAAAGGCATGCGGGACAGAGCACTTGAAGTAAACCATGTGGAACATTTGAATAATATTTACCAGAAGGGTGCCCCGTGTCACGTGTGGCCGTCCACCAATGACTGAGCTCTGGAGTTGCAAAGTAATCCGCCAGCAACTTGGGGTGCCCGACGAAGCCTCTGCCATATTTCTTCAGACATTTCAATGAGCAGTCTGCCTTTCTTTATCTAGGGATTGAAACAAAAAAAAACATAGTACGAAATATAAATAGTTACGAAGAAGTGTGAGATTGGTGTGCAGGAGAATGAGAGAGATGTTTTTAGCCGGAGAAGGGGAAATGGCAGAGACAAAGATAACACGTGTGGTGAGGAGCGTCTTTTTAGAAAGAGCGTGTAGATTTCTTGTAATATTGTAAATCTTTCGAGAGGAATGGGAAGAGAGGACGCTTGCAACTTCACAACCTGAAGTGTTTGGTGGTAGGTTCTCATCACAAAATAACGTGAAGACTTGCAGCTGCGAGAAGATATGTCTGTGCGATTGTACCATTTCCAATACGGTTACAAACCGCTTACCCGACCATTTTCTATTTTGCTGGAGCTGTTTTTAATTATTAAAATTTGCTCTGCATCCCATAGAAAAAAAATATGATAACAAATCTTGAATATCCCTGTGTTTTCGTAGCTGGAGGTTTAATCAACAGTAAAGGTGTTTTTAGCATTCGAAGCAAAATCAGAAAAAATAATTTAGTTACCATAATTTTCACCCCATTTAAAAGTGCATTAGAATTCGGCGGGCTTTTTCCTTAACTAACAGCATATGCTTATAACTGTCGGAGTGGAAGTGTAGCTTATTAGGATTCACTGGGAGTGGTCAAACAAAGGCATGACAGTCATTGCTACACAAAGACAAAGGAGGCAATCATTAAAGATTTTTTTTCTCCGTAGGATGACTCCACTCATTTGCATTAATAAGGCATCACTGTACTGTATCGGTCGGTGGCTCTATGAAGCAACATTGTGGACATGTTTTGATGCTCAGCCCCGTTTGGTGCACGCCTGCATGGACAAAAGGAGGACATGTTCAGCACACAGCTCCAACGTGCGCCTGTTTTCAACCACAGTACCCAGCACACAATACACCACGGGGATCTGGAAACACACTCTATGAAACAGCAATGCACTTGTATAAAATATGGAATTTTCAACTTAATTTCACAACAACAAAATAAATATCTTTTTGCACCAAGAGCTATTTTGTGTGTAAATTTAGTTATTACTGTTGGGATGGGGGAACTAAAAAAATGTGTTTGCTTAATTTAATCAATGCACAAATATATATGCAAAATGGATGAATCGGTAGAATGATTAATCTTTTTTTTTTCTTCTAAAAAAAGGTTCAGACCTTGACAGAATGTTGAGGGAAGCTTTGGTATCTGTCTTGGTTGCATCTTCGGATACATCCGAAGTTCCCTCTGGTGTTTCAGTGCAACAAAGCTGTCTAGAAAGCCCTCTTTAGATGTCTCTGAGGTGATGGATTATGCACTCAGGGTTGCATAGTTTGGAATGAGAGGAGCCTTTCTCCCTCCCTGTTTCACCCCTGCCGCCACTGTCACCGAGGTTTTACCTGCACCCTCAGAGTGCAAGATGTCACGTCCATTAGAACTTCACTTAAATAATTAGACTGTTTCAGGTCCAACTTATGACAAAACTGAACCACTTCAAAGCCCAAACTGATACCCCTAACACTATAAATGTTTTACTATTTCATCAATTTTTCAGCCAACATTGAACTTTTTCAGGCTTTAGAATTTTTGTGAACTTTTAGCTTTTAATTGCTGACTATGCATGGTTCATATTTGTCCTTTTGTGCTTTTTAAACTAAATTGTAAAATTACTTTCAGTCTCGAGATCATGTTGAAGCACCAGATGAATCACAATTACAACAACAACAATTATTGTTATTTTTATTTTTATTATTATTGTTATTATTATTATCATTAATGTGGTTGTTGTTGTCATCATCATCAGGAGAGGTGCTTTTCACTCAGGCTTGGGTGAAAAGTGATTCGATTCGTTTAGTTTTCCTTGCCTCACACCCTTGAACACACTCTGCATTGGAGATAGAATCTATGATATACTAGCTCAGCAAGGCCATAATTTAGCTCCTCCGCGCCTCCACCACAATTCTCCGTGAACTCTGTTTGAACTGCCTCACTGGCAATAAATCATTTTTCTCTCTCACACAAAAGCGCGCCGGTCGCTCGGGGTGTCAAGCCTTTTACAATTCCTCCTTACCTTCTGCGCTCTCTCGCCTGCTGACACAAACAACCGCGGAAATTGTCGATAAACTTTTATTTTTCATACCAATAACCTACAGAGGGAAGGGAGAAGCTGCAGAACGGGGGACTGACTGCAGCAGCACACGCGAGAGGAAATCTGACCAATGCGTAACAGTGCTTCTATCCTCCTTTCCAATAAAGCATGCATTAATGTAATACATTCCTTACACACCAAAAAATACGCATAATTGTTTTTCAGAGCTTAAGGGAGGCACGGACCAGTTAATGTATGTCCAGGGGACAGAGAAGCTCAGATAAGGGGAGACTGAGAGAGCCGGGGAGAAGACGCTAATGGGCAGAGGATGCTGTCGGTTAAAACGGTGCATACAAATGGCGCTGTCTTGGCAAAGCAAGAAGAAGATTTATGGGCCCGTTGCCCTATATTGCTGTAAACAAAGCAGAGTGAAATGAAAGGACCAGAGTTTGCAGACTGTTCTTCATAAATGAGGAGAAGACACACGTTGTCAAATTCCCAAACAGGTCTCCACTTTTTGTATAAGCATGTGCATTAACATATGACATTAGAATGAGCCAGTGTCCCCGTGGATCCTGGCCTGTTGGAGAGTGGAGGCAAACACAACTCCTGCTGCTTGGAAAACTACAAAATGGAGGTAACACTTGGATATAACATTTTTCCTCCTTGAAATATTTTCCTAGGCACATATACATTCACCCACTGAATGTTGGCAGTTTGACAACATCAACATGTCCTTCTCTCTTTCTTCTACTTTCTTCTTAGATTTTTTTTTTTACAAATAATTCAATCTTGTGTGTTCAAACTATGCTTAAGACATATTTAGAGAACAATATATAAAGTTTTAGAGCGTTTAAAGTAATTTTTACAGTTGAAGTGGTCCCTAAAAAGCACTTGAAGATGGCTCGTCAACACACATACACACACAAACACACACACACACACACAATCTGTTCGTGTTTATGTTAAAAATAAACCCCAAATCCCAAATATTATTTTACCTCACATGCTATTACCTGGGCATAACTGTAATTTACAGCATTAATAATATACTCTATCTTAGTTTAGTTGTGTTTCATATCAAAAGTAGTCAACTTTGTTTCATTTTGTTAGTTGTTTTCTTTTTCACATGTTTTCTCACGTGTTTCAGAACAGATTCAGTAAACCTGTTGCATTTAATGAAAACATCCATCAGTGTAGAACTACACAGGGACAGTCATCAGTAATCCAAATGCACGTCACTGCAGCTTCGATGCAACTGGTGGCAACACCGTTGACTCACTTTTAGAAATTATTCATTCAACATAATTGTCCAACTCTCAAGATTCAATATTCACCTTTGATGATAAAACGTAAACACATAATGTCTGGGCACTGGGGGCAGATTTGAACGGGGAAAAATTAAGATAATTTTGGGGTTTCTCAATGCTGGAGCAGTCAGACAAATTCGAGATCTCTCAGCAACTAGATGTGATGACATAAAGTACACTGAAGTTCAGCCACAGCGCCATTTTCGTGTGATGTGAAGTCCACACTGGAGTGTTTGTCCAGGCTGTCTGCCACTCCCCGCTTCGAACGTTTACCATCGATGACAGCAAATCTTTCCAACCTCTTCTGATGGCTTTTTTTTTTAATCTAACTTTGATGTAAATGAATACAACTCCACCTCCAACACTGGCTTGGCGTGCACACGCGCCCTGCTGCCAGCTGGAGCTTCTTTTCTTTTCTCTTCTTCTTTTTTTTTGCTCCCTTGAGTGAACGGATGGGAGAGAGATTTACGGATTTATGACACACCCACTGCTGGTCAATGAGAAGCAGCCTCTCCGTCCCTGGAAAATAGCAGCGTGACCCCTGTTTCAACCCTCGGCCTTCCTGCAGCTGCCGTGGACGCCCTTTAGAACACACTGCACGCACACACACCCGCACCTTTCCAGCACAAACCCGAGGAGGCACTCACCTGAGAGGAGTGGACAAACACGTGTCGCTGCTCAGCCCGGCGCGGACAATGAACGCCGGTCAGAACTCACGTGAGCGCCAGGGCAGCTGCTCGTTTCTGTTTTGCGCTTGTTCAAATATTTCGATGGCTGCTTGAGTAAAGTTTTTATATCTTCCGAGAGAGAGAGGGGGGGCCTCGCCCGAGGTGCGCCATAAATCACGGTGGAGCCTGCAGCGGTGCAGGGGGAGCTGGAAATCATGTGTGTTTCAACAGAGTCGACCCGGAGAAGAAACAGCGAGAGCTGAGTTAGTGTTTAGGAATTTAAGCAGTGAAACTCAAACAAACACAAATGCACCGTCTTTCGAAAGCTGGTGGGGTTGTAAATAGACACCGCCCCTCCAGGCTGTAGACTTTGAGATCAAAATACTTTTCTTAAAGTTAGAAAATAATTTTAAAAAATCATTAGGTCAAAGAAAATAAAGACATATTCATATTGGGATCAATTTTAAAATGAATGGTGGTCGTCTAACTCTTAACATCGTAATTTTGGACTGTACTGATTAACTCAATCTGTGAGCTCAGTTCATGTGGAAAAAAGACGTGCAAAGCAAACTAAAGAGTACGAGTTTTCTCCAAGAGTAAATAAAGTTTGCTGATGGTTGCAAAACTGGTCCAGTGTGTAAGAATGGAAACGTGAGACCGATCCAGATTTATAACAACAAACGACGAAGTTGCTTGCTGTCGAAATGACAACACAACTCTCAAATTTTGTTTATACTAACCCCAAACACATCCAAGAGACATGTGTATGAACGGCCCATTCAAATGATGCCCCGTGAACTGGATTTGCACTTTGCACAAATCCTCAATTACGAGAGCCCAAACAAACGGTCCATGTGGTCACTGTTCAGACTGTAATCTGAGCTCCACCTGCAGCTTGGAAAGCATGGAGGGCAGGACTCAGGGATCAAATGTAACTGACACAGTGAGACACAGTGACACGAGTTTGGCTGTCGCTGTCAGCTATTTGTCTTGGAAGACAAGCTGTGGAATATTTTTCCATCATCGCTAAATATTTGGCCTTTGCCACGGAAGAAAGATGTTGCTCTAATTACACACTGGGATTCTTCAAACACATTTGAACCTACAATAAAAGGAAAATATTTAAATGAGTCATCACATGGTGGAGAGGGTTTTCCTCATCGGACACAGGGAGTGGTTTGATAATGTCACCATTTTATCACTAAATATCAGGGAACGATTGTAAGTTCGTGAAAGGCAAACATTTGAGAAAAAGATAGACTATCATTGAAAAGTTTGCAAGGTTTTTCTGAGCAGAAAGCTTGAAGGTCTCTGTCCATAAACTAATCACAATGAACCAAGTGTCCCAATACTGTCAGAAACACCTATAATTGGCAGCTCTCCCTTGAACACAGAGGCCAACCTGGGACTAGTTAGTCACTTAAGTAGAAGTCACGTGACCACGCAGAGTTCAACTATTTTTACTTCATCTTTTTTTAGGGGACCTGAGGGACTGTTACTAATCACTGGGAAAAATGTTAGTGCCCCCCCCCCCCCCTTTTTTTTTTTTTTTGCTTGTTTCTAAATTTAACCTTGCTTTTTTTAACCAACTGCAATGCACAGGGAAATATTTTCTACAGTTGTAGGAACTATTTTGGGTATGATGGAGGGATGCTCCAGTCAAAGACGTGTCCTGGAGATCTGCTGGATGCAGAGAGGAGCACTGTCCGAGGGGCTGCATTGCTGGTCGCTGTCATCCTTGTAACAAAGGGAGCAACACATTCAGTGATGCCCCGCTGCAGGCCCCTACATAGACTCGATGCAGAAAAATCAACAAAGAAAGCCTAGGCCAAGGGGGACCTGCGAGGGCGCACACAGAAGGTACACGTACAGCGAGTGGGCCAGGTCACAGGGTTGGAGAGGTCGGCCATCCAGACTGAAATGAGCCTAATGGGACAGAAAATGTGTCCTCGAGGTGAACTCGGCCTTCTCCCATTTCGCCTCCAAACTTCAATGAAGTACCTTTTCAGCCTCGCGACATGGAGGCGACAGGGCCTAGAAAAGAGCTGGAGGGATGCTGCGACTGTGGCGAGCACATTAATTTCTCTAATCTGTCCGGCAACATAAAGGCTTCTGGATTCATTTTTCAGCGACGTCTCACCACCATTCTAGTGCCTTTCCAAAGCCACACGTCCCAAAATCAGACCTTAACATCTGCTCCTGCTAAAGTGGTCTCTTTTCTGATGTGCATTTAGAAAATCCACACTTGTGGAAAGTGCTAAAGATTTCAGCATGCTTGATAATATTTGGATCAAGAGTGGCTATCTTCAGGGCAGTTTTCCAGGACCTAATACAAAGCTTCGCGGTGAAAGATTGATGATGGAGAATATCTATTCCCTTTGTGTTCCTTTGCCTCCCACTACGCAAGGCATTTTATAAGATCTATTCATGTCACAGTTTCAATAATCTATCAAATTCTTGCGCGTCTTTGGGTTTTAGTCATTTTTAAACTCCATCTGTCCACAAGATAGATAAATAAAGAAAGAAGTCTTGCAAAAGGAAAAAACAAGAGGAAAACACATGTCAGTTAAAGGTGCCGTTCGAATGCTAAATTTCTTAATCAAGTAGGTTTACAGCAGTAAACAATCCTACAGTCCGCTGAAAGGCGCAGGGTGACGTTGCACAGAGACCCCCTAAGCCCCTTGTTTTAAAATAGTTAGGTTTTTGTATTCTCGCGAGTTGCTGCGCACCATGGAGGTAAAGTGCACTGGGGGGTCAGAACAAAAGGCGCCTCCACAAGCAGAAGTAAACATCTTCACGGCCAGAGACTGATAACAAAGCTCAGCCTGTTACCTCCTCAATGTGAGATTTGGACCAACACCACACGAGCCATTACGTTGAATCTATCGGCAATTGACGACTTTATTTTATTTTCAGATTTTTTTTTTTGTTTCACATGTGAAAACTCAGTCGTATATGGCGCAGTGGAGTATAGAAAAAGCAGGGCAACTAGTTGTGTTACAAAATCAATAAGAATATTATTACAACAAACTATATTCTACAACACGTTACAAATGTAGCCTAAATGAACCGCATGCATCTTTGTGTTGAAGTCAGGGCTTGGTTTGTGGCACCAGCAGAGGCAGTGCAGCGTGGACTGGAGGGCCTCAGTGGCTTGGCTTTAGCCTTAATTGAATGCCCTTCAGACTGATGAGGTTGCACGTATAATGCACAGCGTAAACTACTTCTTTTTCAGATTTCATACACAACTTCAGTCCATTAAAAGTGAGGCTTTAACACAAACATGCACACACACCCCCATTTACACACCCACGCACGCCATGCTTGTACACATTGCTGATTTAAGTGCGCAACAAATCAAATAATAAAATTGGAAGAAAAAAAACAAACAAAAGGAGCTGAGGAGTTGAAAACCTCAGCCTGAAAACACAGTGATTCTTTTTACCCTCATTAAATGTTCTATATTCACACATATGTACAGTGTTAAGAAGACCCTAGACCTCCTCATATTAAATGAACCGGAAAACATATGTAAAACTAGTAGACACTCACAGTTTTATTGACCAATATGATTAGCACAAGTACACTAAACTCCGTTTATTGCATTTCACAATAGTCTGCGTTTGAACGGTCTAAACACAACAACAACACCACAAAAACTAAACTGCAGATCAAAAATCCTGTTTCCGAAATACACGAGGTAATTCACACATTGTCGTAGTCCTAAAGACACAAGTTCAAGATCAATGGTGTGTTCCAGCTTTTTATATACCAAAAATAATTATTATTATAGTGATATCCTTCCAGTGTTGTTTGAAATAAATAGATTGTGCATTTTACCTTGGGCAGCAGGGCAAAAGAATGGCCCACGATAACATTTGGATAAAATGTATATTTTTTTTCTTCTTTTTCCTCCTTCATTCAAAACAGCTTTTAATAAAAAACATCATAATAATTGAACTTCAAATAAATTAAACCCTGTGTCACGTAAAAATAATTCATCGGTATTCGCAGTAATCCATGCCATATAACATGCATTTTATATAACTTTGGACTCAAAGGAAACCGCACATGATAGCTACGAAAACAAAATATATAATTGTTCTATAAATAACCAGTTCTTTGTCTACCCCCACTCTTGGTTCGTGGCTTTTATAACCTGGTAATATCCTCGCCATGCTGTGCTCCGGTGAGTTCGTCGGGGGCCCCTGAATTAGTGGCCGAGGCAGCGGCCACTCCGCCGGCTGCTGAGCTTGTGTTGGACCCGGAGGAGGAAGATCTCACTTTGGTGTTCGGAAGCCTGTGATCTTTTTTCCATTTCATCCTGCGGTTCTGAAACCAGATTTTAATTTGTCGCTCGGAGAGAACCAGCGTGTGTGCGATCTCGATGCGCCTCCGCCGTGTTAAATACCGGTTATAGTGGAATTCCTTCTCCAATTCTAAGACTTGCTGCCGGGTGTATGCTGTCCTAGACCGCTTTGGCTCCGTCCCATTGTAACCAGAGTTCACTGGAAAAAGGAGAAGTGGAGAGAAAGAGAGACACAGAAGGGAGGAAAGGAGGGGTAAACAAGAATGGCCTCAACTGAGATATGGCTGCAAAGATTTATTGGACATGAATGTTTAGCTGTTTGAGAAATTTAAATGGGAAGTTAAGAACTTCTCAGCGTAATGAGAGGACACTCACATCCAACCATGATCTAAATTATTAATGCAAGATTACAAAGCTCAGTTTTTTTCCCTCTTATTCCTTTCTCCCCCTCTCTCTGTCGCGCAATACATAACAGCAGAAGCCACATGGTGATACGGCTGCCCTGAGTATACCTCGGCTATAAAATTTATGGTGGGTGTAATTACCAATGCCGAGTCGTAAATCCGCCTCAATTGTGCCATTTCAAAGGCTTCCCTGCTATCGAAGCAGGGGCTGGCAACGAGATGGGAGTCAGAGGGACAGATAAAGGGAGGGAAAAGGGAGAGAGGAGCACGAGGAGAGCAGGGAACATAAACACACAAGTTGCCTACCAGTGCTGACGTGAATTTTCTTCATCCATGGGTACACCACAGGCTGTTTGGAGGAGGCTGTGCTGTTTGGATGCTCCGGGGTAGCTTGGTTGCAGGCGGAGGTGGCGGCCGGTGGGGTGGCAGGGGACATGGACAACTGTGGGGTTTCACATGAAGCGGGCTGCCCTTTCCCTGTCAGCAGGTGCGCAGAATGGGGTATTCCATGTCCCCGTGGCGTGTCGGGCTCAGGGATGCTTGCACAGTTATACTGGCGCTCTTGGTAGCTCGCCCGCGGAGGATATAACTCCTGGTGGTGATGCTGGTAGCCAGTGTCCCTTGCGCGGCTGTAATATTCTGGACTATGCTCAGGGATGTAGTTATTTTGCGAATATTCCTCGCATGGAGGAAATTTCGGATCAATGTAGTTAGACTCCATCAAATACGAGCTCATGATCATTAATTTCTGGAGTGGAAAATAATTTTTCTAGCTTTGTCGTTTTTCTGCTCCATAAAGCCCTCCTACTTGCGAGCAGCCCTGTAAAGTTACTTTAACCACGTGACCCAATGGCCCAATAGCAGAGTAAGAGGTAGTTCCCGGATAAGGAACCAGAGGTATTTAGCATACCTACAGTCGCCATTGTGGGCACAAAGCTCTCTCTCTCTCTCTGCCTGTGCCTGTCTCTCTCCCCCTCCTTCTCCTTCACCACCCCCTCTCTCTCCCTCCCTCTCTCTGGTTGTGTTACCAAGGCAATTGATCTTGAGGACAAAACTAGTAGCTGCTGACCAAGGAAAAAATAAAACAGGCAAAATCCACTGGTCTCAATTATTCAAAAGGGACAATGGTTCGCCAAGGATAAGGCACAACAATAGAGAACCAATCATTTTTGCTAGTTTGCATGTCTTATATAAAGGTTGTCTGCTAATTAATGAAGCCACAGTCTTTACCAACAGCACTTCAGCTGTGAAACAGATTACGGTCCATTAATACAGTTAAGAACTGGAGCTCCCTGTGTCTGTAAAGGGGTAATTCTAAAAGAATTTCAGCACTAATTCTTGCCAGGTTGTTACTCCTTATATTCGAGAGAAGTGGAGAGGTGAGGTGCAAGGGGGGTGTGGCTGAATTTGGATATCAGGCTTGATCATTTATAAACCTGGACAAGACTGGACATGAAGAGACAGCTGCCTGAGAAAAGCCTCCCTCCCACATGATATATGCTCCAGTTCTGAAATAACTATCCTTTTTCTTTCAGGTTATTCGGCAAAAGAATTTACATCTGTTTTTAATTTGAAGTTTAGCCAGAAAAAAATGTGTGTCTGATTTAGATTTTTGTGATAACACATTCTCAGCCAAAAAGCTGTCTGTGTAGCGGCAAAATGTGTGAAACCAAAGGGGCTGCATCTTAAATGAACAAAGTATAAACAGTATATCATGCTGGTTCAACTTAGTGGTGCTCAAATGAAAAGCAATTCAAGCCAATCTATCTTCAACCTGAGGGAATTATAAACTAAATTAAAGCTGTATTCATGTAAAGTTTTATTCGATTTGGGGTCTTTCTGTGCCCCCAGCAAAATGCCATAACGCTGCAACATATTTTAAAAACACAGATCAATGATACATAATACAGCAAATAACAGAGCAGGGCTGTACTGATTCCACAAATCTGACAACTCTGAGCAGAGTACAACATCATTCTGAGGCCGTAAATCTGTCAGGACTGAAACCAGATCAGCATGACATCACAAACCAGTGAGTCTGAAAAAGCTCTAATCTGTTCACTTTCAGGACTTGTACTGTGTCATATATGGGTTGAGCAGAATGCTCAAAGTTGGTTCTAGGACCAGTGCCACATCTTAGTCAGGAGAGCTTAATTTATAATCCCTCCCATATATAAGGAAGCTAGAGATGCTTGTAAATAGAGATCAGAGATTTAACTCTTCAGGGCTGCATTATTTAACCATCATGAGGGGACAAGTAGCCATGTCTGCAATTCTCTGCAGATGTTGTGAGCTTTGAAAGGGATGTTGAATGAGCAAACTACATCTGCTGGGCACTGATCCTGATATGGGATAACAACAAAGGGGCTGAAAGGCATATTCCATAAAAGACAACATGAAGAGGACTTCAAAGAGTGCAGCATCTCTAAATATGCACAGAAATAACTAATTTAATATTTGAACATGTTTCATTGACATTCATGTGTTTTTTAAAAAGTATTTTCACACCTATTTCCAAACATTCTTTATTTAAACAGATATGCACCATCTTCCATTAATTACATGCTGACTGATGAACTGACCATCAGCTAAATTACTGAAAGTCCTCTTTTCAAATGTGAACTGACTCTGTTTGGTTGTTTATGCTTGCTACAGGTTCCAATTCTTATTTCAGCCAGCTGTAAACAAGTTAGTGGCGAGTTAACCCCCAAATATCTTGATAGCTTATGCTTCCAATAAACAACCAATTTTAAAAAGGAATAATAATAATAATAATAATAATAATAATAATAATAATAATAATAATAATAATAATAATAATAATAATAATAATAATAATAATAATAATAATAATAATAATAATATAGTGCCTCTTGAGCAATAATTGCCATGTACAGATGTGAGAGCACGTAACTATTTTGGTCAACAGCTGCATACTGCAACACAAGCAATCTATTGTCATAACAATAATGACATAATAAGGTTCAAACGACGTGAGCGTGCATATCATAGTTCTGGCCGTACTGTTTGTAAAGAATGCACACGACATTTCTATTACTGCTCGCGAGGATGTTCGAGGCGTTTTATAGAGCAATAAAAGCCGTAAATCAGTCACTTTTAAACGACCCCTGGTCTCTAACGTGTTTTACAGGGTCCTACACAGTAGTAGCCACCCGCTGCACACATGGCTTTACTCTGTGGCCTACCTACACAACCCATGGCTGTTTCGGACTATGAACACATTATGTGACAGTGTTATTGCACCGTTATAAGTGTCCGGGTCCAGGCTCCAGGAATCATCGCCCATGCTTGTTTGCAAAAAAAAAAAATAGGAGAGGAGAGGATTCAAAGCTAAAGAGACGTGAGAAAGAAGAAGCAGATGCAGAACAATCCACTGGCTGGCGCGTGGTATTTCAGTTGCCCATGTATTCCTGTAGAGACGTATTTGCGATTGTTTTTACTCCACACAAATTCGGTTCTACAGGGTACATATAGACAACTAATGTGTTTTTAGTTTGTCGCTGCAGAGGTGGTCTGCCGGGTAAACGTCTTTGCAAGCTGGTTATCATGTCTGACATCGAACTGGCATGCATTACAAAGAGGTGCCATAACACAGTCCCCTGCTGCCACAGAGCAGAAATATTCCGCAAAGCGTAGGCCAAAGCGGTTGTTGTTTATCAGGATTACTGAAGCCACAAACATAAACCAGATCTCTGCTATTGGAAATGTCCTCTCAGTAAAAAAAAAAAAAAAAAGGAAAAAAAAGACTCGTGCGCACACACATATGGCTGCACACACCAACACACACGCTTAAGCAGAGGACAGAAAGGGTCTCTTTTCTCCACATTCAGCCTCTGCCTTTGAGGTGGCTCCTGTATGAATATTCAGCCACAAACACGCAGGACACAAAGGGACGGCGTGACAGCGCAGATGAAAAATAAGTTTCTATTGTTCCCAGCCATTTCTTCTGCTCGCTATTACCATACTGACCGCTCCGTAACCTTTCTTGCTGCCACTCTGGAAGCTAATGAGAAAAGCCTCGGATGAAAAATGTAATATCGGACATGTGACCTGTTTGGAGGTTATTAAAAACAGAAAGCATGCTCACGTTGTGAATCGATGGAATTGATCAAAGTGGAGGTGCACATGGAATTTCGAATACCGTCAAAAACGCCTAAATCCGAATTTATCTTTACTGGTATCAGTTCGATTGACTTTGCACAGATGTGTTTGATCATTTTTTAAACTTTTTCAATATTTCCAACGTAAGATAACCGAGCACTGAACTGTCTCAGAAACGAGCACGGAAGACTGAAGCCATATTAATTTGCTTTGCCATGTCTAAACACATAGTGTTCGCTGTGCACCCAGTCGGTGTGAGAGAGCAGCACGCAGCCATACTCCCTCTCGCCCCATGCGCTTTGGCGCACGCATTTTAATATTAGTTAGACAGCCTGACCCGCGTTTCACCCCTCGTGTTTGACTGGTTCCAATAGTTCACTGCCAAGGATTATTGATGGAGAGACAGCAATGAATTCTTTTCCCTCACAAATGGTTTTCAGATCGTGCACCTAGTTCAATAACTAGTTATAATGTAGAAGTAGAAAAAATGAGACCCTCAGGCGGACTAATTTGATGTTTCATTTGTTCGTTTGAGAGATTGTCAAGTTTTCGTCCTCCCTCCCCCCAACTGCAAAATAGCAGCTGTACAAGCGTGTTCACACATGTAGCTTACATGTGTAAACAAAATGAATCTGTGCAAAAAAATATAGGCTACATATACATGAGGAGGTCCGTGCGTAGCTGTTTTCAATTTGGTGGCCGAGTGCCTGACCTGGATGTACAGGGCAGCAATATTGTGTTCCCTGATGAAAACGGTTACGATGCGCTTTTAATCAAACCCTTAACCTAATAGCTTTTACACATTTACTCTCCCCAGGTGTAATAGCGTTATGCTGGATCGTCCAGTTGAAAAAAGAAAGTTTTAATGAAGTGCAGACAGACTGTACGCTAGTTTTATGGGAATCCTCTTTGCAGGCGGTAGCCAGATGAGCAAAGGTGCTTTTACAAATGATATTACAAACCGATGGTTAGTTTTGCTGTAACGATAGGGTTTAGCACAGTTAAATGCAGCTAACCTCCCAAACTGAAATTCCTATGGTCTTTTTATAAGTTAGGTCCAGTAAGCTTGTATGGGCTTAAGATGGTTTTAATAAAACTATTGCTTAAGAAGAAAGTTCCAGACATCACTAATGGGTGACAACAATAAATAAATAAACAAATAAATAAGTAAGTAAGTAAATAAATAAAGGCATTTTCAAATTCCTGATGTGAGAATAGACAGCTGTTTGCCTTCGGCTAAATTGCAGGTTCAGCCATGGCAGTTCAGTCCTGACTGAAGTCAGGTGGACATGCGTGGAGTGATGTTACACTTACGGATAAATCCACGCCTGCACTCATTCTGACCCGACGGAGTGTCTGAAACAAAAAAGAAAAATTCTGATTAAAAAAAGCCCTGCGATGTTTGTCTGTCTGAGATCATTAAAAAATAAGCTATTTACTGCCAGGATCACTTTGGTGTAAATTCAGTTTGGGCCCATTTCAAATGATTAGCATTGAAATCTTTTATAAATCGGTGCAATCGAAATTAAGATTTTTAGGGGGGGGGGTATCCTAAAATAATTCTTTATGTTTCTTCTTTGAGAATCTAAAAATTAATCCTATATTTGAATATTTAAACTTCAGGACATTTCGTTTGCCTACTGAAGCAAGCCTGTGCTACAGAATATCTCTGTCATGTAGCTCCAACAGAACAGGGACCGATGACAGAAAATTAGGACGGTTCTTTTTCAAACAGTGTAACTAAATTTACAAGCTTTTTGGTATTTCCTTGGGCGAGTGCGCTATGAATAGAAATCATTGTATTTCAGCGGAGATGAATTATGTCGAACAGTCAATAAAAAAAAATCCTGACTCTGTCTTCACATCGCAAATAAATTCTTGCCGTGTTCTGAAACTATGTAATGGTGCTTTATGGTTCTTATTTGGACTCTGACAAAGGGAAGTCTGTGCTCACCCGGAAATGACCTCTGCGGATTGAATGATGACGATGTCAGCTCCACAGGTCAAAGAAAGGAATACAAGAGCACAGCGAAAGCGGATGTTTACGCCGTTTTCACTTTTATTGGGAGGCTATTGTGTTATTTTTTTAGTTTTAGGACGAAACTATAATATTTCTGTTTCAAATTTCCTGGTTGCCAAAGAGTCACAAGTACGGCATTCTTTCGATATGCTGTGCACTGTGGCCTCATTCTAAAAAAGCATTTTCTAATAGGAAATGTAAATTAATATTTTGTTTTTGACAGATAAATTAACACAAACATTTTTAGACAAAAGCTTATTGTTTTATCTGTCTCCTGATATATAAAATGAATTAAACAAAATAAAAGAATCCTCTATGATATCATGGCATGATACCCCCCAATTCTCACCCAGGAGCGTGTTACACAGTGCCCCCTATTGAAAGTGTAAGATTGATCCTGGACACCTGGGGGCTAACCTCTAACTTTTTCCTGTCAAAAACAAACAACACTTAGTCAAATAAGGCACACACCAGCAAGGGGATCCTGACAGCAACGTCTTAGGCAGAAAACAAGCCGGAAACGTCTCATTAGGATGAGAGCTTAAAATTGAAATAGGCCTTTTCATTTATTGGCAAATAGTCCTTGTAGGGGCTTCCTGATAATGCATCACTGTTTGCAGGTGCACCCCTGTTGCACCATGCGCCTCTTAGCCTCCATTAAACTCATTAGAACGAGACTTAATATCAAAATGTGCCCTTCCACACGCTGAATAAAAGCGGAGAGCTGCTTCTGAAGGCGGGGCTGTTTGCTTAGACATGAGGGTAATTGAATAAAGTGTCCAGCAGAAGCACAGAAAATGCGTGAGGATTAAAGATCACACTGTCCCACCGGTTTCCAACCGGATCAGCATTCTGCCCATAAAACGAAATGAGTCCAACGAAGAGTTGGTGTGATTATTTGCTCAGCACTAAAATAAAAAGAGGGGAGATAGAGAGAAAGATAGACATTTGCACGCTATAGGGTAACTGGGGGAAAAACTGTCTAAAGATGACATCCAGACTGCTTTGGCTGGACTTTGGGCCGTCTTCAAATAACACTGTGTTCCAAAAATGACCTTCCAAAAACATGACGCCATTTCACCAGCACACGCAGTCCCCTAGTTTCAAGGTGAAACAATAAAGTCAACCACTGAAATAGTTTTTTTCTTCAGCTCTTAAAATAAAATAAAAAAAGAAATATGTCTTACAAATTTTAAGCAGAGTCAATGTCATTGTTTGCAGAACAGACTCCAAAAGGGAAGATTCTTAATAATCCCCCCACCACTCCCCCCCAAAAAAATCTATTCACAAATCCCATCCAAACAATTCTGTTGCAGACACTCTGAGACTGTGTGGTTTAAAGAGGGGGAGGAAAAGGGGGGCTGGATGGGGAGGAAGGTCTCTGGTGGATTTTTCTTAGTTCTGTTCCACTTTTTGTCTTGCAAGCAGACAGATTTCTTACAAAAGTTTTTTTCTTTTCTGGCACTTAAAATTCTAACGTGCATAGCAAACTGTTGAATCTTGCTGTTTAACACGGTGGGCCAAATTTGCTGCAGGATTTAAAATATCTAATCATCAGTATCTTTGTTATTACGGCCTTTATCCAGAGAGAAGTTAGATTTAAAATACATTCACGTTCACCAAATGGCTATGATCGGTTTCTCTGCATCACCCTTTTTGTATTTGTTTTTTGTTTTTAAGGGGAGGGGAGGGTGAATAAAACATGCAGATATCCCTTATCACGTATCGACCTGAACATTTTCCGTACACTCAAAAATCCTCATTTTACACACGTTCACCATTCACGGCCAAAGAGTTTTATCACGAAGTCAAACGGTCAAAAGCTCACGCATTCCACGTCAAACTAACACACAAAATACGCCAAAAAAAAAAAAAACAATTCTCAGGGTTGAAAAACGGCAGACGCAGGCCTCTTAGTCAAAGTTAAAAGCAACTTACAGCCGCAGCTCGCAGAGCTCCGTGTGGCTCCACTCCTCAGTCCGCAGAAAGGTACTGCATCCCCACTGCCACAAAGCGCTTTCCTCCTTCGATAAGGGGAAGCCAGCAGCTGCGATTCCGGACAGTTAAGATTATATATGATGTGTATATATCGAAGGTTTGTCAGCTCTTCCAGGCCATAAAACCCACTTAAATGACACCACGTGCTCCCACTGCACCATTCACAGGCCCTGCTTGGGGCAATTGGCATATGTAACCTTGTAAACTTTAAAATACCCCTAAAAGAAAGACATAGAAAAAGGGACTGAATACAGCGTCCACATGTAGGTTAGGCCCAACAGAGCGAGAGAAAGTGGACGCTGTGCTGACCGCTTGTCTTTAGGTCCAGGAAGCTCTGTGGGAAGCTATTAGTTTGAGAGGTGAGTTGATTTTTTTTATTTTCTTTAAGTAGTGGTGGAGAGAAAAATGACCTCATAACCTCGGGCTATACTGTGTTATATCTACTTCCAACGTTCCTATTGAATTCAGTCACTTAGCAAGTGGCTTGATTTTTATGTCCTCCATAATACTTTACAGTTCTTTTTTTTCCTTAGGTACTGTGGGATTAAACAGCAAGGCGATATCATAAAAGTGGCCATATGGCCTTTACACTGATGACGCTTCAGTCTACGGTGACAGGAAATGAAAGTTTAGCGTCCATTTTGTGTTGTTATCACAGGTTAGTGTGTCCCTTCCTTCCCTGACAAAACAGGAAACGTGGACTGGTGGAAGAGTGGCAATAAAGTTTTATGAGGGCTTTAAACTTCAGAGCGCGTTTGTCAGCCTGAGAAATTCTGGGGGAAAACTAAAAGTACACAGTCGAGCAAGAGAAGTCTGCACTCGGAGGACGTGCAACCTATCCAATAATATGATCTAAAGCTTTTTGATAATTGTTCGTTCAAAGTCTGTCTCAAGTTAAGGGGCGAGACGATAGAAGTGGGCACACTGACAGTAGGAAATGTCCTTAATTATTTTATTGGTCACAATCCACAAACAGACCATCTATCAGTTAGTCTAGGCCTTGGCTTTTCCTGGCAACTTTAGCTGACAGAGGGGGGAAAGAGATAGCTTCATTGCACATTACATTATCATCACATATAGTTACTGAAGTACACACATTTCAGATTCATAGGAATATGACACACAACAGGGAGCCGCTCACAATGACATTGCTCACCGGACACACCAAACGTTCAGACAACAATCTTGACTGCAACACATTGACTTTAAAAGAAACGAAGGGGGGGAAACGTGGCTGCTAACTCTTTGCTTGTGGGACAAGTTGTGATTTATTTTGCCTTTTTCTTGATTCATCGACCTTAGATTTTTAACACGATGACATAGCTGGAGGGATGCAGGCCCCCCGCCCGGTCACCGCTACACTTAGCCCAACAGTGAGCCCAGATTATTAATATTGTGCAGCTTTTAAGTGCAACGCAGACTTAAGCCTGGCAGCGTCAGGGCCCCTCTCAAAGCTCCTGTTCCCCTTCGCGCAGTAAAGTGAGGTTATCATCGCATAGGCGGCAAATTAATTTAGAAATGTAAACCGATTGATCAAAGTGAGTGATATTCAATACATTAGGTCCCAAACTGCAGCAAGTGACACATAATTGGTGATGAAGCACACAGAGCGGTGTCATGATGTCATTGCTCCTAGCGGTTCATCCGAAGGTCAGGCGGCACTCCAGCACTGTGCAGGCAGCGAGGGGCTGAAAACACGCCGCGTGCATGCACCCACTTCCCGGGGTGCAACTTTTACTCCTTCACTTTGATCTTTGAGTCCTTCTTCCACTTCATTCGTCTGTTCTGGAACCAGATTTTGATCTGCCTCTCGTTTAGACACAGATTGTGGGCGATCTCTATGCGCCTGCGGCGACTCAGGTATCGGTTGAAGTGAAACTCTTTCTCCAGCTCCAGAGTCTGGTAGCGGGTGTAACTGGTCCTGGACCGCTTACCCTCCGATTCTAAAGTGGTATTAAAATAAGTTAGTGTTCAAGAGCATCATCGTTGTCAATAGATATTGATAATAGGCAAGGATACTGTTGCATAAAATAAATCTCGGTTATCCACAAAGTACACACTGCAAGCAAAGATCGACGCATAGCTGTGGATTTGTGCAATAAAATGTATGAAGTGCTGATAAGGATGAGGAGATAAATATACCAAGCAAAAAGAAAGAGGGCCCTCTGCTTTGCTTCAAACTTGAAAAACAATATCCCAGGTTAATAAATCGTCTTTAATTTCACTACTCTAAATAATATCGTTGTTAAATCTGGGCCTCCTTTTAAACATTGCCTCAGCCTGATAAAGCTGGGCAGCAATGAAGAGGTTTGCAATGTTTTGCAAGCAAAAACATATAGTTCAAATAAACAAAATTAATAATACATGGAAACTGATATTTGCCATATGTATATACAAATATATTTTTTATGTATATTTATATTTATATATCTATCGTGCTACATAAAGCCACAGGCCTGTGGTGCTTGTTTGATGTGAAATTGGAAAATGTGCCTCTGGATATTTGCATAATGTCGACGAGGTTGTTGGGGGGTTTTCAGAAAATATGTTTAGAGTCTATGTTGCAGTCTAGTCAGTCGTATGTCTGCCGGCATGGAGAAGAAGCATGCCTATTCAAATCTTTTCGAGGTGAAAAGTTCATGATTAGGTCAGGGCATTGGTGTTTCCCAGAGTTCAATTTAAGGCTAAAGCGTTTCTTTCTCAGAGTCCCGTGATGTAAAACACGAACGATAAAGGGCAACAACTAATGCTCTGATTTGGATTTGAGGTATCATTCCATAGTTGTATCATAGTTTTGCTCTCTTATCCAATTATACAACCATAAATCACACCACAGATCACCTCTTCACCGTAGCAGAGCAGGTTTACGAGCAATGGATGCCTTTGTCATAAAATTTATGACCACGAGTTTTTATTATTTCCTGCGTTTGGCCTATAAAACTCAAGAGGGACAACTGGAACGAGCGACAAGGAGAGTTGTTACGTTAAGAGTGAAAAAGGGAAAGCGTCTTAGCCGCACTTTTAGAAAAGAGGCAAACTTTACCGTGGCTCATGTGCAGTTTTGTCATCCATGGATAAATCTGTGGCTGCTGCTCACTGTCCTGACGCTGGCTCACATTTGTGTTTCGTTTCAATGACTGCGTGTTGTCCGCGTTTTTGTCGCTTTCCTGGCTCTTGTTGCCGCCGGATTTGGCGCTCCTGTCGGGCTCTCTGTCCAGCCCTCGTCCCAGCAGAGTGCTGCTGCCATAGCTGAGCCCGCTAGCGTCCACGGACGAGCTACTGGAGACCATGGTTATCCGTGGTCCTGACGGGAGAGGAGTATCCGTGCTGCCACGCAGGCTAGTTTTCATCTCCTCCCGCTCGACAGAGGTCGTGGGGACGGGACAAGAGTAAATCCCGTTCACATTAACACCCTCATAACGGCTGGACTTGCGCCCAGAAAGATCGAAACTAAACATAGTGTTAGGAGAAGTTGTCTCGCTTGTTTGCCTGAGACTGGAGCTGTCAACATAGGTACTCATTTTAACCACCGACACTTTCTTTTGGAAACTACAGAGGGCTGCGGGAAAGGAGCATTTCCTTGTTTGTGTTGATCATTGCTTTTCTTTGTAGACGCTTTTGGAAAATTCAGAGCTGTCTACCCTTAAAAAAATAATCCAGGATTTATAGGTGGAGAAGGCTTTGGTATCTTTTTTTTTATTCTTGATCCGGCGTGCTCTGCCCAAATATGGGGTATTTGTATGCGATCACGTGCGCATGTTGGCCAGTCATAAATTGGCTTGATACTCAATGGGGATATTGATGAATAGGAGAAACGTGTCCGGTAAACTTTGGGCTGTTGGTTGTTGGGGACCAGGCTGGGGTGTTTAGCGCAAAAAGGGCAGGACAGTAAGACAAGAGCGTCATCTGGTGTCTGGAATGGAGAAAGGACGGACAGGAGCGACCTCTGACGCGCTGACAGTCCAACAGCATACTCTTTGTAGTAGTAGTAGCAACGATAATAACATTAATAATTGTGACAATAAAAATAATAATAACAATAAAGTAAACAGCTACAACATTTTTCTATTTGTATCTGCATACGTTTCTTGATATATGAACACAGCTGTGTATTTGAACTATTGTAAAGAAGCGGGGAAAATGACGGGATGTTTGTGTTTATACTGTCCAAATGCTCATTCCCATGATACCAACCCAAAAAAGGCGTCCCAAATTTGATTTTAAAGAGGACATAGCAAATAAAATTGTGCGTAAAATCTCTCCAATAGCCAAACGTCTATTGCTTGTCTTGACAACCCACTGAATATTTTAGGAAACGGGAAAAGAAAGAGACTCGTGATGAAATTTTACAAAGTAAGGGACATTTTTCCCCAGTCTTAAAGAATTTTGGGCTTAATTGAAATCTGCCTTTTGAAAGACGTCTAGTTCATGTTACAAAACGCAAACAATGACAAGAAGACAGGACCAGGGAGAAAGTTTTACAAAGATTTTATTTCATGATACACTGTTATGACAAAACATGACATACTGTTTAACTCTCAAACAAAAGTGGAGAATTACTAGTGTACAAATCTATCCCACAAGAAAAGCGTATTATATGAAATGATCAAAAACAAGGAGTTAGGCGCAATTTTACATAATGCAACTCCTAACAAAGCGAGTTAAATGCATAGAGACTGGCGGAATGGACATAATATACTGTTGCTTTTATTATATACAGGCGCTTGCTTTTTTCGTGTGGATTGGAAACTCTCCGTGCAACTCTCAGGTAAATGCAGGGCCCTTTTCTGCGGACAATTCAAGTACTAGTTTACGCTGTGATCAAGTGAGTGTCCACCCGGTCCTTTTTGCTTAATGCCGTGGAATGTGCATGTACAATAACGAGCTTAGTCAAACCAACACTGTATTGCGTGTGGTGATCAAAGAGTTCACAGTGATGGATGGGGTGTGGGTGGTAAATACACAGATTTCCTGGAATGGGAAATAACGCAGAAAATAATACTTCTTTTTATTTTCACAATACAAGTGAGACATAGCAACAATAATAATAATAATCATAATAAAAAAATATCGATGCTCCAAATGTCACAGGGACCAAACTGTGGATGAAATCATTTCTAAGGCTCCACACACTCCTGTGGTCAATATGAGTTAAAGAGCAGCAGGGCAGCCATCATGCAGTGAAGTCGCTCTCAAGTCCATATAGATTTTTAGGTAGTTACGTTGGGTTTTAATGGTAATCAGGTGATTTCCTCCCCTCTTCTTTCTAACTATTCTTTCTTCTTGTCCTCATCCTTCCCTTCTTCCACTGCGCTATTGCGCTCCTCTTCCTGTGAGGCTCCTGTCTGTTCATTTCCAGACACCGTGGAGGTCAGGTTGCTCTCTTTCTTCCATTTCATGCGTCGGTTCTGAAACCAGATTTTGATCTGTCGCTCCGTTAAACAAAGCGCATTGGCGATTTCGATGCGTCTGCGCCTGGTCAGGTAGCGGTTGAAGTGAAATTCCTTCTCCAGCTCTAGTGTTTGGTAACGAGAGTATATTTGACGTCCTCTGCGCCTGTCCGTCCCATAGCCCACTCCTGCTGGAATACAAAAGTAAAGGCACTAATTTAATCGCCCACAAAGCCAAGTCACGCTTCACATTGAAACATGCCTCTGCCTGTGGTCTGATTATACTTCAGGCGGTGCTAAATAAGATAGTTGATCTCAAGTTGTGCCACAGCGTTAGAGCGAAAAATCCTAAATCTACAGTAAACCATAATTGCAACTCGGATATTCCCAAGAGAATACTCTGTTTATTAATGCAAATTATGGAACCATCCTAACACATCCTTTCTGTATCATGTTACCGATTATGGCCACTATATCATTCTTAAAATGAAAGCTGTTTGTTTGCACATGTTAGAGCTCATCTACAAGTCAAGGGGATACAGTAATGTTTTATGGGGCCATAAAAAGTAACTTACTCTCTTGGTAAGACAAATCGTAAAACTGGCCCATTTCCTTAATTTATTTGTCGTAGTAAAACTCACCGCTGTGTGAGTTCATTCGCTGCATCCACGGGTAGATCGGGATGTTACTTTTCTGCTCCTGGGCTCCTGCTCTTCCTTGATCCAGACTGTACTCTTGAGCAATGTGGCTTTGTGTGTTGAGTCCCATGTTTGTTTGTCTGCAGCTGGGCAGCACGTCCTTGTCTTGAAGAAACACATTGGATCCGTAATCATACTGTGTTCTGCCAGAGCCAAACACGACATTATCTTGAGGGGAGTAGAAAGGTGCATATATCCGATTCTGGGTCACGGCAGCGCCGTAGGACGAAAAATGTCTGACTGTGTCATAGGTGGTGGAGTTCAGAGGGACGTTAGGCAAAACATCTTGACCACCGGATAAATGGCAGGAGAGCGACGGGTTTGCGAAATAAGAATTCATACCTTGCTTGTAACCCTCTCTCCAACTCTCCCCACTTCTTTATCGCTCTCTTTTCAATCTCCTTTTCAGTAAATCTTCCTCCACTCTGTGTCTGCCAACTGCACGTTTCTCCAAGGTCTTCGGCTTTTTCCTCGACTTTCCGCCTCTCTAACTGGAAGGGGGCTACTTTGAGGATTGAATATTATTAATTTCCAATCTCCGGTTAAGACGCACAAACCCGAGTGTTATAGCCGAGGCTTGGCTCGGTGAGAGACAATATGACAATGTCAGCTGACCGTTCTCAACCAATTGAGAAGCAGGAGTTGAGACGAAACTGTAGCTTTTAGCTCAGAGCTTGAACATTAGTGCTAAATGCCGATAAACACAGCGTAGACTTGGAGTGGCACACTATTCAGCCCGGCTGGATATGAAGTTTTTTTGGCTTGAAGTTTAAAAGTGTGCTGTGTTTAAAGGGAAACCACCGAGCAGAATGTGGCCAATGACATTTCAGTGCTGTGATTACATGGAAGGGAAGCAGGAAATCTGGATGAAAATACATGGAAACCTGTCCATGTGTGTCTTAGAGGGTGTAATTCAGATAAAAATTAACAGCTATTATGAAATATAATACCGATCCCCGAACGGAAACAGTAATCTCTTAGTGCGTCTGTGTGTGTGAGTGTGTGTGTGTGTGTGTGTGTTGTTAACTCAGATTTTATTTCACAACACCACAACAGAGACACAGGCTACAGCAGCTGCTCTCAGTCGTTGCATTTTTATTGGAAGTCAAACGAATATTAGGCATTCAGTGTTTATCTCAGCCAAATCAAAGAGTTCCCAACTAACTGTTAATGTTCCCTTTGTGTATGAATTATCTGGCAAGTGAGCACTTTCCATGCTTTAGCAGTGAACTGGGGGAGGGTGTAGGTGGTAAGAATGCGTTTATGGTCTCTCTTCTGTGAGGGCAATAAAACAAGTGACGTTCCCCAGCTCACCAACAACTATCTCTGCAGCAGAGCTTTGCAACTCAGGCAGAAATCTCTCCGGTTCAGAAAAACGAAAGCCCCGCACAGCATGAGGAGGCAAAGCAAGAGAAGGGAGGGGAATCGATTGCAGGTACACCATTAAGAAATATTATTAAGAACTGTAATTATGTGAATCACTTCTCCCATTATCTTAAACAATAAAAGTAAACAAAAAAAAAACTAAACTAAATAATCAGCTTTGCGGTTTTGCTGTCCAGCGAGATGTCAGACAAACCGCTGCACAGGCCAGCTGTGGCCGGTGCTCACGGTGAGCGGCTGCTGCTGCTCAGGTACACTCTCTTAAACTCCCAGCATTAAAATGCACGTTTCAGAACACGTTTCTCACACCGACCAGTCCAACTGAAATCGTCCCCCACAGCACGTTCGTGTCTTCTCTGTTCTGAGCTGATCTTGTGGCACGGAATTCCCTTTGCGGAAGCAGAAACCGACAATTATCTCTGCAGCAAATTATGGGTTAGAACATCACTTTGGAGGTGTTTGGTACATATCTTGCACATCTATTAAAGCAAAACGGGGTGTCTGTTAATTCAGAAATTATTGCACGATGGAACACATCTTGTGCGCTTTTCGGAATGAATTCTTGAAAAAGAAAAAGTTTAGGACACGGCATTTTATCTTACTGATATCCAATTCTGCCAATTTAAAGGCTTTTAAACGGAGTGAAAAATAAAACTCTATGCATGCACTTGAAAGGGTAATTTCGCATTATCTCTCCGTTTTGGAACAAGCCATAATAGATACCAATAAAATAATCAATAATGCTATTGAAAACGTCTGCTCAAACGCGGTCGCTTTGGCTACAGAAGCCCATTGGTTCAGCTCAGTGATTTCTTCAATACAATCCTAAACGTGCAACACTGTTTGGTCTGTTGTTTGGAAACTTGAAAAGCCCATAAAAGAGACAAGAACAAAGAGAAGGAAGTAGCTGGTGCAATAAAAGTTTCTCGTCGCCTATTCGTGCCCATATGTGACATCCGAATCGAGGAGAATTCAGACAAAAAACAGCAAAAAGTTGGAGTCTGTATTGCGCAGACATTGTTCTTTGATTTTTTTAATGCACTTTACGTGATATTTTCCTCTGATTTTTAGAATTAAGTTACTCGTCAGATGATGAAGGGGAAGAAAAGAATTCCAAGAAAGGACGAAAATACGAGCGTTTAAATCATTTTCCATCTCTCACTGTCAGAGAATAGAAGGTTTGGCACTAAATGCATGAAAACTAAATATGAAATCATGCCTTGCTCGTCCTCTCGCTTCGCATTAAAAAAAACAAAAGGCTAAATGTGGAAAAAATCGGCTCTCACTAGTGTGACTTTCTTAATTTGTCACACTCACGACGTCAAAAACAGGATGTGTATTGGACTTGGAAACGCCATTCGTTTCAGTTTACCATTTCCCCTGACTTCACTCAATTAGCCACATCTATTTCTCACAAAAGCGTTCAAAACTAATTCAAAATTCGAATCTTCACTAAACAAATGCAAACGATGGAATTTTGTCATTTTATCCTATTTTCTGTTTTGCTTTCCAAACCCAGTTTTTCCCCTCTATTTCTGTTGCTCTCACACACAAACAGGAAAAACACGCTTGTCCATAAAGTTGGGGCTGTAAATAAAGGCTGAACAGTGAAGCCAATGTGTGGACTGGAATGCAGCAGAGGTTGTGTCAGTGTGCAGAATCAGAAAGGTCATTCTTTCCCCAGAGTTTTAGTGTTTTATTGCGGCCCGTGAGGCAAATCACATGCACGGCTTTAGATGCACGAAGAGGGGAAGCCTTTTGGTTCACGTTTCCACGGTTTGAAAAAAAGGCACAATTTGACCTGTGATGAGCGAGTGAAAAAGAATCGTCTCAGAAGAAAATATTGTTTGAAACGATAGTCTGTATAAATAAAGGAAGTGATTGCGCAGCGTTAGGGATGAATCAATGTGCATATACAAGAATCTGCAGCCATCAGGCGCCGAACGTTAAAGCCTGAATGACTGTTATTATGGATATGATCATTCCTATAAACAATATTGTTATTGTTATTATTATTGGCTTTAAAATCACTTTTAAACGAGTTCGTTTGCTGCCCAGGCCTGGCTTTAAAACAGCCTGCTCCCTTTGCAGCACAACGAGGCCCATCCACGTTTTGGAGCCCACATCTTATTTTCTACTTACACAGCCGCCATCCAACGCCACAACATAACTCAGTATTAGTTCTACGGTACCTTTGAAATTTCTACATTATCAGCCATGATTAAAAACACAGCGAAGGAAGCAAAGTCTGGTCAACCCCTGATGGTTTTTCCTCTCCCCCACTTATAATAAGGAGTAATTCACATACTAACAATGTAAACCCCTTCTATAAGCACTTTGCCATCGCTGGCTGGCCCAATTAATGTCCGGAAGTGTTCGGCTTTATGCTCGTTAAGCACTCAGGAAGCTGTTGCCCAATGAGCGCATGTTGATCCACACTTCATAAATTATGACCATTAGTAGGCAAAAAATTTTTGCCCTGTCGAGATTTGTAAGTGGGGTTTTAAATGTGGTGATGCCGACATATCCATGACATATTCAGGTTTTATGGGAGCCTATCTCTGGTTTTAAAAACTCTATAGGGCTAAACAATGGGCTGCGGTTTTCCCCTCTTATTTTAAACTAAGATTTACCTAACAACCTCGGCGATATCTACTAAATGGGCTGTCTCTTTCTCTCTGCAGGAGCTGTGCCGGGCAAAAGCGGACACGATCCATTGCAGCAGCAATGTTTCATAAGGGAAAAGCAAACAACGTGTGGAACAGTAGGTTATACGACTTTAAAGGCTTTCACAATGAGGCTTTGCCAGTAATTGTATTTTAGAAGATTGAAACGTGGAACTGCTGAACTGCAGCAGCAGGCAGAAATACATGAAAGGAATTTATTGCACAGAACTATATTTTGTCTCTACACAGACAATAAGAAAACTCGGAGGGGACATTTCTTCGAGCTGAACTTTAAATGTGCAGAGATTACTGCTCCCTGCTCCCCGTCAAGCCCCCCCTCTCACTCACCCCCACACACACTCACACACACACACACTCACACACACACACACACACACACACACACACACACACACACACACACACGATACTGAAGTTGCTTGAAGGCTTTTCTGCAGCACATACAACTCGTTTATACATTAGCAGTGTTAGGCTAACTTAGTATTTTTCCATTAAATGAATCTAATTTATATTTAATTTTCTTTCTTTAAACACAGACGTTCAACTCCTCTTAGGACTATCTCACAATTTTGCAAACGATTCAGCTAAGGAAATGTTCACGTTTAATTCTATTCATTACTTCGTTTTTACAGTCAAATGTAGTTGAACAGTTAGAGAAACGTACTTGTGTTAAATGCACTTTTAACTCGTTTTATACTGTTTTATTACCTTGGTTCAACGCCATTCCCACTTTTGTTGAATGATTTATGCCATCTATACAGTTGGCTTCAGTGATCGTGGGCAGTATGTTTGTCATATGGATATATTTTTCCCTATTGTGGTACAAATAAAATGTCTTAACGTCCCCAAAAACGTGGTCAGTGGTTATGTCACAGATGGTTAACCCACACAAAGCATAGCAGTTCATTCATTCGCCCAACGCAGCTGAACAGAACTAAAAAATAAAAAAAGAAGAAGAAAAAACGAGGACAGAACGTTCAGGTACAAAGTAAAGACAACAAATTGGACACTAGGAAATCCCTTTCTCGGTTTAAGCCCGAGCAGTTCCACTCTGGCAGCAGCCAGTCAGCTGACATCCGCAGTGAACCGCCGCCGAAATCCAGCAGCCATAAACAACACAGCTCAGCACCCGCCCACTTCCACAGGCGACACCTCAGGTCGCTAGGGGGCACTGCCGGGAACCAGCAGACTGTCCTAAACATAAATATATATATTTTTTTGTTCATGTGTGCATGTAAATGTGACATAAAAATGTCCCAACATAGCTCCTCGACGGTATTCCAATTTATGGCGCATGTGACAAGAAATGCTGAAATCCAGACCTAATGAGAGCCCACCGGCCAGCTCCGACTATGCAATTCTTTAGCGTCTGGTCACGAGGCCCCTGAGTGATGACAAAGTTTGCTATCAGAGAGCAATTCACCGCGGCAGATAGGCAGAGGGCTTCTGAAAACGCTCCCTTAATTCGGGCCAAAGTTTTGCCGGCGAGCACGCAGGTGCTCCAAGCCGCTGAGGGAATCAATGACAGCCGCTCCGGGCATCAGCAGCCTCCCTCCCCGGGCTACAGGTCAGGTCAACCACGCACCGCAGACACCTCCAGCCTCTGTGATCTCACACGCTCACGTCATCCATCACCACGGCGCAACAACAGGGGCCGGCACGGCACGGCGATATCGAAGGTGTGTAATCTTACCTGAGCGGTGTCACAACAAAACTGTGGGGCAGCAGCCGAGGGGTCACGATGCCGAGAGGTGGGGAGGGGGGAGGAGGAGGAGGTGGGGGGGGGGGTGTATCAACACAGCCTGCATCTCCCACTTCCAGCTGCTTTGTCGTCACACTCCGTCGATAAGAAGCCCACGGAGGCACCGCGTCTGTCCGCCGACAAAAGTCTTTTCTTACTGGCTTGCCTGCTCTTTTTGCTTTCCCCAGCCGAGGTTTTATTGCATCCGGAGGAGGAGGGGGGATAAACGCAGGCAGCGGCTGGTAGAGGCGGCGACTGTCCAGAAGATCCCTCCGTCAGGAAGTCGGAGATCGGGTGAAAATCACACGCAGCCATGTGCCCAAGTGTCCGCGCGGTACCATATACACATTAGAGTTACAACCAAAAGGCGATTCTTCGCCCTGCTCGGTCTGCTGCGGATACAAGGGACGGACCAGAGAAGAGACAACAGCATAAAGTTCATGTTCATAGAGCGTGTGCCACGTGGCCGGCCACAGCCAATCGCAGAAAGGATTCAGTCGTAAACTTTTATTACTCAGCTGTAAATTTCTCCCTTTAACAACCAGGAATGTTTGCACCCATCGTATACTTCCTTTTTTTCGATAGGCCAAAACAAAAAAAAAAAAAAAAAAAAAAACGGCCACACAGCATAGGGCTGGAGCGCCATGCTGAAATTTCCAGTGTGTCACAAATCAGGCATGTGTCCAAATATGACAGCTCCCCGGGCAGAAAACCTGTGTGCCTTAATCTACCCAAGCCAAAGATGAAAAATCAAATACATGTGTGTGAGTGACAGATGGGCACATGCTAGGAAATTATGCAAAAGATATTTTACAGTGCACCTCATTTAAGACAAACTATTGGGTCACATGAGGTCCTCGGCCTCGCATGATACACACATGACAGGTTATGCCCCTCCACACACCAACGAAATGTTCCACAGGAAGTCAAGTAAAATTACAATTGCCTCAGTCTTTCTCTATTTAATTTAACTTTAAAAACAACCCAGGTTTTAGGTTGGATATCAAAACATCAGATGGGACATTTTATGAAAAGGGCCACATGTGCACTGTAATCCTCGTGCAAACTTCCAATCAGAGCTAAAAGCCACACACAGAAAATTAAATCTAAAGCAAAACAAGGTCAGACAACTTTTACACCGTGAAAACAGGGGAAACATAAGGCAGCAACAGGACTTATTAGGGAATTTGACCAAATATTGCTGTACGAATCCGTAAAATATCACGAGGCAACATGAAGATTAATACTTTACTTTGAGCCCCAATATTAGACACGCAAATTCAACAAAAGAAGCATGTCATCATAAGAGTCTGGTATGACGGAGTCACGGTGATGGCGGCAGTTTTCCACTCTTTAACTAAAGGAAAAGTGTGTTAGGGTGAGCGGTGCATCTTCACACACCGTGATCTCCACAGTGAACGGCAGCATGGACACACAGCGATGCAGGCCCATGTGAGCTGCGTCTTTACACCCCAATAAAGTTTACTGCAGGTACACTAAACTTTATTGGCAATGTCAGCCCTCTGGTAAAAGTACACACACATCCACAAAAAGGCAATCCGGGGTGCTGTATAGACGTGACTTAAGGACGCGTCCAGGATTTTCTACAGGGTTTTTTGTACGCCGGCAAAATAGAACAGAAAACTAAAATAGAAGAGAAAAGAGAAAAATAGAAGTGAAAAATTAAACCACAACATCGAACGAAGCGAAGGCATGACATGTAAAACTTTGCCTGTTTTTTTACTTTTATTTTCTGAAACTGGATTGTTTGAAAAAAAGTAATTTAGGAAATAAAATTGCAGGTAGTACAAAATAATTCACGTTTGACACAAAAAAGAAAAGAAAAATGAATCATTAAGCTTTTTCTTACTGCGTCTTATTGACACAAATCACTTTACTGCAATAGCAGAACAAATACGTCTCTGTGTAATATCCTTGTACTCAAGCGATCTTTCACAGAAAAAAATTAAATATGATTTGAAAAAATATTATTAGTGTTTTCTAGAAACAAATAAAAGGAAACTGTTTGTCATTTTAGAAATCAAGTAGCATTATTGGAATAAGAAAAAAACAACAACAACTAACAAACACACACTGAAAAACCTCCCCAGGGTTGGAGCAGGTCTACGGAGGCTCAGGGAACACTCACGAGTCTCCACGCTGAAGTATTTGCATACACCGCTTCTCATGTAACGGATAACTCAAGTTTATACAAATTATTAATTGAGCAAGAAGCCGACAAAGGAACACCACACTAGGGCTTAGAACCTGAGCCACTTAGCAGACGTTTTCCCCCACAGCATCAAAAGGAAAATTCAGAAATAAAGATGATAATTTCAGCGAACAGCAGCCAGCCGTGGGGGGAAAACATTGGAATTATAGGGTTCGAAAACTGAGGCATTTAACTGACACGGTGGAACAGGTAGAGCTAGTTTGGGTAGAGAAAAAAGCACCTCGAGGGACCGCTGTGCCGTTTGAGACATGTTGTTGGGCTTGTGTCACGTTATTCTTCCTGCGTCTTCATACCCAAACGCTCTTTTTTCAGCATTTAATCCAAGCAGTCATCAGGAAAAACAGCAGGGGCCGCGGCCCTGCTGACGAGGAGGAGACGTCGGATGTTACCTGCACTTGTCCCCCTCCCCATTCCCCCCCCGGCCCTCTGCTGTGTTCCCGGGGTTTGTCTGGACACCAAGTTCCACACCACACCTCAGCCCCCACCCCTTCCCGCATGCTTTGCAATTAGTCTGATTATTAACACGACGCGTCAGGTGTTTGTTCGTCTCGTCTCAAAAAGCCATCATTCATCCCAAGATTCATTAAGAAAAGCCTGGCTTCCTCCCTGAAGAGAGGAAGTTTCTTATTAAGAGGATGAATCAAAAACGAGGCGGGCTGTGGAGGGTAGGCCTGCTGTGAGCAGTATTCGCTGCTTCCCCTTAAAAGGTAAAGGGACAGATTTGCAAATGCTTGTCTTCTTTTGTGTAATTTTTTTCCCCTCGTGTTATAAGTCGGGAAGTTGACTTTGGGCTGGCAGGGCGGCTGTGCGGCAGCCTGTCGCCCCCGAGCAGCACGTTAAAGGTGCAAAAGAAAAGAATCATCCAAGCATCAGCCGTTTTTGCTTGTTTAGCCGTTTTCTAAGTGGATTGTTTTAATTATTTCAGCAAATCACATCTGGGGGTGCCCTGGTGTGAGAACTGTTGGTCATTTTGAGTTATGGGCGTTTCTCCAATATCTGAAAATACATAAATTGTACTCTTGGTGCAAGACTAGGTGTTTTGCTTTACTTATATATGGGCCCTGATTGTAAATATGTGATGGGAGGGTGGAGATAATGTGTTCAATGGGCTTTTGTATCAATAAAAAACCGCAATGAATGTGAGCCATCTTGTTTATTTGTGATTTTACATCAACAATGGCGGGGGACACACAAATTCCGTCTTTCACAGGAGAAACAACAGGAAACGAGCATATTGTTAACATCAATATATAACAAGACGTACATAAAGATTATATTCAGTGCAAAACAACTACGCTATATCACCAGCACATTAAAATAAAAGTTCCCTTACTTTAAATTGGTTGTAATTGTAGCAGGTATCGTCATACGCAGTAAAATGTGCGTTATAGGCAGTTTTAGTTGTTGGGGAAATAGCTTGCAATCAAATCGGAGCGATGCCACATATGTGTGGAGCAGAAACTCTGCAGGGACAAAGCTCCGAGTTTAGGTAGTGCCGTGGTACAATCTCAAAATTGCTTGCCTGGCTTTGAGCTAGTCGTCTTCCCAAGACTCATAAATTGTCTTCTACAAGTGTTTATTGAATACTGGGTGAATGCTACACACATAACTTAATCATATAAGGTTGATATAGAACACTTTAAAATTAAAACCATATGAAATCTCTATATTCAGAAATCTCTATTGCAATTTCCCCAGGTTTAGGTAGCATCAAAGGATTTCAAACGGTTGCATTTCCCTGGTAATCCTAGAAAAAAAACAAGATGTCTGAGGAGCCAAAGGATCTCTGTCGGGGCCATTCACATGAAAACAAGTAAAACACTAACAGTAACAATCCTAATACTTAAACGCGTGGTTTACACATGGGCTGTTAGCCATGGAACTGCTCTGATGGTGTTGGAACACTCACTACCGAGTTACAGTCCTACCTTTCCTTTACAGTTTCCGAGAGGCTACTCTGAAATCATGTTCTTCAAATATGTAGACTTGAATCTATTTACAACACAGGACGGCGTTGGTCATCTTCTTGATCTCGTTCTTGACTTGTTTTGTTTTGTTTTTATTTGAGAGAGAATGCAAATTACTTAATAAAACAACCAAACAAAAAAAAGGAAACAAAAAGGAAAACAAAAACAGCTAAGCCATTTTCCACTACATGCGTTTTAATTCACCCCTTCTGAGCAAGGATGAGAGTTCTATCAAAGAAAACTGTCTACAAGCGTGTGTAGCTTCTCCAAATGGCAATACGCTTCATGTTAGGACAATCGAGGGAAGGGAGAATTTTGTCTATTTATGACAGCAATATTTGTGGGATTCCTGTTCCCGCTTGACAAAATGGAAGGATGGTCATAAAGTTGACGCTCTCTGCCTCCTTGTCTCTCCGTCTGTTTATGGGACCTCTCTTTTTTTCTCTCTTTTTCAGCCATATAACCATAAAAAGGACCATAAAAATCACTCCTTGCTCTCTTCTTTCTCTTCCGCTTCTTTCTCCTCTGCCTCTTCCCCTTCACCGTCCTCGTTGCCCTCCTCCTCGGCCTCGGCTTCGGCCTCTCCTCTCTGACCAGGAAACTTGTCTTTGTTGTTCTCTTTTTTCCACTTCATCCGTCTGTTCTGAAACCAGATCTTCACCTGCCGCTCGGTCAGGCTCAGGGCGTGGGACACCTCGATCCTTCTCTTGCGGGTCAGGTAAGGGTTGAAGAGAAACTCCTTCTCCAGTTCAAGAGTTTGGTAGCGACTGTAGGTTTGCCTCCCATTCCGTCTGCCTGGGGCTTGAATGAAATAAAGCCAGAGGTTAGCTGGTCTGACCACCGTCTGCTTTATGAACATTTAAATGACTGATTAAAAGTCTGCATTTGGTTTTGCACTCAGTTTGAACAATGTAAATAAATCAATTATGGCTTATTGAGAAGGGGGGGAAATACGTTTCCCTCCCCAAACTGTTAGTTGAGTAAAATAGATAACTAACAGTAACCTCTACCGGTTCACACTTTTCCTCCCAAAAGTGAGGAAAAGTCCACTTTATGTTCGGAAAATGTAAATAGTCGTTCAACTGGAAAGAAGTTGGTATATATCTGTTGCATTTAAAGGTTATCAACCGTGTGTGCTGCAACTTTCACACCCACCTCTGCAAATACGTGAGGCTACCTGCGTTTTTTTTGTGTTGCAAATGTACACTTAATATATTTATACATTTAGAAGAAAAGTCTAATCTTTTCATCTCTATGTTGTTTCACTGCTGCTTAATCCTTACAAACTAAAATAATTTGATATATTTTATTCGTACACCTTGCCAGAAATGAGTGCCATATTCCCTCCGAAAAACAGGGCCTAAGTGAGCTTGGTTGAGAATTTCAGTCATGCAAACACACTCTCACACACGTAGGAGGAAAATAAGGAGGCAAAGAATGGAAACAGAGAGATGAGATAACCAACAGATGGGGACAGGCTGATGATGTATATCTGTCCGAGCAGATAAAGATGAAGCTTACACCTGTGTGGAGTTAATGTAGCCTGATAGCCGGAGCAGAATCACACATGAATGGAATAACAATATCCACAAAGCCCTTACGATTATGGCAGCTTGGGTCGGAGCCACATTGGGCCTGTGGGTCAAATTACCCCCTAAAATCCAGATTGTGGATAATCATTGTATGCTGTGTTTCAGATAACCCCCTGTCACTTTGCATACTGATGGCGAGCGTTGTATGGTCATATTTGGAACTATGGCCGATTAATACCCCCTCTTTAGTGTGCTCAGAGTTTGAGAAAATGTCTTCACTGAGCGACAGCTGACTTAAAAGCGCTGTTGTGGGGAGCTGTACCTGCAATTCGGCGTCTGAGGACACCTTTGATATCAGCCCTGTGTGAACATGTGCTGCTGAGTAACAGCAGCCTTCAGCTCATTTAGTATGTGCCCCATCATGTTGTCCGACTTATTTTTTCGCTTGGTTAAGAAAAACTAATTCATGTATAGACGAGGACATTTCACATGCACAAACACATACACACAAGGGCAGAGACGCGCTGACGCGCACACGCCAGCGCGCCACAGAGTAACACAGAGAGAAAATGGAATAATTATATTTTTCTGACCGTGGGGTCTCATCCAAGGAAACATAAGACTGGGAGAGGAGTTTTGATTTAAGTGGCCTTGTCCTTCTCCGGGGTTAGAGCTGCTCGACGATTTACAGTCTGGGTATTGCGCTAAGCTTGCGTCTTGCTGGGTACCATAAAGCGTTTGCCTCGGAAGGGCTTCGTATCCATAAAATTTCGTGGCGTCTCCGTGGCAAGCCAAAGCGCAGGGGTTTTGCTGGTATCCGGGGTTGGAGATCCCCGTGGTCCCGTGGTGGAAAAAGTCCTGCACATGATGGGACGGGTGCTGAAAGCCCGGCGCGGCTGCTCCGGGTCCGTAAACCAGCGTGTGGCTGCGGGCTACGCTTTGTGGAAACCTGCAGTCGTAGTAAGTTGGTTCCAGTGACTCGCTGCCTTTGTATTTAGAAAAAAGAGGGTTGACAAAATAGGAGCTCATGTTTGGTTAGCATCAAGCAGACGGGCTCTCTCGCGGCTGAATATCTCCTTTAGAATGATGGCAGCCTTTTGTTTAGGGTCCCAACTCGCACAGCGCACACAGGCAGACAAACCGGAACTGGGAGAAACGCTGCCCCTTTGGACAATCTACGGCAGCTCACTCTCTCTGAGCCGTTCCTCTCATCGGATTTCTCTCGCAGTCGTGAGTGTGTCTTTTTCCAGGTTTTTTGCAGCCTCAAACTCGACTCATGGCATGTGCTGTGGATGTGCACTGGCTTAGGTTAAACCTGCCTTGCTCCACCGGCACAGTCACAGACGCTGATCTTTTCTTTCTTTTTCCTTTTTTTCAGCTTCCCACCAAACCGCCCCCACCAAAAGCGCCCCCACCCTCCTCCACCCCTTCATCTTTCCATGACCGGTCAGACGTGGGCCCTACGTATATCCACCTTGAGGAGAGCTTCACTAATCATAACCCAACAATCTAAGAGGCTGTAAATATGATCAATGCTGTGTTTATCACAAAATGCTTTGTTACAAGCTGTGGAATGGTTCAAAAATAAGGAGTAGCGTGATGCACTTTCACAGCTGTCTGAATTTATAGTTTAGCTCTAGACACCTTTTCATGGGGCTTAAGGCGTCTTTGAAACAGGAAAGAGCTCCACTCTTATAGGCAGATAAAGCTGTTATGAGTTGGTATTTGCCCTGCTCAACCCAGAGCTTATAGCCTCCTCGTTTCCAGCACACAGCTGACCTTTAAAAGGCTCCGGCAGGTCAGCACAGCATTTTAGGGCACTGCAGTTTTATGAAACAACATTAGAAATGCAAAATCCACAGCAGCTGAAGTAAGTTTCGAGCCTGCGGGGGAAACAATGCGTTTAAGACAAAACATCCTACTTCATGGAAGCTAGTAAAGGCCAAGGCGACAGACTTGTGCCAGGCGCTGTAAAACACCGTCACACGCAAATATAAACACGACCTATGAATACTATGTGCCACTTACTGACCCCGTAAAACCGACGGGGATAAGCAGTAAATCTTCCACATGGTGGTGTTCATAAAATGTAACGTTGGATGTTTAGCTGCAATCAACGAGCGCGCGAGTCCCCGCGCAATAGTTGTATGTTGTCCCACTCCCAATATGCCAAGGTGGTTTTGTGGGGCTACTGACGGTTTATACACATCATCGTAAAATATGAAAGGGGCACTGGGCGAATTTATAGACCTTTCACACTCAATAAATATGCAGATTACCAATCACTTCGTAGAGAATTTGAACTGGTACCGATGCTCCAACTCAATATGCCCACAAAGACTCAAATGATCTGGGAAGAAAATTCCAAATGAAACACAATAACAATAATATTAATCATAGTTATGATAATGGTCATATATCATCATTATTATTATTAACCTTATCACTATTTGTATCATTGTTATTATTATTAGTAGTAGTAATTGTAGTAATACAGTATTAGTATTATTATTAAATATTATTGTTAGAATTATTAGTATCGTTATTGTTATTACCGGTTGTTGTTGTATTTCGCCCCATTTAATTTTGTAGTTCATGTTTGTTCAATTTTTATTACGTACTTTCTTATTGATTGGCTTGGTTTTGAATTATTACTAAATTTGTTCATCAAATATTTATACGGTTAGACTTTGTTGAAATTGGATTGTATTTCTGTACTTTGTTTGCATAAAATAATAAATTTGAGTATAGAATTATTTTGTTAAGTTTCCATTCTTTTTCATTCAAAAAAGATAAACTGAGAGAAGAAAAAAGGAAAAACAGCAAATGGAGGACGACGCTTTTTCTCTTCTAGATTCAGATGGACTGGTGTATTTCACAGTATTCACGTGTAAAAGGCAAATGCGTACATTTCTCCATTTTGTCCGGATAAAAATCTGTCTGAGGCTAATGATGCTTTCAAAGTTTGGTAAGTCTGCACGGAAATGTAAAAAGCCATGCCGAAAAAAAATTAAGGGGAAAAACCTGTGTACAGAAAATATGTTTTTAGTTTTTGTATCGTTTGCAATGAAAAAGCGTTCTATGATTTGGGAGGAAAGAAAAAGAAAACTTGCACACATTCTGTATCCAATACAACAACCGGCTCGCTGCATTCCGGAGTGCTGTTCTGAGGCCTATTACACAAAATGCGGTGCGTGACCGTATCTGTCACGTTGTCATCGATAGGTTACTCTTCATTCTTCATCCAAGCCACAAAGCACTAAAAAAAAAGAAAAAAGCACTTCTAGCCAACGGACAGCGCTCAAAACGTGGACCAACAGCGTCATCTAGTGTTGGCATCTGTCCCTGAGCCGCAACGCCTCTACCAATCAGAAAGGACGGTCTCTGTGTTTGTGCAACCTTCTCTGTATGCAGCCGAGTCCTCGCCTTTTATTAGAATAAAGCAGGGTCAAAGCTGCAGTTGGGAATCAAATCTATAAGCACGTTCCATCACTCTAATTTGCTTTAATTGAAATAGCTGCTGCGCTGCATCGTTTCCTGTTGTGGCAACTGTCTACCTACATAAAATAGAAAAAACTCGCTCTGCAGCATTCATATTCATGCACAATAACTATTGAGTTTCCCCCTTCCATCTAATTGAAGGCTAATCGACCACTCTTATGATGAAGTACAGGGGCCTGGAACTGGTCTGAGAAAAGTCCGCAGAACAGTACATGTGCTCGACTCTCCTTTGAACGAGTCCACCACCGTCCATTAAAACCATAAAGTAATTTAGCCCAGACGTCTAGCCAGTAAGTCGAGTTTGCTTTGTTCGTCTGCATTTGAGACAAACAGCCCAGCTCCAACAGGGGTTGTAAAACTGGCTCTTTTTTTTGTCCAAGCTGAGCGGAAATGCACTGGATTGGGCTTTGAAATTACAGCATCCTGTCCGCATTGTTTGCCACCACAAAAAGGCAATTTAGACTTATCCCAGGAAACAAACGCGAGACATGGGAAACTGTCTCTGACTTGAAAGTTAGCTGGTCGAATTCTGTCAGCGGATTTTCTGCTCGCCACTCAGCTCCACCACACGCCATTCCGACATTCTGACTAAATGTTGTGTGGAGATACAACTCACAGGAAATGGTGCTAAAATGAAGATCGCACGAGCCTCTGGCACTTATATTGCTCTTTTAGGAATTTTATGAGCAGAGTTTTAGGGGAATTATGGGGTCGTTCACATCGGTTCGTCCATAATAAAAGTAATGTCATGAAATGCAGGATTTTGGGAAAATGTATATTTTATCTAGATACTCTAGATTGGCTGTTTTGTTACATTCACGTCAGTGTATTTTTTTAAGTTAATTTGCTAGATGGGGAAACAAAACTTCTTAAGATGAATTGTTTTTACAAAAATTATGCTCACCTTCCAATTTGAATCTCGCTAATTTTCAGTGGCACAGCTCACCGTTGTGTTAGTTTGGTCTGGGGGTCTTTTAATGTGTACTGTAACTGCAAGTGGTTTGGTGACTTTTTTTGGAAGAAATCTTGAAAGAGGATGTTTTCATTTTCATTCACTGTGTGTCCGCATGATGTGTGAGGAAACGATAACCCAATGAACACAGAAAACAAGCACTTGTGGTTATGATTATATTTGCAGAGGGCTATAGCTACACTCTATTATTAAACTCGTAGGCTACCTTCAAAAAAAAGAGGAGGATGCACAAATAAAGCAACAACTATCACAAAATACAAGACAGACAGGTCGCTCGCAGATGCTTTGTGTCTGTACAAAATACGCCACCTGCGCGAGAGCATACAAAGGAAACAATCATAAAAGAAAGAAATTCACATCATAAGTTATGGTTTTATGAAATTCAAAAGAATTCAAGTATTCTCTCTTTTTTCGGATATTCCACACTATCCAAACTGCGCTTCTTTCATTTCTCTTACAAGAAAAACAGAAAAGTCCAAACACAACTCTGTTCTCCCCAGACACAGTTTTCTCTTTCTTCTTATTGTTCTTGTTATTTTTTGCTTTTCTTGAACGGTGGACACGTTAACGGTGCATTAGAAATGAATAATCAGAATCAAACAGTCAGAAAGTTAAGGTTAATACAAAATCCAACAAAGTGATAAATGTGGCGAGGAAAGGGGCGAGTCGTGGTGTGTTTTGGTACATCTGTGCTGTCCATGGGACGAGTGGTTATTGGGGTTGTTTTCTCACTTTAGTCCACGTTATTGTTCTTTGCTGTCGGACTTTTCTTTGTTCATTTTCTTCATCTTCATTCGCCGGTTCTGAAACCAGATTTTGACCTGCCTCTCGGTCAGATTCAGTACCCTGGCGACCTCGTATCGGCGGTCTCTTGTAAGGTACATATTGAACAAAAATTCCTTTTCCAGTTCGAGAGTCTGGTACTTTGTGTAAGGGCATCGCTTCTTCCTTGTGGAGCGGGCATGTATCCAATTTGCCACAGGGTTATCTGCAAATAAAAACCATAATAATAACAAAGAGAGCATAGCAAAACGGGAGATGGAACATTCTTAAAACAATGACTACCATTTACGCGTCGACTCTTCAGAAAGAAGCATCAGAAGACGCAACGTTTGAAATCAAATTTGTCCAAGTTTGGCCCTGACAATAAGGTGACTTTTTAAAAAATATATAGAAAATTCTCAACCTGAAACTGACCAAGGCTCCGTTGATTTGCTTCCTTGTCCCTTTAACTTGTGAGTAACACCATCGTAAAATACTCAATGCGCTTATTCACTTTATTGGCCCATAAAATGGCCCGTGGTTCAAGCCTTTACAGGTCCGTGGTGAAAGTCCTCCAGTATGTCCCTACATTCCTCAAGTTGGCTGAAAGAGTCATGTGAATTTGTTTTGGATCCAGAGAGGAGAGAAAATTGTCATTTGTGCCTGTATACATATAATCTTCTCCCTGTTATGTGGGCGAATTGTGTATTTTACCACAGGGGATCAAACGGGACTAAAATGTGGCTTTCATTCACTGGATGGGCCTAGAGAGAGAAAAATAGGACCGAAAGTCGGCTTATGCGGTTTGATGTTCCCCTTTCAATGGCATAAGGTCAGAAAATGAGTCGTAAAAATGAGGCATATGGCGTTTACTGAGGAACAGACTCACATGTCGGCTTTAGGGTGTTCGCTTTAAATGAGCACCTTGCATATTCTTTTTAACAGTATTTGCCATATCCTTCCAAATTCAACGTCTTCCTATAGGTTTTAGTCCATGTTTACAGCCCCGTCTGCTTTTATAGCCCCAATATTAGCCTAGTAGCGTTTGTCTTTTATAGTTCCTAAAGCTTTTCCCCCCAAAGCACAAGCGAATCAGAGCTGAGCTGAGCTGGAAGGGAGGAAGAAACATCTCATTTTATTTTATGCCGGACGATAAAAAAAAAATAAAAACAGCCTCTTATCTAAAGCTGTTTTTCTACATTTCAAAACAAGACTCCCTCCCGGATGTGAAAGACCCGTACAGGAGCTTGAACTTACTCGGATCTAGCTCCGGCTTCTCCTCTTTATGTTTCCCTGAAGCCAGGAGCTCCGACTCGGGAGAAGGGACACTCTGCTGCGACTTGTCTCGCATGTCAGTGGACGAGCAGTACAGATAATCCGGGTAGGTTCGTCCGCCGGAGCCGAGGCACTCGCCGGTTCTGTGCTCCTGGAAGGCGTCGGGCTTCAGCCCGTAGTGCCTGCCGTTCCCCGGGTAGCCATGGAAAGGCACAGCGCCCGAAATCGGCTCCAGCCATGAGCGCATGTACCTCGAGTCTGTGCCTAAGTGAGGCTGGTGACTGTATGGATGGTAAACCACTGATGACTGGGAGTGTACGGGGGCCCAGGAGGTGGAGAAGACGGGAGGCTTTGGTGCAAAGCTGCAGGAAGGATAGTCGGCGCACTCCGGTACTAGGGACGTCGGACGAGGGCCGGCTGGGTGCGAACCGGGCGCCGAAAACCGAGCTGCAGCAAGGACATCCTCGTTTTCATGGTTGATCAAGGAGTCCACATAATAATTACTTATGGGACCCGTGGTCGACATGTCGAAGCTCCCCTGTCTCTTTTACATGCATCCGTTTATTATATGGAGTGTATGTGTACTTTTTTTATCTAGCCATAGAACAATCAAGGCAGGTAATTATTTCTCAACGCTTCCCCGGCTGCCATTGGCTGCCTCAGTGACACGTGATTATATTTACCCCCACAAAAATTGTACAGTGGATCAATGCGCCACTTATTCTGGGATACCAATGCACATAAAGGGGATTAAAGAATGGGCTGATTTGGCCCTTTTCGTGGACGTATAGAGGTAACTTAAACAATTCTGTTTATTCTTCTGTAGAGATGATTCATATCTGTTTTGTTAGCCGCAGATCTCCGCCGGACGCAGTACAGACCTGCGCACTTTACGTCTAGAACCAGGGAACTATTTGATGGTGTAATCAATCTCTGTCGAGCACATTCTACCGAGGCTCCACGCTATTGCAGCGGATACTATTACAACATTAAAGCGTTTACTGAATCGTTGGCTCATTTTACCCTTCTCAAACCAGTAACGTATTTGATCGAGTGAAGTTTAAAACTTCCTGCGGAATGCTGTTTATTGTGGATAGAGGACAAATGCTACGCGAGCTGCAGCAGACCGGACAGGGAGAATTAGGACAGATATGCAGGATGCGGAATACAGCAACAAAAAAAACAAAAAACAAAACCAAGTTTGCGCTGTTTTAACGAGGGGCCAGAAGACCAAACATGCCCTAAATGGGATTTGTGTCAGATGGTCGAGGAGGGGATTCCAAATCCTGACAAGCAGCCCAGTAAAGAGAACTATATTCGGCTAGTGGCCGTTCTTGTTTTTATGCCCATCAATAAATTTTAACGAGGACCATTTGATTGTTCATAAACGTGTCGTTAATAAGACTGAATCCGAGATCCCCCCCCTCCACATAAACCCACCGCTATTGTAGTGCGTGAAGAAATCTTATTTTAAAACAGAAAGGCACAGACAGAAAAGGGGAGACAGAAAGAGGAAAGGGTAAAATAACTAACTCTACGAAAGCTTAAATGAAAGGGATAACGTTGCTGCTGGGTCCAGCAGCACGAGTTTGCTATTTTGCAACGCAATTTGATAGAGCAGAGTAGACGAGGAAACAACTCGGAACTCTGTGTGAGAGGAAAAACCAAAGGCGCCACCAGCGTCATTAAAAGCACAATTAGACATGCAGCTAAAGAGTAATGCATCCGAGTAGAGGCTGGTGATGAGGAGGATAATACGGCTGTTAAATTATTCAATCTCAGCCAGGCTTGATGTTAATTTGTGTATACATGGATGTTTTATTTCTGAAGGAGGAAATCAGCCGTCTTTGGGTGACATTCGCAATTCTAGAGCTTAAATGTCGCCTTGCCACCTTATTTTATCTTGATTGTGGAGTACTATCTTATAAATGAAGAGAGTATTTCTCCTTGAATCCCGAGTCTCTGCAGAGTAAATGGGAGCATGGCAGGCCTGACAGTTGTTGCATGCAAAAGTGAAAAAATGGTTGCGCAGTTAAACACATCAGACCTCACTGGGCTGAAATTATCTTGAACCGGACTCAAATTGAGTTCCATAAATAAAAGACTCGAAAACATTGGCAACATAAATCCCAGCAAAAAAAGCACAAATGTACTTGTGAATCTGCAGCAAAACAGAAATCATTGTGGTTTGAATAGAAAGAAGCGAGCCTTTCCCACCGCTGAACAGCATGAATTGGATGGCATTCCCAATTACCGCAAATCAAATTCTACCACAGTATGAATAAATTCTACGTTTGGAAATGAAGAAATAGTCCAAATCTGGGCTTCGCGCGTCAAACAAAATGCAATCAGTGGGGAGTGTCATGTTTGTCGTGGCTGCTGAGTTCAGATTCAACCATGAAATTTAAAAGGCCAGACGCCAGACCTTAAACCGGACAGTCCTAATGCTCTTCCAGCATGAGTGCCGGGGAATGTGCAGATGTCAGCCGAGATGCAGTTTTCGCCACTTGTTTAGAGAAAACGCAGCTTTCCCCCAGATTTACTTCGAATGTCCATTTTTTAAGCCGTCGCCTACTGAAGGTTAAAGTTTTGACTTGTGTTTATTCCACTACAGCAAAATGCAGTTAAAGGGCAGTCATTATCCATTTATTACCGCAACAGTAGCTCATGTGAACACATTATATGTCATCAGTGTATGTATTAAATAATCCAGGGGGAATAATTATATTGTTTTGGATACACGTGTGTGTGTCAGCACATTACACGTGTGTGTGTGTGGGTATGTATATGAATGTGAATTGTGGGTGAGGGGGGGGGGGGGGGGGGTGTGTTACAAAGTGATTAGCTTTTTATCCAAATAAATGTATTGAAATAAAAAAAATCAACAGACGAATGTCTATATTTTCTTTTTCCTTTTTCTGCCTTTTGTAGGGTGAATATCTCAGATTATGAGAGCAGAGAAAATCGTGAATTACAACACAAACTGATTTCATACGTGTTTGTTCTGCAATGTTTTATCCCAACAAATATACAGAAAAAAAACAAGGGTTCGCACGAACGTGCTCCTATATCATGAATAGGCCTTCTAGAGAATTACGTCTAAATATTTAATACAAAACACAAATCAACGGTTACAAGATTAAACTAAAGCAAACAAGGAGAACTTGGTGGTTCAGTTTGGTTTGACTGCATTCATTTGTGCTCTAAAAGTACATTTTAATACGAAAACGATCCATGTGCTACTTCATATACGATCCTCTTTTCTCTGAGGTTTCTGCGGTTCAGCTGAGATGTTGTTTTATCGTCTCAAATGAAAAAAGAAGCACTACAAACAGAGCCCATCTGGGTAAATGTGTAATAGTGGCTTAGAACGGTGCCTGGGAGTATTTGTGCATAACACCAGCCTCTTGTCTTGTGGTTATTTGTGTTTACTAAGGTGCACAATGTTGCTTTTGTTTTGCAGAAAAGTAATCCACGAGCAGCAGAGAGCAGTGATATTTCATGTGGGTGCTGAAAGACGAATCCCCGGCGGTGAGCCACAGCTTGGTTATGGGTGTGCTGGTTCTGCCGCAGTGCACTGAAACTTCACCTTATGACTATGTCTGTCAACCTGTATTGTCATTCCAGAGGCGTCAGTACTCAGCACCTGCTCTTCAAATACGCCGGACAACATGTCTCTTTCTCAACGTGTCTCATCTTAATAGTTTCCTTTTAAAAATCAATGTAAGATTTTTTCTTTTTCACAAAAGACTTGGTTCAAATTTTACATTCATCTACGGGTAAAAGCCAAGTACAAATGTAGGAAAGAACTGTTGGAGTTTGATGAATTGATCACACGGGAGACAGAGCTCGAATGGCTGATTAAGACTGAGTTATAAGCATTATGTTAGGATCAAATAAAAACATTTTTATGTAAAGAGGTATTTTTATTGGGACGTTTTTACCCCCTTCAATCACCACAATGTGTTGTTGGGAACTATTTAAGCTTTGTGTTTTGTCATGACTTTCTATAATTAGTACCCTGGCTGTGCGTAAAGGCGAAGCGTGTAATCGGATATGTTTAGAATACGTTATAAAAATATCTGCCATATACGCCACAATAAATAATGCATGGGAAATAAGCCTTGTTTGGCGTGCTGTGTATACGATAAACACTGATTAGAGGCAAAAATAAGCCCAGGAGATTTTCAGATGAAATTCCAAATCAAACTCAGCTTTCAACGTAACACAACAGACACACACACACCCATACAGTTCAGCCTCTCTGTATGAGTGCTTTCATAAATGTGACAGTAGGGCTATATTTGTCGGTGCTGAAACACTCCATATGGACCATTAAAAAGGAAATATCACGAGTTATTTCTAAACTGCATGTGTTGAACAGATAGCGTAGCTGAGCGCATCAGAAAGGCCAAAATCATCTGCTCTGCACTAATTGTGGCTATTGGGGATTTGTCCATTCCAAATAAACACTACATATCAGTTTTAGAGCACCCAACTTGTTCATTTTTTATTTGTAATTTCTCCTCTTTCTGTTCGGGCCTCCCACTTTTCGAAAATTGTTTCACAAATGCTCAGTTTTTCATTGGAACTGCTAATACGCAGAGACGGTATTAGCTGTTACGCATAATGTACTAGGCGTTGCTTTATAAAGTGCTAATACGACTTTCCTTTCTGACCACTATACTAAATGTAATAATAAAGTTTTACCCATCGCATATTTGTTTACAGTCAGATTCACATAAAGATAGATTTGGCAAAACAACGAGGAAATGCTGAGCAAAAGGACACAGGAAAACCATTACCTGTAAACATGGCGACATGTTTGTGTCATTTATGCATTTCAAGCCTTGTCTACTGTCATTGTCAGCCCAAAACGAAAACCAAAAGAGTTAGGCGTGTCAGTTTCAAGGGCGATAAGAAAAATTCCTGGAACCACATAAATGAAAGCCTGTAATGTGATGACACAAAAAGCTTTTTTGTGTGATACCTGTCTGAATTAAGTCACGCTCCTTTGTTTTCTGAGTATAATCCTCTTATTTCAAAGCGTTACAAACCAAGTGCAAATATATCTTTATCCCTTTCCCCTCCAAAAGTCAGTAGAAGAAAAAAAGCCTGTCGTATTGTATTTGTCTCAAGTCTGATCATGCCAGAGTCAGCAACACATCTTGAACTGTCCAAAGGAAGCGGCTGTCTAACGGCTTCAGTTCCTGTGCGCCACAACAAAGTGGAATAAATGACTTTATGTGTATATGGTTTTAGGGGGAATCTGTGCAGCTCTCCGGGCTGTTTCCAGCGCTGTAAAAAGTCTTTGTCAGCGACGCATTCCAAGGGAGACACTCATTCACTTAGTTGAATGAAAGTGACTTTGGATTCCAGACTGTCCCTTCAAGTGGTACTGATGCCAAAAATGAGGGGGGCAGAAAAAAGGGCGAAATGGAGATCATATCTAGACTTTACAGAAAAAGATGCAGACTCTACCACTAAATATGATTTTTGTTGTTGAATTAGTGGAGCTCACGGGGACTTTCTGTACTTGATCCCTTTTGGTTAATTTGACCACAATCCAGTGAGACCTTCTATGCTATTTAGGCCTTTAGTGTTGTGGAAAGTAAAGTTATATATAAAGTTATGTCTTAACTCTGCCGATGACATTTAGTCTTTAGAGGGTCTGAAACTATTTGTAATTCTAAATGTTTTGATCATAGACGCGAGAAATAAATTCCAGCTAAATTAATCAATTAATTCCCTATTAGACTAGAATACAGTGACAAGAGAGTATTGCGATAAAAACAAAAGATAATGTGTATCTGCAAACTTCGTAATTAATTATCAAATTATGAGAAACAACAAAATAGCTTTAAAAAAAACAAAAAAATGGTTAACTGCACACTGCAAAAAACAAAGATTATTTTTAACAAACAAGTGTATTATTATCATATATAGTTAGGTTTATCTTAATGAAGAATAAAAGATCAAGTTTAGAAACATAAGATTTAAAAACATATGGTGGTTTCAAAGAGTAATGTCACTTGAAATGAATACTGTCTGAGGTTTATATAACCTTGTCGTTAATAAACATTAGTTTTGATAATAGAGTTGCATATTCTTAAAAGGTTCTCCTTGGTGTGATGGCAAATTAGAAACATTAACTCAACAGGATTTGGAACTAAAAGCTCTTTTAGCACGAATGCGTCAGCAGCCGGAAGAACGGAAACAACTGAGATAAGACCACTTGCAACAGCACCCTTCTGAATAGATGCACCCGTCAGATAAATGAAAGATTCACAGACCGACACGTTGCTGTCTACCAGTTATGTATCTCTTAATCCTCTCCATTTATTTGCCTCCTCATTAGGCAGCTGTAACCACGAAAGCTAAACTGACAAGCAGTGCTGGCGGATGCAATGCAACATAGTCTGAAACTTTACCCCATGTTGTTTACAACCTATTCTCCCTGTGAGAGCCCGAGAAGCTTTTACAGCCCGCCACAAAATAACAGCAAAGGAAGAAAACGTCTCTGTCCAAGGTATTGCGGCCCAGTTCATTTACAATGCCATTTGCGGGGACCTGGGTGACTATAGGGGGTAATACAGCGGAAATTGTGCCCTTGATGAAGACGAACTGACGTAATCAAGGCAGTTTCTTGTTGCCGAGCCAGGAGCCAACCCCAACAACATGAAACTACCTAAACCACGCTTCAGCTTCGCGCAAATGGGAATTTAATCCATGGCAAGAGGAAAGCATGCAAAAGCCACATGAGGATTAACGCTAACCGGCACAATGGAAAAGGCGAGTATGCCATCACCAGAGACACACCACTGAGATGCAATCCAGACGCTTTTTTAAAAGAAATAAACCAAGCTTCACACAATAGCCCGCATGTTTTGTTGTATAGGCATATTAGCCGTGAAATGTATAACATTGCTGCTGCAAGAGTCCACGAACAACAACATGTTGCAGCACAATTTTTTTTCCAGCACTTCTAAGCAAAGTTAGCTCAGCATCCAGTCACACCGAGACTACAGAGACGTGGCGCCAAAATAAGGATGGACCAAAAAGGATGATTCCATGGAGAGAGGTGTCAGCAGCCAGCAGCAGGGTAATAGGCTTATTAATACAAAACAGCTTCACATAAACCATCGCATGAGTGGACATGCACAGAGCGTGCCACACGAGCTGTCAAGCAGGCTCCCCTGACAGCTGTGGCATGATCTCCACAACAGGAAATAAAAGCATGGGTCCTACCTTCACTTGGCTTCTGCAGACGTCTTCCAGGTGCGTTTTTTTTTTTTTTACATTTTTTTATCCACGTGTTTGTTGTGACGTTGGTTATTATTGTTCAGCCACGGCTCTACTTGTTCCCTTCGTCCACCATCCATGTTATCTTCCTGCCCCCGGCGAGGCTCCATTATCCCAGGGCTCGTGCGGCTGCTCCCTCCAGCCCGGCAGGCAGCGCCACGGCTGGGTCCTGCACGTTGCAGTCTCTGCTGTGTGGATTAGCCCTCCTCCACACACACCTTTAAACGCATCTTTACTGCTGCAGCACATTATATTTGCAGATCATAAAATCCACCCCCAACGCTTTCCAGGGCGAACCTGACATTAGAATTTTATGACCTTGACTTACTGTGGTCACCTGGATAATATTTAAATCAACGTTATGGTCTCTCACTTCTATTAAAACTGCCATGATCTCCTTCTCCCATCCGCAGTGTCTCTCCCTCCCTCTAATTTTTCAGCACTATGCCAAGGGAAGGACAAAGTTTGTGGTACCTCTCCATTTTCTCTTCCTTTTTTATTGTTTTGGAATCGTCTGCCATGACAGAGTTTAATGTAATCTTGTGCATGCACATTACACTGCACGAGAATGCCACAGACACCAACGAAGAAGCAGCACACAAGTGGCAAAAACATTTATAACAGCTCAGCAAAATGAACTTGCTCACATGCCACCAATTATTTATGGAGCGATCGAGATTGCCTCCTTCTTCCCTTTTTTATTATTAATTCTATTCATTACCAGGTAAAAGCACCTCGCTGCTCTTTTTGCTCTTTTGCTGCTGCAGGTGGAACCGAGTCATGTGTGCAGGTCGCAGGATTTTTGCTCATATGGGAAGGCACGTTTTGTGCATGTGTGTATTTGTCCATGATGGCTACATGAAAAGAAACAACATAAAATAGGGGATACATTACAAAATCACATGCCTGTTTGTGTCTGTCTGTCTATTTATATGAGCGTGTGAACGTGTCTGTTTATGTGTGTGTATGTGTGTGTGTGAGTGTGTGTGTGAGTGTGTGTGTGAGTGTGTATGTGTGTCTGTGCCTAAAAATGTCTTCAGGAGTAGTTGTAAACTGCACTCTGCTCCCTTTCTCGGCTCTCCCTGTTGAGCTTCTTGAGCTTCATGCGTCTGTTTTGGAACCAGATCTTGACCTGTCTGTCGGTCAGGTTGATACTCCGGCTGATCTCCAGGCGGCGCTCCCGAGACAGATACATGTTGAACAAGAACTCCTTCTCTAGCTCGAGCGTCTGGTGCTTTGTATAGGGACACCGCTTCTTCCTTCCAGTTTTGGCTTTTAACCAGCTCCCCGTTGTCTTTTCCGCAGATAAATCATCTACCAAAGTGAGAAAAAAAATCAAATAAAACAATGAGAAACTGCAGCCGAATCCAAGCAGTCATTTTTTTGCATTTCCTGTGGCAGTTCACGCCCATATGTCATATCTCATTTAATAGTCCTCAAATGCATTCAGAGGGACACAAGAGCAGCTTTACCTGGGTGTGGAGTCCTCTTTCTCACTTTAACAAATGAGCATCCTCACTGTTTTGCTCCAGTTTCTACTGATTACAAATAGCTTTGGTGTGATGTACAACTATAATTAGATCAAATTAAACTAGGGTGTGAAACACTCCTTTTGTCCATGTAGCTCCTTGGACTCCCATTAAATTTTTATCACCGTTGCTCGCAGGAGCCAAATTAATTTTAGGGAAGTTCATCTTAAAACAGAAAGAGCCTTCTGCTGCATAATAACATAAAAAAGAGAGAGACGTCCAAACAAAACAAGCACGATTGCACATGCTATTAATTTCTTAATTACAACACAGAACCCAAGCAGCTTCACCTGTTATCCAGCCCCTACACACAGCACAGGCTCCAGAAATGATTACCCTTCAGTGAACGCACGGTGTGTGGCCCACGTTTAATAATTTCAAAAACATTTAATTCAGCGTGGGAGTGAGAGAACACACATCAAACACACACACACACGCTAGCACCCAACAGGCACACACGCGAAACTGAAAACTGCCTATTCTCAAATTAAATATGAAAGAGAGTGAAAATAATTAATGATGTAAAAATAATTAAACTACTTAAATTAAAATTAGACATTAACAATAACAAAGTTAAATCAAATAACATAAGATCAAACAACGAACCAGGCAGTCGTTACGCAGTCTATAAGACAGTCAGCTAAATCCATACAAAAGCTCCAATGTATTTCAAGGCTAAATACAAAAACAGTAGCATTAGATTGTATACCATCAAGTTATGCTACATGATAACATTAAAAATATTATATAAACTGTTCAGTATTTGAATGTTTTCATTAACGTGTAAACATTTTACGCACTGATTTTTGCTTTCAATCTTTTTTAAAATTGGAATAGAAGCAAATACTACAAATGAATCACGGAGAGCTTCTTCCATTTTTAAGAAAGCAGACTGCCGTTGGTTGTTCTAAAAAGCAGAGGAGCCAAAACGTGGCCTGTTAAGCCTGTCTAATGTAGACGGCAATGAACAGAATTATTTTTAGAGAGAAAACGGGGACGTAACTGCAGCCAAAAAGAGCTCAGAAAGAATGATTTGTTTCGAGGCATGGACGCTGATGTTAAAAACGTTTTCTTTTCTAAACGAAGGGGTGTAAAGAGAAGAAGGACGAGAAGAAGGTTGAGTGTGTTTGCAAGCGTTTGTTTCTGTTTAGAATTGGTGTCCGTATACGTGCGTGTGTACAGGAGTCTGTTTGGTGGAGAGAGAGAGGGGGGGAGAGAGAAAGAGAGAGAGAGAAAGGGAGAGAGCGTGTTTATTTCAATGATAACTGCCCATCTCACATTCTCACATTAATAGAAAGGTGTTAAATGCCGCGGGCGCCCTGGCCCCTGCCAGGCCGGGCTGTCAGGAGCCCATATACTGCTATATGCTTACATGGCCGCCACCAAACACATTTCTGTCTTATAATCAGGGCACAACACGCACAAAACCTGCTCATGCAAGTAGTAAATATTCTCTGTGAGACTATCTGCAAGTCTTTTGTGTGTGTATATGTGTGCGTAAAGGTGAATGTCCGGGTTGAGGTTTCACGCAGACTCGAAGTGTACATGTGTGCACGTGTGTTGGGGAAGTGGGTGAAGGGGGCGCACGGGAGTGATGTACCTTTTAATTCCCCGTCCGAGTTATCTGAACAGCTGTCACTCTTGGCCTTCTCCTCCTTCCTGCTCTGACTCTCATCTGATTTAGAAACTTCTCTCGCTGTCTCCTGCGCAGATTTGCCGCAGTTTTTGGTCGATCCTGCGGCTGACTCAAGGGATGTCGCCAAGTGGGTCAGAGAGAAGCCCGAGGGGAACTGCTGCTCGTCCCGCTGCGGCCTCTCCCCGTTGTACACCTGGAAGCAGCCGCCGGACTGGGCGGCAGTTTGCTCGGGGCGGCAGCTATTGTCTCCCAGCCGGATGTAAGTGGCTGACTCTGTTGTCTGCTTCCCCTTATTGCTGTCATCCTGATAGAGGCAACAAAACGCCTCCTCTTTGACGCTGCCCGATGGAAACGAGCAGGGTTGTAAACACTGGGCAACAGGTTGTTCGTCCCTGCTGCTTTTGGAGCCGGGGGTCCACGGAGCCAGCTGTGTTGACAGGTACGGCGCATCCTGGAAGCCGCCGAGAGAGAGACCGCCCGGAGCTGCCTCGTCTCTTTTGGAGATTGGGGCCGGTCCAACCTTCCCAATGTTTCTCATCACTGAATATCCGTATTCTGCTGCAGAGTGGATGTATATCCCCGGGTTGCCGGAATAACCCTCACCCCTGAAAGAAGATGATCCTCCCATTAAAGAATCCATGAGGAAGTTACCGGGCGCTATGTTATTCGGACATGACATATTTGCATTGGGCAACACGGCAATGGCTTAATGCGTTCCACTGCTCTGAACTACGGGATTTCTCCAGAAGAAATAAGGACAGTAGGATGCTGACATCTTTTGGAGGGGGGTGCAAAAATATCTGTAACATAATTATGGATGCTCGGAGACATGTCATGTGAGTTTCAGACCAATAGCGGCGTGGAAGTGGCCTTGATGCTCCAGACTAGCGTGACGTCAGCGCGGTCAAGTTGGAAGAGCGGAGAGGTTTTTGATGGAGCAAGAACGCCACCTAGCGTCGGTGTGCCGGTCAGGGCAGCAGGCCCACACCAGGAAGAACAAAGGACGACTGCAGTGGCCTGGGGACTTTTAACACAGTGGCTGCGTGGATTTTAAGGGGAAAATAAGTTTGCTGGACTTAGATGTTAGACAGAGAAAATCGAGTGATTTCTTTACCACCCGGGCACATGTGATGTGGACTTGGAGCCATGGTGGGTTGGCCCAAAAACAAGGTGTATTTTGTGTCATATCTTCTTCTTTAGGTTTGTTTTTTTCTTAACAATTTGACTCCTTGTTGCCATAGATTTAGCAAGGTAAGCTCTTATTAGTTATCTAACTTATACAAATGTTCACCCAGACTGGAAATATTACAGTGTTTTCTTTTAGTTTTGTTTTTTTAAACTTACTTATGTTGCTACAGTTTCGAATACTTTTTTAAAACAGATACACACGCAGCTTGATGTTTGTTCCAAAGTGCATTTTACGGCAGCTGTTTTAAGAAGTAAAACCAGCTAATCGTGACCTTGATTTTTGACCTGCTAATTGTGAATTAGGACTTCTCTTCATGTTAACTGGAATTATCAAACATTCACCAGAAATCATAAAAAGGAACGACAAAACAGGAACAATTCAATGTGGATATATTCATTTCGAATGTGAGATTTTGAACCAGCTCGCTTTGAGTAGCAAGCGCCAAATCCTTTTTGAAAATGAGGTCAAATGCTTCCATGTGCTTGCACAAACGTCTCTAACGTGACCGTAAAACAGAAATGAAATTCTAAATAAACCGAAACAAAATGCGTAGACGCTGAAAGCCACATTTCTGACACGTGGGACATACTTACCTGAGTGTGTTACACAAGCCAAGTGTTATTTTTTTGTCTTGCATTGTGCCATCGAGGCGAAATGTTCCGTCTTACTGTTGTTTTGTTTGCATTCTCGGATATAGAATAGAAAAGATAGAATAGCAATAATTAATGTCTCTGCACATTTTTTTAAAGAAACACATGTAAGCATGTGATAGGCTTATTTCCAGACTAATATGTGTAGGTATAGGCACATAGATATTTCAAAACTATGTCGAGCTAATATGTAAACAAATACAAATGAATGAATACTGCAAACCTGTACGGGAAAATGTGGATCTAGTTCATAATTAAATCTAAGTTTATTCTAATTTTAAAGGGATGCGAATATAATATTTCTATCCTTAGAGGATTAGAAGCTTGTGGGCTCTTTTCAAATAAAAGTTGTTGCTTTTTTCTTTAGTTTGTTTCTTTCAATATTCTGGTTTGTCTTTTTTTCTTTGCTATTTTTTTTCTGGGATGGAACTGTTTCTTTAATGTTCTGCGTTCAGTGACTTGAAAAGGTCCACTTACCTTTTTTTCGCGTGACAGCTATAAAGTAAGGCCTGTGGTTTGGGTGCTGCAGTCAATACGTTTCATGACATTCATTCACTCTGAATTAACCCGTGGCTGAGGGGAAAGACACATGGCACTGCTAATACTGCTGAAGCTTCCAGATATCCTGGATCCCAGTCACATAATTCAGACACCTTTTGGTTCTTGTTATGTTCTTAATAAACCCCAGAAAGCACACTGCTGGTATTATTCACAGGGGAAATTATTTAATCTCATTTGAGCTCACGAGAAGGTGTTGTGTGTTTAATTCCCCCCTTTAAAATGCCAAATCATTTTCACTTGGGCTACAAGCTACGAAACTGCGAAGCTGGGTCAAATGGGTATTTGCTCTAAGAATTGGACTGTGTCACGCAGAAAATTATTTGAAGGTATTCCAAACTGTTTGCCAACATCTTTTGAAAATCCCAGCAGAGCCAAAATCCCTATTTGATATCGTTATTGTATGCCTTACCTAGTTTAAAATGCTGAATGTTAAATGAGAAGGCTTTCTGCATTTGGCTGTACCCTATTCTCTTGTTTGGTTTATTCAAAGTGTGCACGTGGATCTGTGCGTGAAGCTCATTTTCATTTTCAGTTACAAGGGCAAAATCAGCTCGACAATGTGCCCAAATGAACTCAGGTTCAGGACCATACGGAGAATTCACTTATGTGGGACAGACTCAAAGTATGCAAAAAAACGTTGAAGTAACCGAGTGTTGTGTTTGTGGTCATCCTCAATTCCCACCAACCCCCATAATTATGAAAAAAAAACGTCACACATCTGGATCCTTGTTGAAAAGTCCTGTGTGGACACTTCGTTGTCAGTTCAAGGAGAAAACAAACCGTTTCAGGATAAGATTAATAAAACATAATGATGTGATGATGAACAAATATATATTTTGACTGAATTTCGAGCTCTTTCCTCGAATGCACTCATATATTTGCTTAATGTTGAAATAAATCTAGAAAAACAGGGCGGTTTAGACCGTTTCACACCATCAATACATGCATATACACACATTTAATATTTACACACACACACACACACACACACACACACACACACACACACACACACACACACACACACACACACACAGAGAGAACGGCTAAATGAAAATATATTCACATTAAGATTGTAATCCATGATCTCAGATCAGCACAAAAATGGAAAACCAACTCGGCAATAACCAAAAGAATATTTGTTGATATTAGGAATGCTCTATATCAGTCTTATGGCAATTTAGGAGCTCAGAGTAAATGTGTGTAGTTGTCAGGGACCTGGTGGGACAACACTAAAGTGACAGCATATTTGCACTGCATGTTAGAGTACAAATAATAACTGACATTATGTTTCTGACAGGCTAGACAGTGTGGAATGTGTGTTGTGGTGACATATTTAACCGAAAAATCCAAACCTGTTTTTATTGTTCAATACCATAAACGTGATACACGTTAGGGAATCACCTACTGCATCAATTCACCGTTTTATTATTTGGACAACGAGAGGCGTATTTGTGAAATACTTTGATACTTTGTTGCTGCACAGAGTAAAGAAAAGGCCATGAAATCACAGCCGTTTATCCAAAGAACAAAACATCTATTCAGAAATGGAGGATAGTTTTCGCCGGGCCCGCCTACCTCTGCTTCCATAACAAGATGCTGATTGTTTATCCAGGTCCATTTCTCTCATGGAAACGCTGCGTGTTGTTTTACAATATAACTTCTTTTTTTTTTGTTTTTTTTGCAGTTGTTTTTCTTTTTTCTGCAGATGTGTATCGGCTGACTTTGACCTCAAGCCAGACACTTAAAACCGTTTAGAAAAATGCTCTCTTTGGAAACAGCAAAGTCTAAGTATTTTAAACGGGTGCACATGCGGCTGTAAGCCTTCGAGAATTCTCCAACACACGCGAACTGCTCACCACAAACACACACGGATCTGAACACGAGTGTATTTTACCACGATCCTTACGCCTATCTGAACTACAGCAGGCACCCACCCCCCTAAATTATTGTCCATTTGATTGGAAACCTGGAGGCAGTTATTATGCAAACAGGTAAGGCTGTTGAACGCTGTGAGACGCGGCATGGGACTCCTCATGCTACGAACCAGGAGTCACTGGGTGACACAACTAATTTGCTCCTGGCAGCCTTTCCAGTTTGTGTGGAGGTTGTACTTTGTGTCCTCTTTCATGCTGCTGTCTACTCCAAACGCAACTGCAAATTTATGGCGCCAGATTCGTGGAAGTGCTTAATTAAAATCCAGAGTGATAACTACCACCAAAGTACAGTACTGTTACATTATTAACATTGACCTCCACACTAAACACACACGCTGCTGCTAACGGACCCCGAAAACATCTCCCCGTCTTAGTCAGACTTATTTTGGTGGCAACAATAAATAAATTGCATCCTGCAAGTGCATTCGAGAGTAAGTCAGTCGTCGAAAGGAGCAGGAGCTCGTTTTACAGCGACGAGCTGTTTTATTGCCCAATAGAACAGGTTAGGTGCTGAGACACTGTAGTGTAAAACCATTCAATAGCCTATAATCCTTTGATTAGTATCTCCAGAGGAAGAGGAAACAGAAATACTCCCATATTTACCCCAAAATAGAATATAAAGACACATTTATCATGTGTTATTACAGGATTTCTTACAAAGGAGAAATGGAAAATCTTCAAGTAAAGACAAACACATCCACATTATTTGGAAGAATGTGTATACAAATACATGTAGATAGTCAAATCAGAGAGAATTGTATTTTTCTTATTGCTTTTTACGTTTTTAAGGTGGTTTGTTTTTTCCTCTGAACCTGATTTAAGCTTCTGTGATGTTCTATTCGTTCCTATGACCTATAATTATCTCTCACCATGTGTCATTTTAAAAATATTTTTTTATAATGAGCTGACGAAAATAACCTTGTAACAATCATAAGGTATAATAACTAGGCTGTGATTAAGCTGCTTGTTGTTCAGTGTGTGGATTTGAGCTTCAGCATTAGACAATTCAAAATTCCCTTGAAATATAAAAATGCCTTTGAAAGAAAAAAAAAAAAGGAACAACTGATATTTGCAACCTAACGAGTTCATCCTCCTTTTCCAACCTATACTTTTTTTCCTCCTCCTGGTTCCCCTCTGTCACCACCATTTACACAAAAAAAGCGCCGCCATTTTCCTTCCCCGCAACACCCAAGTGCACGAGCAGGACTGAGTCCCGGCAGGAGCAGCATTCCAGCAGAGCGGGCTGCCCCGCTGTCACAGGCCAAGGAGGGTGTCTCTGCGGAGGACGCTACTGTGATTTCATCCAGCTATCCATGTCACGGAACGTTTTCGAGATCCAGTTAAGGAGACAGGGTGTGTGTAGTGCAGGGGCCGGGGGAGTCCTGGCCCCCGTGTGGCTGCTGAACAGCACTTGCCGGAGCCTCCGCAGTGCTCCGTTAGTGACGTTGGGTGTTGGAGTAACTTACAAATTACCCACGTCAGCGTCCCAGGGCCAAGGTTGGTGGGTGTGGCGAAAGAGGGGAGGCTATAGCCTTGATCTCTGCTTGTTTGCGTCGTCTTTTGTAAAACCCAGGCCCTGTCCTTTCTGATAACGCTCTAAAATGGGGAGAATTTTAGTGCCATGCGTATCGTTGGTGTAGCCTATATGTTTGTTTTTTTCTTAACGCACGAACATTTGCTCCTTCCTGTTTTCTATACACGAAACACAACACACGTTAAATCAAACCTATTTACACAACATTTAACAGCGTTACACCTACAAACTCATTGATATTTGGAAGAAAATGCCAAAAAGAAGGCAAAGCTTGTGAACACTTTCTGATACGCACAATCTGAGCCTTGGAATCAAAAAGCGAAGTGAGTCACACCTTTGCTGGCACAAAGTAAAACGTTTGCACGCACATAACCACACAAGACGACAGGTCTACACAACGACTGACCCACTCCCAACATGTTGTCTCCTTTTTTTTTTTTGAGAATACAATTCTAAGTTTACAGTTTATACCAACATGTTTTAAAACGCCTCATGCGTGAAAATGTATACATTTTACAAGGACAATAAAGTGTATTTACTGGGCGTGCTAAAGCTGGCAAAGTTACCTGCTGTAGTTTAATGCGAGAGGTCAAAGTTGTTCTGTGTACACATTCCATTTTCTGTTCCCACTCACTCTCATTGGCCCATTCCGCCGCTGCGCACATTTCCGGGCTCCTTGATTCCACTTTATTGCGGAGGGTTAAAGGTGAAGGCCTTGACATTATTGAAGTTCAAAGACTACATTTAATTATAAATTGTGCTTAATGCACACGTGCAATCATCATGTACATATGTTGGGTGCACGGCAACACATACGAATTACACATGCGCTGACATGAGGCACACACACACACACACACTCATGATTTTGGAGGTTAAAAAAAGGGAGTTATGAATCCCCCATACCACCCACAGACTTCCTACATAGCATATATATGTATATATATATATATATATATATAAATGTGTGTGTGTGTGTGTGTGTGTGTGTGTGTTGTGTGTGTCTATGTTTGAGTGTGTGTGGAAACAGGAAAGCAGAATAAGGCTGGTTTTGTTGTTTCTGACAAGACCGAGTTCATTTCGAAATGTCTTTGGAGTTTTTTCCCCCTTTGGACATCTAGTCTTGCTTGTTTACTATTTACTGCGGAAGTGAACACCATTTCCCCCGAACAGACGGTGCAATTAAGAGAAAAAAAATAGCCATTTAGTGCCTCTGTCTTTATGGCAGTGTCTAGACTACAAGAGTGGCGATTCCATTTAGTGGGCACTAAAAGAGGTTATCATTCCACTCTCTTTCTCCACTTTTCTAAGATCTGAGCTCTATCTTCCATTAACACGCTTGCTAACATTTAAACATGTTCTTTTCGACGAGTGTAACCTTAAAATAGCTTTAAAAATCTGGCGAGTGTGGCCCGGCAGAAACTAGTCCCTGGTTTCACAATCGCCATCATGTCAAGGCTAATGTGTGTATCCTCATGTTCTGGTAATAAACACAAGTTAAAAGTGTGCACGTTGTGTAGCCCGTGCAGGCCAACAGCTTCAGGTTATACACGCATTTGTGAGCTCTCGCTATTTGCGAAAGGATAGGACTCGCCATCAAGAAAAAATGAGCCCTGCAACATTTAGGAATGAATCCGTCATAACACTTGGGATCGTGGCGGCAGAAAAAGCACAAAATCCGTTGCGTTTTGCCTCTATGTTTCTGTTTATTCAGGTATTATGTTTAATGATACACAGGCTGACAATCTGTTCATCCTCTCTGAGATCCGAAGCACCGATGTTTGAAGCAAATAATTTAACGAGAATTGGCGTTAAAGCTATTAAAGTTGTACGGGCAGTGTACTGAAAAATAGCAGCAGGGATAAAAGAAGGAGGGGGGGGGGATTCAACGCCTATTTACAGTCACGAATGCATATTGCATAGGCTACTCTGTACAGGGGATATACTTTCACAGATTGGACGTCACAGTTCTCAAGGACGAAAAAAATCCACCTTAGAAATTTTCTAAATCTTGTCCATGCTCTGGTCGAGAAATAATTAGATAATGATATGCTATATACACAGACCAGAGGGGATGGATTGAGGGGGGTGAGGGGGGGGGGGATAAGAGCTAAAAGTTGTCTGCGCAATAAGGGTTCAAACTTTGTTTGTTACATTTGATATTTGAACAAAGACTTCTATATGAACAGTAGAATAAACACAACAGGGGGGGATTGTGATAAATAGGATGACATATTCAAGAACAGCATATAAATGATTATTCTAACCATGATGGCCTTTTCCGCGGACCAGCGAGAAATTGATCGCCGCCAGTGGGGCAATAAGAAAATGGAGACTGTGTCCCATGCAGGCTTATTTTCTTCCGCTGTCCACTTTAAAACATTGCACTGTTGGTGATATGGGCTCCTTTAGAAAAAGAAGAAAAAGCATTATGCCCACGGTTACAGCTCATTGAGATAGGAGAAGGCCTTGATGCCACTGTCCAGGACCGTGGCTCTGCTCTGTTCACAACAGAGGGTTTCCAGAGAAGTACTGCAGGCGATCCCTGCTCAATTTCTTCTCTTTCATTCTTCTATTCTGAAACCAAATTTTAACCTGGCGGTCGGTGAGGTTTAACATTCGGGAAAGCTGAAGCCTTTTCTCTTTGTTGATGTAAACGTTAAAGAAGAATTCCCGCTCCAACTCTCGAATTTGAAACTTGGAGTAGGGACACCTCTTCTTCCTTGTTCGAGGGACGCCTGTGGAACACAAAATCGTATTTAAAAAAAAATACAACCACATTGTCAGTGGAAACAACAACACAGTCGAATAAGAGACATTTTTTTTCCCCAAAGAGAAAAAATCCAAGCTTTGGGACTGAGTGACGATAGACTTGCCAGATGCTAAGAATCCAGTCTCCCTGGCGTTAGCAATGATAACATTTCAGCCCACATTCATTAAGGAAGTAGCTGAGGCTATCAGATAAACCTGTCATAAAGAGTGTTAAATATCCAAAATAGTTTGGAGTAAATAATATCAACTTACAGCCCCTAAGTACGTGTTTATCTGTTATAAATATACAACAACAAAAGTATTTCACCGCATTATGTGCACCACATTCCTCAAGAGCTACACTAACAATTTACACAATCTTTTGGCAGTCAGCTGAAATGGACTACCCTTGTCTGCAATGGCCTATGGACCCCAGTGGCCCTGTAACTTGTTATCAAACAGGTGACCAGGGAAATTCTTTTTTTTATATAGATATATATAGAGAGAGAGATATTGTTTTGTGTGAGTGTGTCTGCGTGAGCGAGGGTGAAACTGAAGTCCCAGTTAGCTTGTTCCTGTAGCCTGGATGAGCTTGTAGTGCATATAAAGCTAATATGCAATATATTATGTATTGCAGCACATCAGATCCTCAAGTCAAGCATGATTGTAATTTTATACCCCACATTAGCTAAAATGTCAGAGAATCTCCTGTAAATCATTAGCAGAACATTGATATGTAAAATAATAGAAATATGACTGATATATGGACTTTTTTTCTGTGGAATTTAGCCCCTGCAGATAGTATGATTCCCGGAACTGTGCACACATAGAGACAAATAGACAGACACGTACAGAGGCAGATAGATAAATAAATAGCCAGATAAATAGACTGACAGATAGCCGATGTGTGCCAATTAGATAGATAACCGAAGTGTGTAATTCTCTGTGCAGCTTGTCTTTGCGGGCAAAGCCAATGCTTAAAGAAAATTCACAAGACGCCAAAAGCAATGTTCTGCCCAATTGGTTTTTACTCTCGACAGCCCAACGAGAAAATCCCCTAAAATGCCCAACGCAAGTTCATGATCAAAGTTAACATTTGTCACAATAGCTCTCTCTTAAAAATTTCACAGACTCTCACCATAGAGGCGTCTGTGTATAACATCCCCTTTTTTTCAAAGCGCTTTCCCATCGTAAAAATTCTTCTCGTTGCAAGAAAGAGCTTTGTAGGGTTATAATAAAATCCTTTGAATGCTTATAAAACTCCACATAAAATCTGACCGACAAAACACCGGGCTAGTCCCCTTAACCTTCCCCCATTTTACTGCTTCGGTATACCTACTCGAGTGGCTGCTCTTGTTGGCGCTGCCGTCCTTGGTTGTGGCGGAGGAAGACGTGCAAGAGCCCGAATTTGTGTGTTCCTCCTCATCGTCGGGCTCCTTTTCCTGCTCCGGGGCTCCGGGGACGGGGGCTGTGGTCTGCTGCTGCTGCTGCTGCTGCTGCTGCTGGTGTGTCGGGGAGTCGCTTTCCAGCTTGCCCCCCTCGCCCTTTTGTAAACAATTGTCCGACTGATTGTCCGTGCTGCTGCAGTACGCGGTCTCGAAAAAGCGGTCGAAACCTTGCGGAAGGACGTTGTTTTTCCCGTGCACGCCGGAGTAAAAACCCGTAGAGGGGTGATTGGAGCCCGGATGGCTGTGATGGTGATGGTGGTGGCTGTACACGCTTTCATTCTTCATGAGCATTTCTGTCATGGTGGATGGTGGAAGACAGTCCCTATGCACCAGGTCCTCTCCCGAGTAGCACGATGCATAGTTGCTCCTGTGGTGCCATTTGCTGGCGGGGTCCAAGCCGTAAGAAACTTCCCGTACCGGCGGTACTTGTGACAGATTTGTGGAATAAGGGTAGCTGATCTGCCGCGACGGGGCCTGCGGAAGAAACGAGGAGACGGCGGAAAACTCGGGGACGTAGTAGGTGCAGCTGGGGAGGTAGATGTTGGACGCGCAGCCCGTCCTGTCCCCAAACTCGGATGTCCGGTCTTTGCGCGTCTGGGAGCAGAAGTTGCCCAGATTCACCGAGTTAAACATCTTTCTCTCTCTCGTACTCGGCACTATAGATAGATGTTTTGGATTCGAGCTGCAGCAGAAGGGAAAAATTTGGGAAGGCGAGATGACGCGCAATCCGTCTAAGTCGCCCCGTAGACACGTGATCGAAAGTAGATATTGTCATATATCAATTTGGAAGAGTTGGATGTGTAGGAGTGGTTGGCTTTAGGTAAGATCGAGGAGGTTCAAAAGAACAATTTTCAAACACCACAGGCGCACTTAGCAAACCAGTAACTGACTCTTGTTTGCTGGCAAATGACAATTAGAGATATGTGCAGAGTGCGTTTATGCTTATAGGCTGGTGATAGGCTAGCTAAAGAGCCACAGCTCCTTAAAAAGGCAATGCACAAAGTGTAGAGTGCAGCCAGTCATATGAATATCATAGTTTGAGGAGTTTAACAGGTAAGATTATTATCATTATTATTATTATTATTATTATTATTATTATTATTATTATTATTATTATTATTATTATTATTATTATTATTACATAAATAAATAGTATAACATAAATAGTATAACAATTATAACATGGGTAGATTTAAGTTAAATCATAAGATATTATAATTGATTTTGCAAACACTGCAAGAGAAACTACTGGAAGTCAGCACTTGTCATGAATCCACGCCAAATAAGATATAATCACGTAAAGAGGAAATCCCATGAGCTCAGTCATTGTTTCAACATTTACTAAAAGTTTAACAGACAACGGAGAAGAAATCGTGCTTCTCAACAAACCACTGACATTCCCCATGCTGGACATTTCCCCCCCGTGTTAGGTGAATGTGCTGGACGAGCTTTTAAATAAGAATCACAACACTGCTTAGGACTCGTTTTTTTGTGGTTCTTTGATTGTGCTGACAGCAATCTGCTGCTCATGATTACAAAAGAAACGTACGCGATAGAGATCCAGGTCAAATGAATAAACAAATCAGCTGGCTTTGGGTTTCTATCTGTATCACCAAATGGGAAAACATTACTCCATCGGACCAGAGGTGTAGGTGGTGGCGTTGGTCGCCCATAATTATGTTGTAAAGTAAAGCTAAAGCCACGATTAGGCAATGCAGAATGCACAGCGTGCGTGTTGACAGAGCGAGCTGAAGTAATCGCCTCTCTCTCATTATTCCCTTTGACTTTGGATCTTGACAGAGTCTATGGAGGACAACTGCGCAATTCACGAGCCTGTCCCTGGAGTTCCTGCAGGAAAACAACCAGTAAAGCCTCTTGGACCGTGCACCTCCTGCAGAGGGGAAACGCAACCCTTGTTACACGAACACAAACTCCCAAAATAAAAATAAAAAATGAACCAATACCTCCAGTAGCAACACTGCTCGCATTGCTGGATTGATCACAGTGTGCGCCTCCACTCTGAAAATACCCCGACTGATTTGTTGGCAAACGCTATTCCTGTCTCCGTATCCCCTCTTTGATATGACTAAATGTTTGGGTGCGCTGTTGGTCTGCATGACTCAAAGCTGAGCAATAATTATGCTGCTCAGTAAAAGGCCATGAGGACCCTCAGCCATGTGTGTGGACGCTGCATGCACCCAACGTTTTCCTCTAAAATTATACAAGTCCCAGCTGATGTTTGAAACCCCTGTAGCCATTATTTCCTGTCTTTTTTCCCTTTTTTTTGTAAAGGAACCACAACATTTATCAGTAGATGACAGAAAGAGACATGTAATCCTGACATAAAAGGGGAAAAAAGAAAGAGGAAGCTGTAATAAAATGAATGGTTTGGAGAAATAAAGGGGCTGCGTGTGATTTCATTGTAAACTTTTAATTGTACTGTCGAGGGCCATCTTCGAATCTTTATAGACTAACTGATAGTATTACAAGCTGAAATTAATATGATGGCCCATTGTTTGTGATCATGGGGTACTTCCTAAATGTTGCAATAAGATTCTCCGTGTTTTACCCGATATCAGAATAAAACAGTCGTTATGTTACAGCGCCTTTTGGGGTGCCAGCGCTGCTGGAAATGAAGGGGAAAGCTATTTGTGCCTTTGCTGAGTCCCAACAGAGGCCAGAATAGCAAAGGCAACAGCATCAGAGCTGAGAGCTGGGGACGGGTGGCCACTGCGGGCGTGTTTGTGAAAACGTGGCAATGGCATTAGCTTGTTTACTACCCCTGCAAACAAAAGGTTGTCTCACATGATGCATCCTGCATCCAAGTACAAAGAAAGCAGACAGCTGTCCAGACACAGCACTTGAATTTGACCACTAAAATCCTCTCTACGTCCACCATAAAACTCCGAATGGCCGTAGTAATGCTAAATCCCTTTGTTCTATGGAAAACCATAAACACTGAGAATGAGAGGAATTTGGTTTTTTAACAACTAGATATTCTACAAGTCGGGAAAGAGGCAACGAGCTGAAATTTCCCCATCGAACACTGAGGCTTTTTCCACTACTGGTGCCTCACTATCTTTTTTAACAAATATAGTTACTGAAACGACCAATTTTAGAAAAACAAAACTTTAAAAAGAATTCATGCATCTTGACACGTCTGTAGGGGGAGATATTTCTTTTTGTATACTTCATAATAAGACCCATCTTAAGAAGCAGTAAAAATTAGCAATATTGGGATTTTCTTCACCCCGACAGGCACAGCTGCTAATCTAATTTTTTTGGTAGGAATAGATCAACGACCACAGCTATGGAAATATTTGCGCAAACACCCTGGCCTGTGGTCTATACCGACACATGTAAAACACATGCTGCTGCGTTGAACTTATCCAGTTGCACAATCATAATACTACTAATAACAATTCGCACATCAACATGTCAATGCCTGTTTTCAGTGTGAAATATATAGCATGCAGTTTTACAAAAAAAAAAAAAAAGAGATTCTTTTTGAAGCTAAATTCTCAAAATTCTCAATTCTCTTTAAAAACTACTTATTTTAGCTGGCCTTGACTATAATACCAGATCTGAATTGTGAAATGCAGAGTCAATTTCCCTGCCAATGCTGTCATATTCAGAAAATTACTTCGGAAATAAATATTAACACATAGTCCAAACTTTGCTTTTAGAATAAAAACCAAAGCAAAAGGTACAACACAATATTGCCAGTTCATTTCGATTATTATATTTGTGATGGACATTAACTCGGTATAAATAAGTAATGTCAGTGTATGAATAATAAAATGCATTTATGATATTTAAAAGTAAATTATGCTAGTCAAAATACCCCAAAAAAGGGGAGCTAGGGGGGTAAGAGAGGCTAAAAAAATATGAAAACAATCCAATTGTACTACCGATGGATATGGACGTTTACACTCCGGGAAACAGTCCCCCTGGCTGCCTTCAAGTCGCAGAATATTGTCACAGTGTGGCAAAATATAACCAGCCGAAGCCCATCACTTGCCAATTTCCACTTCCCGAGGGTTTAAACACTTGCCATTCCCGACTTGGCGTATACAATGAGTTTATTTGTAGTTTTATATCACTTATGGAAGAAAATCTAAGAGCAAAACGATGCAAATAAAACCAAATAAAGGTTTGAATGTGTCGTACCGATACGCAGCATGCACAGGTAAATTGTGTCGAACTAAACCAATATGTCCTTCCGATTCAATATGTCACACAGGGAAGAACAAATATTGCAAGTGCAGGTTCCATTATAGCCACAAAAACCGTTGACTGTTTTGCCTATTTTTTTGGCTGGAATATCACAGTTGAGGCATTAACTTTATGACTGGCTCTGTGGAATTCAAACTATGTATCGCTACCTAGCATCATTAAAAACGGTTAACCAAGGTGTAACCCACATCTAAAGACGCACAGCAAAAAAAAAAAAAAGTAAATGGCACTCCTCAGTATTACGGTGTTTTGGCTCGGTGGTGATAAATCGTGAGCCAAATGAAACAAACCCCTCACCACACACCCAAACACAGAGCCACGCTTCCAATAGGCACAGTTCACCAAGACCCTGCTGCAGAGTTAGCTCACGTCAGGGCTAAATGTAGGAAGCCTGCGTAATCATATTACTGTCCCCTCATGGCCTAGATAAGTTTAATTGGATGTAAGTCGGGCAGTTAAACCCGGGCCGTATGAGCTGCAAACAGTTTCAAGCAACACTAAAGAGATCTTTCTTTTCTCTCTGCTCTTCTTCTTTTTTTTTCAACCGAGGCCACATCAAGCGTAAAGCATTTGTGGTGGCAACAATAGCTTACAAGATAAAGACGTGAGTTGCTGTTACATTTGGAGTAATCTCCAGAGTGTATTTCACGTTCAACCACTAGGACATAAAGCTTTCACAACAATGTGTTAACTTTTTTATTAGAAGTATTAAATGATTTCACATCACAGGAAATCGCTCTGTGTAGAGACTTCCTGACTTGAGATTCTTGGTGTTATTTAGACGTCCTGGAAAAACCAGGAAATTCTTTAAAGGGGAAGAAGACTTCAATCTGGATCTGTTTCTGGGTTTTAGAGGTGCTCAGTGCTGTGAGGTTGGCTTTGTTTGTTTTTACCCCTCCTTTTTGTAATATCTATTTTCTAATCTATTTAATTTGTTTTTCCTGATTGGGCTTTTAACTTGAACGCGTATTCCCACGGAGAGGTATTTGAATTAAATAAACTATTCAGGCTGGGGCACATGCCGATGTGTTTTTGGGCGCGGTCTGTACTGCACACATTTTAGCTGCAGAGCCAATGCCCTAAATCATCTTTCAAAATCAACGTTAACACAGCGTGAATTCAGAAGATCCAGCGCTCATATTCATCCACAGACTTTAACAGACAGCTCTCAGAACAACGAACTTACGCAGGGAATGCTAAATATTCCTTTTTTGTGTGTATGTGTTTGTTTTTTTGTTTAATTTTTTAATTGGTTTTATCATCATAGAATGGTTGACGGTCTGCATACTCATATTTTCAAATACATTTTGAATGTTTTATTTCTAAATATCTTTCGCACATTTTTTAAGTGTTACTTTTTGTACTTGCAGAGACTCTCGTGCATACTTAGAGTGCGCACTGGCTGCTTGTCTTCTCATCGGGGGTCGAAATGCATTATTTTGGTTTGGATGGCCTTGTGCACAGGAGTGGTTCAGTATGTGGGCCCAGAATAGAAGCTCCGAGCTTTCAGCTATCGCCTCAGATATAGTTGAAATGCTTACACAAGCACTCACTGCCAATGTTTGCTTTGCAGGCTAAGCTGTGTCTTTTCCCCGCAGTGCAAAAAAAGAAAAAAACACTGGACACATTCACACAATAAGTAGTGCACAAATATAGGTTGATACAGCTTAGCTAAATCTACATTAACGTGGACCAAACATGAGCAGGTGAGGCTCCATTTTTCCATTCTGCTGGAAATAGGCTTCGGCAGGTACTCCCGTTTTTGCTGCTCTCTCGCTGCATACTTGACCTTCAGGGCTGCCTTAAGGAGCCGCAAGCTCGGGCCTTGAAAGGAATTAATATCAAAGATTGCGAAGATTCTCAAAAAACGCACAGAAACGACGTTAAATCTGACAGAAGTGATGCGGATGAATACCAATCTGCTACTGCACGGTTACGCACGTCAAATCATCCCGAAGGTTAAGAATGGAGGCAAGGAAGCAATTCTGGACTGAGCAACAATAACAACCTGTTTGACATCACGTCCTCTAAAACTATTATCTCCCGTTTCCGCCTGCATTTCGACTTTCGACAACCGATCTGAAGAAGATTTCGTCTGGTTTTACGGAGCTGGGGGACATTTACGCCCCATATTAAGAACAGTCGGGAGCTCGATGCTGCTGAAAAATGAATTGATAAGTTGGCGCGTTTCAGAAGAAAATAAAGCTCATGAAGAACTCATTTCGAATCATGCCAAAATCAATAGCAGTTCTGAAAGAAGTAAAACGATATGGATCTCTCACGTTAAGCACCCTACCTATCCTCTCTTTATCACATTAACACTCTTCATTGAAGCACACGCTATCAACCCGAAACCTCTCCCATTGCGCGTCCACTCACACACAAATACACTCGCAAACACACACATTCGGACTAGCATTGCTTTCTATTTCTCCGGCCAGCTTTGCACCATAAACGGCAGAGGGGTGGCGGGGGACGCAGACCACATGCCACACAAGTTCTCTGCGAAGGGCACAGTGAAGCTCACTGACCTTTGGGACGTGGAGACAGGCCGCCATAAAAAGATTTAGCCAGTCTCAAAGTCAAAAGTGCCCAGGAGCAGTGAAAGACCATTGTAAAAAAAAAAAAAAAAAACTCCCTAAGACAACTGTCTCAGGGTTGTCATCAAAAGCGACAAATATCTGTTGTGTTTTTGCTGGCGTCCTAAACGTCCAGTCCTGCCACTTCGCCCAATTTTAATCAAGCGAAACAGGGCTAAAGTGACAATAAGTGGGAAGTTGTGATCGTGGGGCTTTGGTGGTGAGTGGGTGGGTGATAGATAAAGGAGTAAAGAACATTGGTTAGTTAGTTTGGCCTGAAAAAGGCTTCAAGCGCCACACCAGGAATGGGAAAGCAGAGGATGAAGAAATGCCAGGACAAGCTGCCCTTTTAAAGACAGACCATAGAACAAAAAATATTACTGAATAAACAAACTCAGAATTCTGCTTAAAAGTTAAATACTTTCAACCCCTTTTGTTAGCTCCGACCAGTATCCAAATTTACAAGTTACTCATTGCTCATACGACCAGGGAACGCGTACAAACCGGGGCTTGCATCATTTAAACCCAGCAGCAAACGCCATTACGCTGTTCTTAAACGGAGGTGTTATGATGCTTACACTCATTTAGTCTTTCCCTGCGTTGAGAATTCACGGAAACTGCTTCTTCAATCTGCGTAGTTAATTTGCAGTTAACTCGCTCCTTTTGCACAGCTTTACTAAAGTTTTTTAGAAGTAAAAGATATATTTACAAACAAAAACATTTTTTTCCCATCGCAATTTTGTTTGATGCAGTTTACAAGTTCAAAGGCACAGACACGCAGCCACATGTTCAACTCCAATTGCTGCTATTTCAACTCTGTTCGCTCATTGGCGAAGGTTCTTTTTTTAATCTAAAACCTATTGACCTTGGAGCTTTGTTGACAAATACCAAAATAAGGTAAAAGCCATGAACTTCATGGGGCATATTGCATATGTTATTCTCCTTAGGCCAATTGAACAGGGCAATACAGAAACACAAGAGTGTGGTTGATTTCTTTTCATGGCCAACAGCCCATTTGATGACCTGAGAAGATTGCAGTTATGATGTTGTTTTCTAGATTATCAGATTTAATCAAAGCAATGTAGGATTTCCCCCGGATATATCACAATCCAAGTTAATATAATTTAGCAAAACATATTTGCGACACATTTCTAATTATACTACTGTCTAATGACTTTAAACCTAAAATTGAAAATATGAATTTAGCCACTGTGTGCAAAGATGAACACATAAACCATTTAGCATGTTTTTATTTCTGATAAATGAATAAATCAAATCCAGTAGTTCATGTTCCATTGCTCATGAGTCCTCGTGCATCTTCAAAACGTTGGATACTTGTTCGTGACTATTTGGGATGACTGAAAAATACCTTTTAATTACATGCGTAAATGAACACGAAAAACATTGTCCCAAAGCATTCAATTTTAATTTAAAGCTACTTTTGAGTAGCTACAATGACTGTTCTATTTTAAAATAATTATCTTTTTCCTCTAACAGCTTTTACTTAGACAGTCATTGATAGTTTTATCAAATTGATACAGTAAAAAATGAAAAAGAAAAAAAAACTAACATTACGCCCGAGTAAGCGTTTGCTCATCCAGCCTTTTCGCTCATTGCACTCGGGATGTTGCAGCTCTAATTTTCATTCCACAACGCACAAAACTTGTCTACTGCCACTATGAATATATTAATATTTTTGGCACAAAGTAAACAGGCAAACCGGGGAAAGTAAAAATCATCTGTGGCTCGTGTGGGCTATAGGAAAAAAAGCATGACAGTCACATTGCAATATGGCTGTAATCAACTCGAATACAAAATACAGTAGATCTAAAATGCTGAAGAGACGATACATGAATCAAATCGTAAAAGAACTATGAACTCCTGCCATCTTATCTGTGTCTGCATGTTGCGATCATGGGCAGACAGACAACAGAGATGTTTTTCACATGGCACTTTACAGTTCACTGAGAAGGCAACATCTGAGCTCAATACTGAGACAGCAAAACGTTTTCCACTGAACATACTTCACTTTACCGAGAATGGACGCTGCCCCAGATCAACGCACTGTTGGGTAGCTAATAGGAAAACATCGCACAGCCCTGTACAGCTTTACACTTGACTGCCAGTAGGGAGAGCCTTGTGAATACTGCAAGAGCTTCAGTGTATAATGTCTAAGTAGTGTGTATATCTGTAAAGGACTTGCATTCATAAACGGTGTATCATGTATGGTTATAATGCGTTTACGCGCAGAAAGCAAACCAAAGGGAGCACCAGGAAAAGGCAGTCCAAAGGGCTTGCTTATATAGAGCACTGGGGTGTAACCCTATTACTCCTTTACAGAGCTATTGCATGTTTAGCAGCGACGTTATAGGCTTGTAGCATACCGGTGACATTGATTAGGTCGAACTTCAAGGGTTCAGAAAAATGAAAGAGGTTTTTTTTTTACTTATAAACTAATTCAACTGACGAGCAATTGTGGTCGTGTGCCACTCCCTGGGTAAATAGTGGGCCCACTCTGCGGAAGAAGCGGTTCAGAATGTGCACCTGGTCGCCATTTTGCAAGGTAACCCATGTGAGAGCTACATGTAGAAAATCTGTGGATCCGGAGCGATCACAATAAACATCACCGACCTGTGTGGGCTTCTGTTTGCGCACAATTCACAGCATACGCGGCCATGTGCCAACAAAACCCGCTCTAAAATACTTTTAAATGTCCCATTAAGGTTCAGATCTTTATTTCATTGTGGAGGGACACAGGTCTTTGTAAAACTGTGTTACAGGTCACGTCTAATAAAATAACCCCACCAGTGAGAAGTCAGAGGACCTGGTTTGGAAGCAGAACATTCAGAAAGGCAATCTAATAACAGACTGAGGTAACACCAATAAACGTTTCAATATTCTGTTTATTGAAGACCTTACGCATATACATTCATATCATTATTACGTTTACAAGACAACGTAGCAATCCTTACAAGCGCAAAGAAAGGAATGCAATGGGGTTGGGCGACATAAAAGAACGATAAAAGACAACTACTACACAGAAACAGAGTTTCTTTAAAAATAACGAAAGGTTTTGAAAATAAAATAAAAACTAAACTAATCTTACGTTTCTTTTATCCATTCTTGGCTGTATGTCGACCTACATTCCCATCCCTTACAATCACAAATTGTCTATATGGAATGCGATATTACAAGACGATCAATAACATAAAGCACTATTACATAGCGATAAGGGATCCTCAAATAGGATGCAAATACTAATATATGTAATTTCATTTTACAAAGTTATACACGAGGACAAGGAAGGGAACAACACTGAGCACATTGCAAGGAGCAAGTACATTAAGTAGGCCTGACAGGCCCTCCGTCCCCCCACCCTAACAATAATAATAATAAGGATAATAATAATAATACAAATAATAATAATAATACATTCTTCGCAGAAGTTTTTGTCAAATTCTTCTATGTTGCTGGGTTTTTATTTGCTCGGATAAAATAGAGTTTCCTACTGAAAACGTGGCCCGCAGAACTTGACTTGAACTATTTCACATCAAAAACATGCTGCAAATGTTTCACTGCTATAGCTTACTCGTTACACATGACAAATGATGCGCTGCCTTAGCTCCAAAGGAAGGTGGGCACGCACGCGAGGATCAAGTTTGTCATTTTTTAAATTTTATTTCATTAAGAGCACCATGTTTAAAAAACGATCCGTTTAGACCTATAAGGTTTCCCCTCCAGTTGTAACTTAGGCGGTTCCCTAATTTAACGGCGTTTGCCTATACAGTTACACTGTCGAATCGTTCCATTACAGATCCCTTTGGAGTTTATTGTAGAATAAGCTACACTATTTTTCACTGGCACAGTCTGGAGATGGAGATTTAATAGCAGCTCAAAACCGTTTTCAAACGGTGATCTCACTCAACTAAAAATGCGACCCATGCAGAATTCAGTGGTTTTTATAAGTTGAAAGGTAATTAAGGTAGAGAGAAAAAAACTTGAAAAACTTTCTGTGAACAAAGTCGTAGCGTTTGCCCCCCAATGCGCAGTCATTAAGACAGAGCTATCGATGAGGATTACATTGCGGTTTTAGTCCACCCCCCCCCCCCCCCCCCCCCCCGCCTGTCCACATGCAGACTTCCAGACTTCCACATCTCCTGCCCGTGACCGTGAACGTGCACACAAACGTGACAACAACCCAAAAGAAAAACTACAGAAAAAGACTTGTTCCTCTTACACAACAAATTATGGCTTTTGCTTGGAAAAGCAACGGTGACAGGGACCGAAGACGGGCTCTGTGGGGAAGAAAGCCAAACCTCTCTCTGACTTCACGGGTATTTTTAGGCCTAAATGGAGATTTCGCTGATTGGCCCTTGCTTCCACCTTATATATATATATGTATTTTTTCTGACTACAGACAGACCGGAAAAAAAGATGTTGTCATTTTGTCGGACCCCACAAAGACGCTGTGTGTGAAGACACATTTGTTGTGGCCTACATTTAGGGCGTAGACGAATCTCGTGACAGATCAGACCAGCCTACAAAGAAAATACAATTCTCACAGCTTTTTTGTGCGATTATACCAAACGTGGCGCCTCACTGGCATGTAAAGAGCAGCTTTGGATGCCAGATAGTGGCTTGTTTTTTTTTGTTGAGAAAAACAAAACAGCTGAAGAAGGTTGTGATATTAGCCTGGGATGTAGAAGATGGACAGTTGAGTGCATGCACTAAAAGAAGACCTTAGGGGAGCGTCGAAGGCTTGGCTTTTCTTTTTTTTTTTTATTGCCCATCGATTCACCCTTTCTGCTGCATCTCTAAAAGTAGGCCAAAGCTTGCTCCCTCAACATGAGTCTCTTCTTCTTCATCCGGCGGTTTTGAAACCAGATCTTGACTTGTTGGTCGCTGAGATTGAGCCGGTCGGAGAGCTCCCTCCGCCGCTGCCTGGTGATGAACTCGTTCAGCATGAACTCGCCTTCTAGCTCGGCCAGCTGAAGTTTGGAATAAGGTTTGCGCTTCTTTCTGGTCCGAGTGTGCATCGGGTACCACGGGGCACCTTGAGGAGAGGAAAGCAGGAGGAGGGTGGGGGGGGGGGGGGGGGGGGGGGGGGGCAACACAGCGGATTAGTCAACACAGTTGCAAACTCACGGTCACCTCCAAGGTTATGCTGGACTACAGAGGCATCAATTCAACATGGCGAGTTGGGGGAAACGTCTTGCTAGTGGAAGTCACTCTAAAGCTATACGAATGAGCTCTCAGAATATTGTATCTGGATGTCAAATCACATTAATGGTGACAAAGCAGCTCGTTAACTAAAGGGGGGGAAAGGCATGGTGCCGTGGACTTCTCTATAGTCAGCTAAAGAGAAATGCTGGGATTTGCAAAAGCTCCCTGATCTGGAGTCCCTGCTTATGTCCGAGTCAGAGCCAGTGGAGGCTGTCAAGCTCCTCCAACAATCAGCCTGAGTCTCAGAGAGGACTCCCACATCCAGACAAAGGTCCAGTTTTTTGTGTGTGTTTGTTTGGTTTTTAAATGTATTTAATTTTTTGGGACCATCGGCGTTTACTTTTTTATTTTCCGTGCCTTTTTATGGAGACCACCAGTATACCGCGGCTTGGTGTCACAGGAAGTTTTATTGTTGCAGTTAAAGCAGCATTAACGTGATAATTAAGCCGGGGCTTGCAAATACCCCTACTTATTTGCGAGTTTCTGAGCGTATTAAATGACTCGAGTCCGCAGCGACAGATATTCATTTTGTTTACGAGTCATTAAAAAGAAAACTCTTTATTCGATGCAGTCAACCAAAGCGACTCACCTCTTTAAATCACTTCACTAATTTGAGAGTTACGCATCGGGCATCGACAGGGCAAAAATCTATCAGTTACACGTCTGATTCTGGGAGCCTCGTTTGGCCGACGACAAAAAATAAATACTGAGGCGAAGGCAGCAAAAGGGGGCTGTTTGGGTGAAGGCTGGGGAAGAATATGGCTCGGTGAGGTTATCTGTAACTGTACAGCCACATGCTGCATGGAGGATTTTAGGGCAACCCCTAGCGGCGTTCGCACACCTCGCACGTTCCCTGCAGGCTGCAGCCTCTGTGGGCTGCAAGTTGTGCATCAAGATAACGACCCCTAACGACGGTTTAATAAAGAAAACGTACACGCAACCTGCAGCCCTGCCTGTAAATAACGCCAGCGTGCCCTCACGCACACGGCTGGGATTTGTTTTGTTTTTTAAAAAAGGGAAAAGAAAGAACAACACCCACCTCCGCCTGCAGCTATGTTGCCTGAATGGCTTCCCGGTGACACCAGGGTCTGTGTGTCGCTGGATGAGGGCTTGCCTCCCTCGTTGAGCAGAGACGAGCTGGAGTCGGACTCCATGGACTGACACGACGGCGGGTCTTGCGTTAGCTGCTCGGTCCCGTAGTCGTATTTGGAAAAGGCGGCACTGCTGCCAATTCCACTGTGCAACCCGTGGTCAGATGTTAGGGAGGATGTGTCCCTCACCCTGTCCTCCCGCTTGAGGCTGCTGCCACCTGAACAGGTCTCCCTGTTCCCGTTCCCGTTGTTGTAATAACATTTGCCCTCCTCCGGTCTGGTAATTTCACACGACCGATTGAAGGAAGGGTTAATAGACACCGGACTGCTAAAGTAGGATTGAGAGTATCCATTGCACGGCTCCGAAGGATTCCACGGGAGGGAGCAAACATTGTCCCTTCTCGGGTAGGAGAGAGACGGTAGCCCCGCCAGTTGTCCCCCTGAGGCTCTAAAATTCGGAAAGTAAAACGTGTCTCCAGTGTGGATGTTTACCAAAGGTCCCACAAACCCTGGATTAAGGAGATTATGCTCGCCCATTTCCGCGGGCCCGACCAACAGCTTCTAGTTTATTGCAATCTGACATTTAACATAGTTAAACCTGGAGCCGCGCCTGATTGGTCCTCGGCGAACCACGTGGCCAGACTAACTTGTGCTACACACGGTACCACCCACTTGGTCCATCTCAGACAAAACAAAACATTAACTTCTGTATTACAGAGGTTTATATGCTTTTTAAAAATACCATAAAGCTTTTATTAAAAATGTACAATCTTGTTTTTCTACTCTTGAGCATTGCTGAGTCCAAAAGGAGCCCAGGCTGCCTCTCTTTTTACACTCGTGGAACTGTCCACGGCCTCGTTTAATATCTTTATAAGCTGGCAAAAGTTTTTTAAATGCCATTTCTTTTGAAAACAGTTTTTTTTCCTTAAAGGAGAGGGTGCATATGACTCCTTGTTTTCGAGCAAATTATGGTAGAATTTCATGTCATATAAAGCTGTGATGTCCAAATTTACAAGCTTGTTTTAAGAAAAGACTGATGCTCATTGCCGCACTCTACTCATATTTACAGTAACGGGGTCAGCAGGTTGAAGCCACTGGCTCTGTAAAAGAAGACGATATTCTACAAGGTTACTTTAAGAGGGTATATTTCACATAATATTCTCTAGTACACCTCACTTGAGCAACTTTAACAGATACCTCCAATAAACGTTCGCAGCCAAACTCTGGTGGGATAGTTATACCTCTCACAATTCTTTTATATGAATTTTACAAGATATCAGAGGGCACTTAACTGATTCAATCAGCCCAGAGCCCCTATGCTTTATAACTTACTAATTAGTTGATTTGTAGGTGCGCTCTTCTTGAGACACTGAACAAATATGTGTTAGGCCATGAGGAGTCATTTTCTGCTCTGAAAACAGGCTCTCTGCTCACAGACAAAATCAGAGAAGAGCAATCAGACAAATATTGATAGGACAGCACATTTCCTCTACAAAATATATAATCAAATCACCAGTCTTAACGTAGGGGATGCTGTGGGAAAATGCTGGTCTAAAACTTCTTAACATTATCATAATATTCATTCATCATAATATTATTATTATCACTAATCTTGCTTTTGGATTTCCCCTCTGGCATCTATTGACTCCTTACAAATTTAAGTTCTCTCAAATACTATATTAAATCTATCCAACATTAAAATAAGGAAAAGTTAGTCTCTTGTACGTTATTTCATTCCCACCCAAGAGTACACTACGGAGGACAAAATAAATGTGTGGCTCTGAAATGTGCGTGCGTGGGTGTGCCATCAATTATGCAAAGTTGAACTACTGCATGACGCAAAAATAACACAAGATAAAACAATCTTGTATAAGACGTTCTTTCGTCTTTGGAGAAACACTCAAGTTCACGACGCAGAGTCACGCTGCTTGAACTTGATGTTGAACTCAAACAGTCCTTTTAAAAAGTATTACACACGCTAGGTGACCACACAAAATCCAGAAACTACACACATAATAGACGTGATTTGGGAGAAAAAGTGAAGGCAAACAACGCCATTTCATAACTACCAATGTGTTTATATTGAAAAATGCATTTCTGAAAATGAAAGAATGAAATTTGTCTCTTACGTCACCAAAACTAAGAGAGCAGATGTTAAAGCTAGAGCTGCCAACTCAAGAATAAAAAAAAACGTGCTCGCGTTTACTGATAAAAATAAGATAGAAAGATTGACAGCAGCGTGCATGGCTGCACGGACTCGCACATGCGTGCCGAACCACACTAGTTGCGTGCCACAAAATTTGCCAATGAAGTGTTATGTGAGAACATTAGCATTCATTTAAACACTTGTTTGGGAACGATTTGCAAGTCAGCCGATATCTGATAGCCGTATCTGTCACTTGTGACCACGTATCCCATCTAACCTAAACGCACCGAGCCCAGCTCCGGCCTTAAATAGAAAGAAAAAATATCAAATGCTTTAACTGGAGAAGCCGGTAGGGATCCACTGAGGTTTCACTCTGTCCTCTGGACTCTGCCTCTCGTATCAGAGCACATTCTTTCATCTAGTTAGGGAGTCGCGCAATGCAGCACATCAGTCCAATATAATAACTAAGGACTTGGTCTTATGAGGATCATTTGAGTGTCCCGGTATTCCTTTCACGGCTTCTCGTGTTATTATAACAGTTATCAAAAAGCAAAACAGTGCCATATGATGTTCACAGGGAAAATGGCCCGCTCGGCCATCCAGTAAGTGATCTGCAGGCGTGAGCCGCCACTTTACCTCGGGGAGAGAGGCCAAATGTTGCGCCTCCTTGCCTCGTCTCTCCACGCCTCCGGTTCCCTGCTCCCGCAGATCCGGATTTCACGTTCAAACTACTGCCGTCTGTTCAGTGCATCTGGGGCTCAGCAATGCTGTCATATTTAACTGTAAGATACGGGCCCGTAGCTTCAGCAGGGAATCTAATTCTTATTTTAAAAGGGGAAGAAAGAAAAACTTGGTAAACACAGCACTGTCAAGGTCAGTGTCTAGTCCACTGTCTGCTCCATATTGAAATTAGCCCTCTGGATTCCAGCGTCCTGTCCAGACGAGGCAATAGTCTAAACAAAGGCCTTTTCTTCCCTCATTCTCTGTTTGATTCTCTGCAGGCAGCCTGCCACAGCTATAGCCTCGTGTAACCTCTGTAAAGCTTCCCTCAAAGTGAAGCAAACTACCGGGGGGAAGCCTGAAGTATAGCCACGAGATAGAAACACGTTTGAGCTGACGGTTTTGGATCATCTTTTACGTTTGTTCCCCAACAACCAAGAGCAGGGCGACTTTTTTGCAGCACAAAAAAAATCCACTTTGAATAAGCTCCTGAAGTCATGTTTGCATCTTACTGTGTCACTCACACACGGATAGGCACAGCCCTCACCGATATGGGAATAATGCCATGGCTAAAGTGGTATATAAAATTTGAAAAAATATGCAGAAGGTAGAATAATCAAATATGTTAATACGTAGAGGTGAGCACATTAACAAGGGCGAGCTCAATAAAGCGGTTACGTATTTGAGTCTATTCCAAAATTTGAACTTGACCATCAGTGTAAAGAAAACAAAAACAAAAAAACAGCAGAAGCAAGAAATCGTCCTAGAGCCACTTTTAGTGATAATTAGTGATTATTTAATTTATCAATCTATTTATCTCATTTTAAATTCAGGTTTAAAACCTTGTATTTGTGATTATGTGTGTGTTTGTGTGTGTGTGTGAGAGAGAGAGATTGTTTGTGTGTGTGTGTGTATAATACACAATAAAGATATTCAAATACAACATGCTCCTCAAAAACAATGTTTTTTTCCAATATTCCACAAAAGTATGATTGTGAAAATTGTGCTCATTGCTCAAGGCAAACATAATTCAATTCCCTCACGAATTAAAAGGCGCCACGTCTCATAAATGCGACTGTGCTGAATGTGTGGTGTTTCAGTTAAAAGGGTAAACAAGTCAAGATACAAGTAAGTGGAACAAAGTTATAATTGTTATAATTTTTTTATTAAGGTCCTTATTGTTGGTAATTTTAAACGTTTCCATTTGGAGCCTAAATAACGTGACATGCTCACAGCATGTCTAATAAATTACACAAATTCGTCATCGAAAATTAAAAAGTAATACATGACAACAACAACAAAAATAATAATATATATATAGCCTATTTATATGAAGGTTATAGCAGCCGTACCTTTTGTAGTAACTTCTGTTTGCTATAATCCACTGCAGTGTGTAAAAAAAGACTGCCTTCTTCCAAATAAAGTCAATTTAAATGGACCAAAAAAGTACCCCAGAATTCCATATACATATGATCTAAAACTCAGAAACATAAGACGGTCAAATGAGCAAGAGGAGGAAAAAACAAGTTGACTGAGCTGAACAATCCATAAATTAGTGAGAGTCTCAGCACTTCCTGATAGTTTCCTCTGGTCACCACCAGAGGTTATCAGCCCCCTTCCTCATGGCTCTGGGTGGCAGCAGGGGCCTGCAACCACACAGCCACAACCTACCGTGGGTTTTCTCTCAGATTGGACTTTTTAAAGGCACTTTTCCGTGGACTGACTCAAGGGGAAAATGCAATACAATTGTTCTTTATTTCTAATTGTTCGAAATATGCAGTTTGATTTTGTGGTTTAGATTTTTTCTGTCTTTCGGTTTGTTTTTTCGGGAAGGGGGGGGGGACGTAAATCAAGGGCGTGTGTTGTTTCAGCAATGACAAACTTAAAAACTCACTTCAGAGAGCAAAACATCTTTCAGTTTCCGGTGGTGTTTGGCTGTGGAAATTCTCCACTGAAAATCAACATTAATGAATAATTATTTAACACTATTTGTTAAATGAATGAGTACAGATGTATTCCTTACTTGCAAATGAAGTTATTAAAAAAAGAGTGGGGGGTAGCATATCCTATTCATCTGAAATACAACTCTTAAAAATAGGAAAATATATTCTAACACAGTACTGATCCTGATAGTGTAACTGTGTATTATACTAAAGGATCAGCATTATTACATGACAGTTGTGTAACTGCTCGAACAGAAATACGCAACATGAAACACATGGTGTGATGTTGTTCAATATAAAGATTTTCACACCTTTGTTATTAGTTGTTTTTTTGTCCCAGAAAATAATACAGCCAAAGAGAAGAGAAAAGACACAAATCCGTCATTCAGACAATATAATAGTTCTACTACTATAATAGTTTGGGGTTTCCTGCTTACAGCGCGTTTTTTCGCCCTTTTTCTGAGATAAAAAAAAAGCCACAACACAAATTCTGCGTACAGGCCCACCGCCATATCAGAAAAAAAAGAAAAGAGCCATACCTTTGGTTTGTACGCGGTGGGCGACGTCGTGCCATTATCTCCTGTGGCTGAGCTGACAGTATGGCTGCCTGCCTCGGATTGGTGTTGACGCCGGACGTCAAAAGTCCTACCTGTCCGCCGTGGTCAGCAATCCACTGCTCGTGATGAGTGCACGAGACCATTGGTGGTTCCAGAGGAACGGGCCAGAACGCGTACACTTTTTACAGGATTTCTGAAAGGGGGAACCAAAAAAAAAGAAAAGAAAAAAGGAAAGTAACGAAAGAAAATGAAGAGCCAAAATGTTAAAGCAAAGCACCGAGAGATGGTCAGCAAAGCAGGTCAGAGGATATCGCTACACTTCCCCGTTTTATTAATTTATGGCATGTCATTAAGCCCGGCTGTCTAGACAGGGAAATAGCACCTTGTTTGCCTACAAACAAACCGCGAGCGTTGGTGTCCAGCCCCCTATTTATTATTCACAATCTGCTGTGATGTCAAGGTCAAAGTGACCGCATAGTCATGGTCAAGGGTAGATTAGGAGACCCAGAAGTTTCCACATGGACAGCAAATCCTCAGACCAGGCAAACAAAAACTTCCAGCCTGATGGCGTGGATTCTCCACCACAGCCCCGAAAAGAGGTGAAGAGGCTGGAAAGAATGACACAGCCCGGCCAAAAACCAGCTTGACGAGGAATAAAAGTGTAAAGAAAAGCAGAAGCTCGCTTGGAGACTTTATTTTAATTTAGCTCTATTACTCGAAAATAACATTAGGCTCGTCTGGTCAACGTTTAGGCCTGGGCCGCTGGATATTTGGAAAACGTTTTTCTGGCTTTGATCTGCCTGTCACACCAAAACGTGGGCTATTTGAACTTTTTTTTATGGACTGGAATAAAAAATAAATAGATAAGTCACGCCTAAAGAAGCTTAGGATGAACCAACTGCAAATTCTGCAATTATATATATATATATAAAAAAGCAGTGCCTAAAGCCTCACTCATGCCACTCGTTTCCATCACTGCTGCTTCTGTGGCTTGATTTGCTTCTGGAAACATTCGTGAAGCTACAGATCCCTAATAAACAAAGCTAACAAACAAATTCCCATCAATTACGCACAGAAGACGAGAGTCATATGTAGCAATATGAAGCAAATCTACACAGTGAAGCTGTGAATTGCTTCACGTATTGCATCATTCAGCTGGTGTCACGCAAGCCATGTTGAGATGTGGTTAAAGTTCAGAAACTGAGCACTGATAAACGAATCTTCAGGTTCGTGGCAGAACTCACCTGTTCCGGGATGGTCAAAATGCAGCCTCACGCCTGCAGATGGACTGTGTGGGACTACTGCCCCGCAGCCGCCCCACGGACGCACACACGGTTTATTCATTTAAAAAAAAAAACACACAGAAACAAAAAAAAACAATCTCAATCAAACCCTTTAGACGTAAGAAAATGTTTGGAACTTGCGGCAATAGGTCACCGTTAGAAGACGGAAAACACTTCATTTGTTCCAGAGGTATTTGAACAGGATTCTGATGGTTATGCGGTAACCCAGAAATGCTTTTGCCTCTCGGCCTCTCCACATTTTTACAAAGTGAGCATGTGCCAAGACGCAGACAACGCATCTGTCGGTAGCAACTTTGTTTACAATTGCGGTTGGAGGAACCAACATGAACAAACTTGAACTTGCAGGAGAAACCTTCCACCCGTGGACCCCGCGTGGAAAAACGAGGCCCTTCATGGAGGACTCAGGGCTTAATATCACGATGAGCTCAACTTTTTTTTTTAAATGATTAATATTTAGAAACGTGAACGTTTTTTCAATGCTTTGAGAACTTGCACAGATCCAAACGTCTCCGCTTCTGATATGGAGGAGGAAAGAGGAACATGGTGGTGGGAGCTTCCGCAGCCCATTAACGCCAGTCCAGCTCCGGACGAACGGAAGTGCGACATGCAAGTGGGGGGTGAGGGGGTGAGGGGGGCGACTGACATGGATCTATGAGCATTTTCATATTCATCATCATTTATTTATGAAACACGTTACCAGGACGTAATCCAACACCACAATACAGTTCACATACTGCACCAAAGTAGAAATTACAGGCTTCGTACAAGGCGTGTGACCAGCTCCAATGCTACACTACAAAGTCTGAAAAATAAAACGATTGTGCATTATATGTAATACTCACTGACTTTAATGGTTTACAATCATTCCAGTTGCATGACAGAATCCTTCACTGATAAAGGAAAACATACAAGTTTGTGATATTCCAGTTTACAGTTCCGCCATACTAGATAATATGAATTAAATAATGTAGGCATTGCACTATACAGATTAACAACATAGCAGCCTTTGTTTTAGCCCAGGCTTTACAGAGCACATCCCACACAGAGGAACACTGTTTTTGAAATTGAGACGGATTGTTTTTTTCTTTTTCCTCCATCATTCTTTCTCTTGAAAGTCCTCTCTGTCAAATGTGGAAGGTGATTTTTAAGTCTCAAGTTTGATGTGACGCCACTCCACAACAGTTCTTGTCCATGGCGGTCATCTATTTCTTTTTTAAGAAAAAAACGATAAGTTTCCTGTGTTTCGATCTGCCCCCGTTGCAAGTCTTAGAAATGTCTTTAGTCCTTTTGAGATTTGGCTTAAAAAAAAAACAGAAAACACGCAATACTTGTCTTTGAAATACAGATACTGTTTTAAATATTATATATTTATATATGTACATTCCTATAAAACAAATGTGAAGTGAATTTTCAATGCTTTCACAGTTTTTAGAGCATTATCTCTAAACTGAGAACATGGGGGCTTGTTGGCATGGTCGATGGAGCTGATGATCGAGCTCAACTTAAAAAGACACAGTCGGCCAAAAATGTTCGTCAACCACGAATTTCAATGGAAGAGGTAAATATATGGCATGTCATTTTGGAAGGAGTTAAGTTTTCAAGGAGGTCGATCATCTTATCAAGTGGTGTGCATGTGATTGTTCTTGGATTTACTGACGAATTTCTTCTCCTTGACTCGCCGGTTTTGGAACCAGATGGTAACCTGGCGCTCTGAGAGGTTTGTGGCGGCGGAGATGCGCCTTCTCTTGTCTTTGGTGATGAACTTGCTGGCTGCGTACTCTTTCTCGAGCTCCTTTAGCTGGATCTTGGTGTATGGGACGCGCTTTTTGCGCCCACGACGATAGCTGCTGACCTCGGGCTGCAAAGGTACGACATCTGGGAGAGAAGAGGGGAAAAGAAATCCAGGGAGTGTTTTAGACTGTGAGCAAGAAAAATTAGATATTTCCGACTCATACGTCCATCTAAGATACAAAACATTTCCCCATGCAGTTCTTCCACTAAAGCTTTAGTCAGAGAGTGTGTGTGTGTGTGAGTGTGTGTGTGTGTGTGTGTGTGTAAGGAAAGGGGGGTGGCGGTTTCAGGTGTGCTGCACCTGGCATGTGGAGGCTGATCAAGTTCACTTCTGAACATTTATCGCCATCAATTCGCCATCTTTTGCTCGGGAAAATGACCGCCTCCATTAAGTTGAAGCCCCTGAAGTTGGACATGATTTGTGGGGTCGTTGTTTTTCCTTAAACAATACTTCAATTGCGTGCTGGTTACCCACAGAATGAGGCAACAATCCCTGCCAACAGTGTTACTTCTAAACCTGTCGTTATGTGAGATTAAGTACATAAACTAAATATCTCTCACTGTGTGCTCATAGGCTTTTCAATAGAGCCTGGTAAGAAAACTAAAGAAAAGAAAAGAGAAAATGACGACCTCAAAACTATATTGACAATGGACTTTGGATATTTTTGATTGTTGTGCATTATTTAAAGTGAAGTTGATAATTTACAAACTTATAAAAACAATAAAAAATAATCAAATGATGACACTTTCGTGCCACTTCTTGCATGTTTTGGTTTTTGGGGGTTCTTTTGGTTTAGTTTGTTTCTGTTTTTTTGGAGGGGGGGGGGGGTTGCCTTCATGTGCAGGTAAATTTAACTCTGGATTGCATCCCCACGACAAGAAATCAATACAGATCAGCCAGTGAGAGACAGCTCAGGATGAGTTGGGACTCTAACGCTAGAAGACCTAAAGCAGTGAGCCATGAAGCTTTTGATTTCCTTATTTCACACACACTGATATAATTACTGGCTTTAAAAAAAAAAAGAAATAAAAACCACAGCTCGATATCATATAAAACTAATAAAGGTCATTTTAATTTAGGAAGGTGTGTGTTCACATATCTGAATCCAAACTTTATCCTGATAATTATCTATGTTTTATTAAATGTTCAATTAGATGTAAGATGGAATTGTTTTTTTGTTTTGTTTTTTAATGTTACTTCTTTTATTTTCAAGCAGTGCCGTTGCGTTTGTGTAAGGATGTCAATTTCCATGTGTGTGTGTGTGTGTGTGTGAGGGAGCGTACGTGTGTGTGCCTGAGAGACACATTGAAAGACACGAACAATCCGCGCTGGAGTGTTTGAGCACGCGTGCGCGCTCATTTCTCTGCGTGCCCGTGCCTGGGTGGCTGGCTACCGTGTAATTTTAGTACCAGAAAAGAGGGTCGAGGGGATTTCTGCCTGAAATTAAAATAGTTGAAGATTTCACAAAGACCAAGGGGGGCGAAATCACGCCGTGTGACACGCACTCTGACGTGCACACCGGCCCTGCTCAGGCGTCCACGCTCGCAGAAGGTGCCTGCTGTGGATCATGCAAAACGCACGCCTGAATAAATTATGGCGAGCGCATTCGTGAGAGAGTGAACCCTGTATATGACGTGATGGCAAGGTCTGCTTGTAATGCAAATATAAAAGATACCTCCCAAAAAACAGGCACCGCGTGGAGCTGAGATTTACAGTCCCAATCCACACACAGAATGCTAGCTAAGTCACCAAAATGTCATACAAACGTATGCAGTGATGTTCCCTTCTGCCCAACATGACAGTAAGTTGATCAGATCCATCATGTGACTGTGGAAAACAATTGCTTTGTGTTATCAAAAGGCCAATTCAGCTTAAAGGTGTGTGGGACTGATTATTTTAATTTTCTGTTTTCTATTCTAAGACTATTTTTTTCAATATTACTGTGAAAAGTCTGCATTTCAGGGCAAACTCTAAAATACTATTTATGATAAACAACAAGGGGTGTGACAATGACGGTGTTTTTAAAAATTCATTTATGAATGAGAGAATTATTTGCCCATTATGGTTGCACAAAACCCAATTAAACAGGATGAAGTGTTGAAGAATTGAAGTTTCTACTGCTATGGGAACTTAAATACAAAAAGATGATTGACTATGCAATAACAAATCACGTAAAAATATCATAGTATATTGAAACAACCTCCTTTAATGTGTTGGCTCTTTTTTCTTTTTTTTTTTTTAAACAGACTTCTTGTAAAAACAGATTAATTACATTCAGTGGAAATCATTTGATTTTGTTTTGTTTTCCATACCTGGGAAAGGTGATTTCCAAAGATGGGTTGACTGGGTTTGCTCTTTGGAGCAGTACACCTGCCCATCCCAGCCATTGGAGAGAGCCCAGTGCTGGTAGCCCTCCATGGGGATCAGGGCGTCGTGGCGCGGCTCAGGATGAGCACTGATACTGGGCACCACCGACACGTCCAGATATCCGGGGACGGCCTGGTACGAGCTGGCGAAGCTCGGGTAGAAGGCGAACTCTTTGGCCCTGGTGGACAGTTCTTCCGTGGGCAGCGCTGTGCTGGGCTCGGCGTACTTCTCTGCGGGGTGGTACGAGCAAGGCTTCTGCTGCAAGTTCACGTTGTGCGAGTGCGATAATCTACAGCCGTAATATGGGTTCCCGAAAGGATAGCCGTAGCTCAGGGAAGCACTCGAGGATGTCTGGGGCGCCGGACACTGCCGGCCGGTGTCAGGGGAGGAAATATCCGAGTAGACGGAGCCCTGGTGGGTCGCTATGGTGCCAGAATGTCGTCCCAGCGCGGGGTGCGACATCAGGTCCCTGCAGTGGGTCGCGGGGCAATTACCGCTCAGTCCCTCCATTGTTTGGCTTTTATTCTGGTTGTTTTCATTCGGGCTTTTTTCATAAACGTACATGAAGGTGTCCGCCCAGCGTGGATGCAGAACCAGCGAAGTCGTCATATCACGGGCTGCCGATGCTTTTTAAAAGTCGACTACTCCAAGACGGACACCTCATTTCCAACTACATTTTACACCGAGCGCATGCGCACACCAGGCCCTTGTGTGTCCACTTCATTAAGAATCTGGCACGTGATACGCTAACAAGTCCTGCGAGATTGGGCTTGCGAGCAGGGGCAGAGCAGCCCTTTAAAGACCCACTGCCTCCCGTGTCACAGACTTTCCCTGCAGAGCACCGAGTCACACCATTGGCTTAAAGCAGCTAGGCTCACACCCTTAAAGGGGAGTTGGGATCCGTTCAGGAGTGGGCAAACGAAAACAACCTGTGAAATTTAGCCGACACCGTCAACTACCAGATAATATAACAGCCTATCATACATTTCATATTTGCTATTTATAAAAAATATATATCGTAGTAACGCTTTATTTATTACAGTATTGTGAGATATTTTCAGTTTGTGTGTGACCTCTCCGGTGCGCAAACTTTGCCTCTTTGGGTAAACAGACTGACTCAAGCGGGACGTTTTGGCCGAGATTTTGATTGAATATCAATGTGCTTTTGGGGTTTTTCTGTGAATCACAATGGTCTAATCTAGAATCCATTGTTTCATATGTATTAAAGTGCATATTTATAATGCAATAGTCGTGCATCCCTGCAGTCTGCTGTGCGTAAAATCTCTAATCAGAGGACACTTTGCATTTTAAACCCGTACCTTCCCCTGGACCACAAACTAACATGCCAAGAACAGATTCTGTGAATAAACACATGTGTGGAGGGTTACTATTTCAACTAATAGTAATCAGGAATATTTAAAATATACAAATAATTTGCCCACTGTTTTTAGCCATGTAAAACCGTTTTAAACGAAGCAAAACAGGAACGTTGATCTGGCTTTTAAAGGTTTTGCGATTGCATTCTTTTTTTAATTTCCCTCTCTTTGTCAGGGAGTGTGTGCGTGTGAGTGTGTGTGCGTCATACAGAACTTGTAGATTTTTGGGCTGAGCAACGCTGAACGTGTTGAATGGCTGGTGTTGCACCACAGCGGCAGCATACAGCAGCCACAGGACGAGATGGGAGCTTTTGCAGGTAAGACGCCGTCATACGAAATTTGGTTGAGGGGAATGTGAAAATACTGTTAAATCACCTCAAATGAACCCCCTTCCGTTTGCCCATATTCAGACGAATCGATATGAGCTTTGAGCAATCTCTTAGGGTAAAGATGTTTTCCGTCTAAAGTCGCGACTAAACAATTGAAATGAGCATTAAACGAATTCATGTGATTTCTTTGCGTGTCACTGGGCTATTCATTCATACCATACAAGTGGATGCTGACGCTTCTAGGCGAAAATGAGAACAAGGGGCCGCTTTCAGCTGGGCTGTGTGCTGACTACAGACCTTATTTAATTAGAACCCATGCTAGAAATGCGAACTTACTTCCCCTAAGAAGTCACCCTCTGCCACTTACACACAAACTGGCCATTGGTTAAAGCTCCAATCAAAATCCAAAATGCCTTTTAGGTCCACCTCATATGCAGGCCTTGTAGTTGTAGCTGTGAAAATCTCCCATTCATCTCTAACGGTGAATTAAAAAAAAGAAAAACTGGGTTAACATTTAAAACTTGAGTGTATGTTCAAGTTTGAAATATTACCGACGGGATAGGCCCACAAATGTATCCATAAAATAGGCTTTTTGTGATGCCTTTCCTATGAGTCACTCATAAAGCAAGCTACAAGCTGTCTGCAAAGGGCGAAAAACGCATCAACATTTTTTTTGCACTTCTGAGGTGCCTTATCATCAGGCTACCGTTCTGTATTGGTAAACAGCACTAAGGAAGCCGGACCCCCGTCGGTCCTCATGTAGGCTATAGTTCTTTTGTCTCAAGGAAATTACAACTGCGAAAGGCTCATCTAAACGGCAGCTGCACGGAAGTCCAAGGTCAAGGTAAAAAAACGCAGACAAACAGGGTCGTAATGAGAGTCTAGACAGACAAGAATGAACTTCACACTAGAGTATTCATGCAAACTAGCTGTTATTTTGAGACCCTCACTCTAAAATGTTTGCTGAGTGAAAAGAGGAAAGAGTTCCAAATCCATTGTTGTTGCCTTTTTTTTTTTTTAAACGACGAAGAAAGTGAATTTCTTTGCTCTTTTGTAGGGAAGAAAAGCGATCCAAACTAACTTCTACATTTTAGGAGATGGATTCTTGTTCTCTGAATTCTGAGAAAAATGCTGCTAGTGTCATAACTAATTTAATATCAGCTTCCACATTATCATAGCAAATATTTAAATGTAGAAAGTCATGTTAATAACGTCTCCCTGAAAGACACACGGAGGGGGTTTGTCAAAATACCGCAAAGAAAATAATCAAAATCTTTTTTTTTTAAACTGATATGATACACTTCATGTTGTAAAAAATTATTTAGCTATTGAGCTATCTTGTGTTTTTCTTTTAAACTGAGACGGAAATATAAATACTTTCATTATCAATGTTCTAGAAAGGGAATTAATATTATACTGTGGGAAGTGAGGTTCTTCCTATTTTTCCATTTTTTCCCCATAATTTACATCTGTACTAGAATTGTTGCACAGTTATGGGTATGGCAAATAAATGATTAAGCTCATATAAAATATTAAAAACTCTGGCGCATGCCCACATGTGGAACATTTGCGTGCCAGCAACAGAATTTAAGATACAAGCTGCACTCAGCCCGAAAACACAGAACAGCACAGAGTTTCGAGAAGTCAGAATTCAATGCCCCCCTTCTGATATCCACTTTCTGCTATTAACACCGAACAGGTTGGAGGCACACAGGTGAATTCTCACACGAATCCCTGATTACGCCCCTGATAATTCTTCCACATCAATATGATGTGGACTCACTTATCGTGATATTTAGAAATAACCTCACCCACAATTCAGTGGACTCACGTGGCACGTCGACGTATATTACACAATCAAATTTGTTACTCTGGAATATAAATGTCCCATATCACTTAAACTAAGTTTTAAAATCACTTAGGCCTAATAGCAATTGTTGACAGGTATATGACGACCGTCCCGAAAGCAAAAACACCTCAACAAAGAAGGGCGAATGAGAACCTCTTAGAATTCCATTTAAATAACCTGCTATTAAGAAATTCCAACACTCCTGGGTGAAACGCAATGAGAGGTGCTGTGACAAAGAATGATCCAGCCCGGACTAAAGGTCCATTCCTTTTATCTATTCAACCTGCCACAGTCCCAATTGTAGGTGAGCTGTTTCAAAACAAATCCCACCAAGAGTTTACACCAAAATCCTGCAAAACATGGCTTCCTTTATCAGATCCTAAATGCACTAAATTTACTTTTTTTTCTCTTTTCTCTCAGACGTTCTAAAATCCGTCTAAAGATTTCTTCTCCCCTGTAAATGTTCCTATTTCATGAACTTTTAAAATCGAAACAACCGTCGGAGGGCTGTCTTGAAAAGCAGCCACGGTGTGTTAAATGACAACCAGACATCATGTCCCTCCAGACGGGGCCTGTCAGACAGGAAGAGTTCCTGTCTAACGCCGGCTCTCGTGGGGGGAGGGGAGAGCATCCATCCCCACGCAATTGTTGCCTACCTGCACCTCCAAAGCTCCTGAGAGCTGGCTGCTGCACAGCCACAAATGACAGAGCCAGTGGGTTTAGTTCTGCTCCTCTTTTCGCCCTTTTGATGCTGCGTAACGCTACGGTGTTTTATTCTAGAATCCCAATTCTTTTTTGAGCTCTGCGAGTGAATAAGATCTATTCAGTAATAATGACGCAGCGACCAAAAGTCCAAACAGGTGATATTGTCAATATTTTGTCAATTTCGCTTTAATTAAATGGAAACCAAGGGGCACAATGAATCAAACGACCAGTGGATGTAGGGTTTTTCTTTTCTTTACACTCTAATATAAGTCACAAAATTCCTACATCGTTTCAGGACCACTCATTGTCTTGCAGGGCAGCTTTCCGAGCAGAAACAAACTTAGAACAGGCGATGTGGCAACTCCAAAACTCGCTGACAGCACGCAGGTAGAGTCTGCGTCACGCCTGCTGAAATCAGGGTGCGTTTCTGTTTACGACTTTCCAAGCAGCTTACAGCTTTTGAACGACTAAGACATTTTAGAACTGACTAGCTATTAATCCAATGGTGAATAATACTTAATAAGAAAGACTAAAACGTAAAGAGAACATCCATGCGTAACAGGCATTAGGTCAAATATCATTATCAGATATTTGACTTGAGAAAAACACAAAAAATAACAAAAAATAAAAAGCTTTTAGGCGCATCAGTTATTTGGAGATATTAAATAAACCCAAATTTGCATGTACAGGTATTAGAGCTAGCTGAGTTAAGACAGATTCTCTCGTTGAAGGTGCATATGCGTGAGCCAGGAGCTGCTAAACGTGGTCTCACGAGTAGTGCTTAACCCTTATTTCTGCAAAAGAAAGTTCCCTCCAATCTTCTAGTTTCTATTTCTTTTGTAGATTAATTTGGTTATTGTGCAAATCAGTTGACCAGAGTGTATGTGTGTTGTGAGGGGGGTTGTTTGTGTGTGTGTGTGTGTGTGCGTAGGAGAAGGCGGGCTGGTGTAAGGCGGACAGGGGAGCAGAGCACTTCACTGTCATGAAAACATTCCTACAAAACTAAAACAGCATCTCAATCTGGTGCTTTTTCGTGCAGTCCGAGTTTAATTTACGATCCGAAATGTTCGAGATCATAAAAAGCGGAGTTCAGTAAACCCGTATGCCAGCAGCCGGGGCAGAGGAGGGCATGTGATTTTTGTCAAGAAAATTCCAGAGCTTGGACTGAATATATTGGTCAGCACAGTGTCGGTGCGTGACAAAGAGAACGAGCAACGAGAGGAGGAGAATTCAGCTAAATATTTCACATGCCTCAAAAGAAAAGCGAGGAGCATATTCTTCCCAGTTTCATCTCGCTTTCAGACCCCCAAAAATCCCCTGTGGCCACATTGTCCCGGTCTCATGCATGTGACGGATATGAAAACATGCCATACAAGGCTGGCATGCGGCTTATGGTGTGTCTGCTTCATCGCCCTGTGCTGCTGCTCTCATTTCTAATGTGCGTACGCCCAACGGAGCTGAATTAGTTTAAGTATTCGTGAAACGACACGCGATGAGCCAAGGACACAAAAGTGTCGAGTTTAGGCCTGATAGGAGGGGAAATCAGGCCCCTGGATTCATCCAACCCATCAGCCATT